TAATAATACTACTTTTAATAATCGAATTTAACGGAACAAATGGCGAGTACAAATTTTGTTGCTATCTAATTCACTTTAAATTACGAGTGATAATTAAGCTTTGAGCGTATAGGCATATTTGCATATCTAGACGGAATGTACGTTGCTAAGTGGGTTGAAACCAACATTGGATGTTCCTTTGCTCAATCCAGGACATACTTAAGGTAAGGCGATAAGGCCCGGCATTGTAATCAAGCTTTTCATCGTCGTGCCAACTGTTCACGAATCTCTTGAAGAACCCGAGATAGCGGACTCCATTCATTGTTTCATTTACGGCGAGCATCTCACATCAGCACACACGACCTATGATGTCCACTACAAGTGGTACCATCACCTTACCTCCGAATTTACTCGACACTGCCGTTTCTCGAACTCAATCTCCTTCTAGAGCCATTGTCTTGCCTGGTTTCTCTAATGGAAAAGGTTAGCCTACACCTTGTCTACGCAGACTCTATGTTCAAAGTGGGTTTTCTATTAATTACATTTCTGCAAATTGCACATGGAATACACCACGTGTATTTCTACGCGGCCTGGAGTGAATTTGAAAGACCCTTTTTTAACTCAGTTTCCCTATTTGCAGTAGTTGAATTAAATCTCTTATAAACATTACTTGCGAAATGCCAATTTTAGGCAACAGGGTTCTTAGACTTCACGCTCTGCTTTCGTAGAAAGTCTTATTGGCTGCGGCAATGCGTCCTTCGGGTGTCGATATATAGTCATGCCTAGCTGGCCTTCAATTTTTCAGCGTCGATTTTTGAAACGACTTCACCATTTACGCTATATGTTTTCGCTTAATGTCCCTTGCCTAATGTCTTCATCAATCTTCGATAAATTCCCACATTACTGTGGCCTTCGAAAAACAGAAATTTCACCACTGAATGCAAATGCTTTTAATTGAAAGATATTTTTCTTTTTGAATTTATTTTTCTGAATTTAATTCAACCGATTTTTCATCCATAGATTTCTAGAAGACTCTACATGCCAGCCGGATTTCATCTATTGGCATTGCGAAGTTAAGAACTTATTCGATTTCAAAGTTCGCCGAATTTGCATGTGACAATTTTTATATTAGGTTGGAATGAAAATCACCAAGCTTTTTTACAGAATAAAAAACACCACATTTTTTTACTCATGTAACAGAAACTTATTATGTTTTGCATCTTTTTTCATTATACATAACTTTCGGCCATTTTCCACCAGTGATGTATGCGGTCTTGCCAAGAGGCAGTAGGTTTCCTCCCAAAGCTTTGTGAAGTTTTTTTTCTCTTGCATAGCTAGGTTGACTCGATGCCATTTGGCTAAACAGATGTGCCGATTATCTGTCTAGTTCGTAGAAAGCAATTTCCAGTAAATCAAGCCCTCGAAGTTCCATTAAGCGCAAAGTATACCTTTTTGTGGGTAAAGATTTGGCTTTGTGGGACTCCGGGCTTTGGCTTTCCTCTCGGATCCACCCATACCAATCATGGACGCGGGTTGATGTACGGACAACACTTCTCATCACCGGCGACAACTCTGTAAATAAAACGGTCCTTGTAACCGCGTGATGTTCAATATCAATCGAGATGTTGAGATGTAGCGTTAAGTCGTGACTCCTCGTTCCATTCGGAAAATTCATGTGGTACCCAACCTTCTGTGTAAACAAAAAGGACTTAAAGTGGTTAACAACGGTTGTATGTCTGCAACCCATCTTGGCTAATTTCCAAGTTGTTTGTCGGCCGTCTTCCCTCAAAAATCCTTTCACATTATCTACCAGCTCAAGGGGCATTCTTTAGGCCTAACATATTATTTTCAGACTTGGCAAACCACTTTTGGGCAGTTCTTGTAGCACCAGCGCCATTACCGTATACAACGCAAATAGCCTGGGCTGTTTCGGCAGCGTTTTGGCCTTAACGAAATGCATAGTTTAAGATTTAATGAAAAATGTGTTTTTCTTCCATCTGGAGCATACATTTTTGGGAAATCCTTTTGAGTCGAAGTTGTACACTTTCAATGTCTAGGTCTGGATGAATGCAGATTATAGTATACTATAGCTAATAGCAGCTTCATTGGAAATTTTCTAGGAGCTATATATTGACCGCACAGGCTGACTAGTTCCAATAAAATCCTGCTTCGAATGCTGATTCAACTGCTGTTTCAAGTCCCGATAGTCGACGTATACTACGCTTTGTAAATTTTTTCATGCTGCTTTAACTGGTATATCATAAATTAACTGTCTGAAGTTTTACGTCGGACACCTGAGCTGTTAGACATTGCTTCGGAAGGTTGGTTTCTTCCAACATGAAATGAGGTGAAATCGTAGCTGCTATGGTGTACAAAGCGTACACAGCGTTATTTGCTTACGGGTGATGTCTACATCTACCTTTCCAGAAGAAAGCATGTGTGATAAATGGCTGCTAGTGCTGATGGTGAGTGAACGGCGGAATGATATTGGCTAGTCTTCTCCATAAAGATGCGCAGTCAGTGTTGATATCCGCCATCGTTCTTTTGAAGGAGGCAGCAACCAACTCGGAGGACAAGATTTGTCCATCAAACGAAACGCATCGGCCATCAAAACGAAGTCAGCGAATATATGCTGATTTGGCAGAAAGGCGTAAGTAAACACTTTTTCATTGTTAGTGCAATTGGCATTTATAAAATCTTTCGAACTGTTTCCTCATGTATGTGTCTTTTGAACAATTTTATATCAAACGTTTTATTATATAGCATAGCATATCAAAACTAGGCTATCATATTATACACGCCAGTATAAAACAATTTTAGACATATTTACATATAAATATGCTTGAAGCCTTTCATTATGATATAATTTTCATTTAAGGCATCCAACCTGAGATATAATCCTAGGAAAAACTAGGAATTTACGTTTTTTTTTACAAATCTACAAAGAGCTTCCTTACATGTGTGTAATCCTCGAAAGCTGGTTGCTCGATTTAGCACTTATCTAGATCGTATATTTATGTTCGTTTGTGAGATCTATATAAAAGAGTCCGAGACATCTTTAAGCAGTTGTTCACCTGAAGCTCCAGGGGCAAGGCAGGACAGGGGAGGGCGTACAACACTTTTCATGTCATCATCGATCTCCCTCACGGCGACGGATACGGTGTATGACGACATGACACTGTACAGTCACTTATGCTCTATGGCATCGTCCCATGCTCCTTTCTGGCTACTGTTTCAAATGTTCTAATCTCTCCCTGCGAACAGAGACGAATTGTCTCTACCCCGTAGAGGGAAGTTAACAACGCGACAGAGTACGTCAAGCGCTGAGGACACCAACCTAACAAAGAAAAACACGTACTTATAAACTGAGTTTATATAACTCAGTTGTTAGAGTAAATAGTTGAAAGTACTAAAATGTTCACATTGGCTGAAACGCTTAGTTTTTCTAGTGCACCTCAATACTTCGTTAATCTATTGTGATGAAACTAACAATTATCCATCTATAGTAGCTTGTTGCGGGGAATTTGTGCTGACGTAGGTCCTCGTCTATTAAAAAAATTAAGCAACACTACGCACTTGCTAATAATAGAAAGTTCATAAGGTATAATACAAGTTGTTCATCAAGTATTTCTCTTGCTCGATAAGCGCTTTAAATCACCATCTTTACTTTTCTAGTTTCATAGTGCGAGGTAACCGTAACTGCCTTATCATTTGTATCACTGAAAACATGTAGTTTATTGTTGTATTTCAATCATTACTACTTGCTGCTGAGTAATAGAGATATACCATACTGTATTCACTCCAGTTTACTACCTATATATTTACCAGCTTGCATTCTATGCTATTATTTGTAACAACAGATGCATTCGCATCGTTTATTTTTTTACACAGAACTTAGATTAACAATAGCCATACTAAAAAAGCATTACTTGCGACACAGATAGTTTCAAGGGCTCTTAGTGAAATTTCACAACCTGAAAGACGCTTTCCAATTTGTTCCAAAGCATCACCCAATGAACAATGAAAATGAAGAGTAGTATACATTATCTAAGGCTTGGGGTAAAGTTCCACCTTAAAAGAAAGCATCTTTTAACTTACCTTTTGTCCGTGAACAGATCAGCGGAAAACCAATCATATATAGAACCAGGCCTCACCGAATCAAAGAAAATAAATGGGCATTCAGTTTCGTTAAATATGCGTCTTTTTTTTAAATAAATAAACTTTAGGCGCTAAATGATCATCTTTCAAACCAAAATATTATACATTTACTTCCAAAAAAACTAAAAAAGGTACCTTTGGGTACTATGTGGGAGAAAATACTTCTGCATCATATCACAGCTTAGATGTATGTTCCTACGTTGCTGAATCGGTTATTTATTGATTTAGATTAGATTAGACATAGTACAGGGCATATTTGCCATTACCATTAACGTATGCCGAACTCAGCACGATCGTTTAATGACACAATCCTATTCATTACCTTAAAAACCATTAAAGCGCCATCAAAATCCGTATTTGAAGTTAGTTTTTTAGATAGCGCTAAATTGGGAATTACTGAATTAATGTAGCGCGCACAAACATGTCTATATGCTATGCTCGAACATGATCTTTTAATGAACAACTCATTAAAAATTTTTAGACAAAATGGTCAAAAATTGTCTCAATTTGACATGATTTGTTGTGTGAGTAATCCCTTGTTGAAGTTTTACATTGTTGTTGCGAGTTAAATAATGTTGGGAAGCAATTTTTAGCCTACTGCGAAAGTAAAGCAGTCTTTTAACACTTAAATATTTAAAACTATGGTAACATCACGTAGTTGACAAGTTGTTAAACGTTCATCTTTCCTACATTTTTAAACCTATATTTAAAAAAAATTCAAAATAAGTTTTTAACGTTTGCAAGCTAACTTTAACGAAATATAACCTTTTTGGAACTAACTGTCATTACTGAAAAGAGACTTATTCAGAAAAATTAGAAATCAGAAACCGCGCCCCTTGCTAGAATTTTTATTTTGCCATCCGCTTATTTAGGAGTGTTTGGATGCCAAGTTTCGGACGTCACTTGTTTGGGCACACATCTGCACAATACGTATACATAAAGTACAATTATTTTTTTTTACTTACGCAATTGAACTTTTATTTTATAACCGTCATATTATTTTTTTGCACTTGAAAAAAATCAGTATTTCAAGACATTGCGCGCGAGTATTTGATTTCTGTAAATCGAATATGCCACCACTATGTCTATTTTGGGCAGGCTACTTATACGTTTACTCGTATCAGCTGGACGTTACGTACCTTGTAGAGCTAACCTAGTACTATCCTTGATGCAGACCGTTGTACAGTTAATTTTATCGTCTCTCTAGATGTATGTATCACAGGCAGACGCTCAATACAAAAAAGTGGAAAGCGCCTATAACTCACCACGTTATCGGTTAATCTAGACTTTGCCGGTACAGAAACATAAAAAAGTTAACTCAGATTGTTTACATTTACGACAAACTGTATCACTACGCACTTAGTTGTGGTCCTGGCTTATAGCTACCATATTCGACGTCTCGTCACACGACTTATTTGATTCTTTATAAACTCATATGCTTGTCGACTAGAACACGGCCCCTTCCTCGAGCGCATCATCATCGGGATCAAGGAAGTTTTCTCCATTATCGAAGTAGGTGTCGGCGTAATCGTCATCGACATTTTCGTCAGCGTCCTCCGCGTCGTCGCCTCCTTCTGCATCAACGTCTTCGCCGTCCTCGGCCGCATCTTCGCCTTCAAGATTTGTTTGATTCCCTACTGCAGCAGCAGCGGCTGCTTCGGATTCTTCTTTCTCGCGATCCTCAGATAACACTTTATCCAAATTGATCTCTATAAATGACGAAAACAACAGTGCATGAGGCTTAATGTGAGTGCACTGATATTCAATAAAAGCGAAACTCGTGTTTATCGTTGTCTTGTACATATCTAATTGACTTCCCTGAATCTATAAGATAAGCACATAAGCTACAAGTTACTGTGAACTTACCTTTTGCTCTAGCTGTAGCAGACTTCTTTTTAGGACGAGATGTGCACAAAACGGAGGGAAATAACTCTTTACGGTAGTTGTAACGTTTACCGGCCTGAGCTAGCGCCTCATCCAATTGATCTGAGTACCTAAAATTTCAATTAAATGAATTTAATAATAACATGTTCTTATCTACACAGCATGCATCCAAACAGACTTTAAACCCACAATGTCATACTATGCTTATAATAACAAGGTACTATCACAAAGTGCACAGACAAAATCACACAAGGAATCATATTATCGCAAAACTGTCAAAAACGAGTTTATTCGATAATATAATAGAAAAATAAATTGCAGTTCGAAAGAAGTCCGGATATGCATGTAACGAAAACAGGTTTCGACAATGTGACAAGACGTACCTTTCAATAGGCGGTTTTTCTTCCGCGACACGGATATGGAATGCGTCCTCGCGAACCTCAATTCTGACACGGTCATATATATCAGTAATCGTTGTCATTTCCTGAAATATCACTGACAATCTAGTGATTAGAACATTATTTGATGTTGAAAATGGAAACCACGATAAACGAAAAAATTACTATATGTACATGCTACTGAAAATAAATTTTAATAGCACCCCATTTTGGAATAAACTAAGATCTTATTACCTGTGTAATACTAACCTCATCAAGCGGTGCGGGTACAGGCTTAACCTTTACTGGTGGATAGAGTGGCGGAGGAGCCGTCTGGATCTGTGGCAAACTTTCACCGCGACCAAAACCTAATCGGGCGGCATCGATGGTCGATGATGGCTTTGGCTTCGAACCCATTAGTAGCACAACACGTCGGCTTAAACAGTAACAATGGGAGTAATTATTACTTAGTGGCTGCAAGAAAGTATGTCAATATATGGGACCACATACCCGCTTCTGTTTTTATGTAATTAACGAGAACAAAGTTAATTTAACCCACATACCACTGTTTTGGTATGATCTATCAAGTCCTTGCATAAGGTGGGCGTACGTAATGTTCGATAATTGCTCCTGTGAAAAGCCACCCCGTTTGGGCTGTGGTTTTGAACTTCTGTTGTTGTATGGTTTTGAGAATACTAACAAACTTTTAAATGATTGGTAGACACAGGCTGTCATAACATTAGTAGTTTATATAAATAAAACAATTACTTAGTGCATCCTGCATAAGTTATGAGTTGCCAACAATTTCACATAACTACACTTTCAGAAACAATCACAATATACAACGTAAGTCTTAATTTCTCACGCACCACAGAAGGCTACTACGAGCTAAACGATTGTCGATATATTGCGCGAATACTTAGCCTTACCATGCCTCTGTGTTTCAAGTTTTACGTCCGGTATCGCCGTTAGGATTTCCATCAGACGGCTGGTTCCCAGCCAGAAACAAAGTCGGTCTGTGCCCGGGTTCGAACCCAGATCACAGCGTGTCCCCAAGATTATCAGGCAAATACGTTACCCACCAAGCTATCACGGGGCCTAGTTAGGACAAACAAAATATATGTCGGCCGCCGTCATCTAACAGGCTCGACCTCTGGTAGTGCAAGATCCTCGTAAATATATCTTAAAATGTACTCAACTTTACAAAAAGTAGCTTCTCTTTGGCTACGCACGCCCTGTTACCATCATTTGAATGTGCTTACCTTATTTGACTTGAACGTTATTTAGTTTTGGTTCTTACTCTAAGTTGTTTGAAACAGTTACACATTTCAGCTGGTGGTGAGTTCGATTTCTCTAGTATAGCAGACGACCGGTGAGTAGGAAACTAAACAAAGCCCCTCGCTCAATTGGGAAAGTTCACTTGCACTGGGGCGGCTGGGACTCGCAAATGTCAAGAGAGTCCCAATTCTTGTTTTGTTTGAATGAAAGCTGGGCTCCCTCTTCGCAACTGATATCGATCCAGTATCTACATGTGGACACCTGTGAGGTTGCTGTCTTGAGCAACAGGAAAGGAACATCTCGCTCTTTATGCTATTATCAGTCCTGGAGTTCCTCTTAATGCTACAGTTTCTGCCGCCTCTGCTATCATATGTTCGACGGTGAATATCCTCCTCCTCGCCGCTTTCGCCCAACTTTGTTATGTAGCCGTCGGTCGGCTCTGTCAGCGGTCGCAAAACCAAAACTCAGCAGGTGCTATATAAAACGCTTCCTACCTGCTGAGACAAGTTCCCGTTTGTTGCTTGCAAAGAGAAATTTATTGCCTGTAGCTGTAGTTGAGTGAGTTTGCAAGACGAGTGGTGAGTGCCTGCGATCATTACTGATTGCTGTGTTAGTGAATATTTTTGGCGGCTGGACTTGACATACTGAAGAAAAGAGTTGGTAAAGTCCGGCTTCTTAATTTGCCGCGAAGAGCGGAAGTTGTAGCAGAAGACGACGTGGATTGTGCTTCGTGGCAGTGCTGCTTTCAGCTACTCGTTTAGTTCTGCTCACGTATATTTCGCACAGGGGTGATTTAACTTGACTGACAATCGTATATGCAGGCAGGCAGGCAGGCAGATATACATAGCCGTAACGAGGAAGAGGTGAAGCTCACGAACGCTACACACATCTAAATGCCGGTAGTGGCATTGTATGATCTGTGCATTGACAGTTAGCTATAGGAGAAATCTATTAACGGAGGCTCGGTGCAGATACAGGTGATCTACTAATTCGTAGATATTTAACTTTCCGTGAAGTGTGGTGAACTATTAACTAGAAAGCCAAAGTTGTAGGTTTTATTTATTTATTTATTTCACATTCGCATCGGCTCATCAGAGTTTGGACGAGATGAACAGAAAGCGACCCGTGTGCGAAGAGTTGGTAAAGGAACGCTCTAAGGCAACTTTCAACACCCAGGAGCTAACTTATCTACTTGATGGCGGAAAGGAGAAAACTCAACGTAGGAAAGAGCTTGGTAAGCGTCGTTCGTTTTTTGAAATATATAAATGTCTCGTGGATTTAATATATGGCTAAACTAATCTCTCTAAATATGTATGTTGTATAAGCAAAGGTTAATAAATGAAATTCGATGTATATTTAAGTACAGAAAATACTGTGTTTGGAAGAACTATGCATGCCATCATTGACTAGATTTCTGACTACCATCATCTCTGGAATTCATTCGTTTTGTTCGTTTAAAGATAAACGCCTTTTAAACAACTTAATTTTGATAACACAGGTCAATTGTTAGGCGCGTAAACTTACTCAATTATCAACAAATGCCAAGCTTAAATCTCAGCTTCCACGGGTGTCTCAATTTATAACAACGCATTAGGACATGTTACATGTTTGGTCAGCAAAACACGGAGCGATTCTTAGATCTTCGGAGTACAAGTAGTGATCATTGAAACCACCTTATATATGTAAGTGGTTAACTCCAGGTGCTAGAAGTGGTGTTCAACATAGTCCCTAAAGAAGTTGTTTGCTGGGCCGCCTTATGCGGCAAGGATCTGGCAAAATTTTAACTTTGGCCATGTAAATTTCCATCTACGGGCAGTGAGATGAGCAGTGATACGTGCATAGGCTTGCTGAAGGTACAATTGTGTACTTAACGTTCTTTACCATAATTGGCTTTTGACACGATATAACATTGCGTGGACAGATTTTAGTCCAGTCAATACACATGGCACTAGTAAACATCTTGGAATTGGTCGCTTTTTCTGGTAACGTCAAAAGTTTGGTTAAGCCTAGTAATAGATAAGTTCTGCAAAATCTATTGCGACAGATAACCGGTTCGCATGATAAAAAATTCAAGCCGCGAGGACTTTGGTTTATTTCGAAGTGGATTAGGGTGGAAAAATATCTTGTGAAGGTCGTTCGTCGCCAGGGCTGCGTTTCTACGTGCCAACGTTGACCTATGCAATGTTTTGATTGAGCACCATCTTTCCAACATTTTCCATGCGGGACTCGGAAGCAAAGTACACATTAGGTAGGTGGTTCGATTGTTCTATGACGATGAAAACGCAACACAAACAACTAGTGGATTAAACAACGGATGTATCCAACAACCGAAGAGAAAGACAGGCCAATGTTTCATAATCCTAGTGAACCGGACCTATCTTATCTCTGGTTGGTAGACTCATGGCTTGTCTACCATCCAACGATTCTAAAAATTATAGACAATTATGCCAATTATTAGAACAGATCATCCGTGCCTGCATCCAATCATAACTATTACTGAACTGAAACATTATCCAGTATTTTACATGTATGATACTTACAGACGGTAAATGCCTTCAATATTGTTATTATGATCGGTGGAGAGCGTGCCATAGGCAAAGGATGCCCTGAAGTATCACCATAAAAGCCAACCAAACTTTTTTAGTTACAAAATAATGTAAGCCAGTTCTGTATCTCACTTTTATGTAGATAATACGGCGCGTGTCAATATGGCCGCGCAACTTTTAAACATGCTATGAGATAATTCCGTCGATAATATACTCCCGTAATAGGATCATCGACAAGAGATTAGTGTAGTTCTTAATAACGTTCCGTTTCTAAATGCAAGAAAACACAGGGTCGTTTGTGATCAGAAAAAAAAAAACAGAAATACAGATAACTAAAGTTACACATTTAGTCATCTGTATTCCTGTTGATCCCTTCTGCTATATCATGTTCTGCTCGCTTGACTCAAACTCAAAATAAAATTTATATTCTTGGACCCTATAAAGCTAGATGTGCATGTATTTTATCGGCAACATCAAACCTTTTAACCTTTAAGTATCGCTACTCTATGGCACATTTTTGAAAGCTTGTGAGATCTCGGCCCCAGTGCTAAGCCAATAGGCTTTCGTCCCACGACCAATGGAAAACCCGTCCGTTAGATGCGGTAATGATTACTTATCGAGGTTACTGCAAGCCAAGATGGTGAGCTTCGGAATGGTCGGTCATTGGAAGAAACGTTAAGTGCCTGCGAAGGATATTCCATGGCAGGCTTTCGCAAGCTTTAAATTCAACCAACAACTATACGTACTGCGATTTTATTTACGCTCCACAGTGTATGATACACCCTGCATTATGAATGGAAGATGTGCTTAAACTGTAGACACAATGACGTAGTATACTATAGTAAGAAAACCAATGTCCTATTTGTGTTAGAAAAGAGAATACTACACTCTGTTACACAGGTCTGCATTTAACCTAACTAAAAAACTAACTTAGGAATATGTGTGGTTAGGCTGATTCGTTTTTGTGTAAGAAACGATGCTTAATCTTAGTACCGGACGTTAAACTTGTAAGCACTTATTATGTGTACATGTTCGCCGTTTTGTTGTTCTAGATGGCGTATTTAGCGTTTTGTTGGATGCAGCTTGCGGTATTCATTATATAAGTATGCTTTAAGGAAGATCCGTTTATCCTTGTGAATCGCAGGCCACTCACGGAACTGACGTTTTCGTCCGTTTAAAGCAAAATTTCATACTTTTGTATTGTGTGTCGAAGACCTCTTAGAGCAGCCAGATTAATCTTAATGTGATTTAGAACAAACCTGCAATACCTGTCTTATGTCAGTACTTTGGCATAAATCTTTCTTTCATCAATCCAACTCACTTGCTTATCTTGCGGGTTATGCTACTTGCAGAAAAACTTTTTCATGATGACCCACAATTCCACGATCAAGTTCCATCGGTTTATCTCTCACACGAAGAGGCGTACGAAAATGCGCTTAGTAAAACACTGAAAATCTACCAAAAGGCGCTCGATCTATCTGACCCTCGCGAGATCTTGTAAGTTCAAGAAATGGCTTTTTCTCATTAATATCTTTAACTGATTGAAGTAAAAATTATCCGAAAGTGTTTCCGCGAAAGAAAAGAAGATCCGTTCTGTCATCTGATCAGACTGATCTTTTAATCAGTCAACTGTAACACAGCATGAAGATGCTTTTATTATGACTCAGTTGTGCCCTGTACATTACTCTGTAGTACCATCTACTGATTTGATGTATATGTGTGCGTATAAGTACAAATTTCCGCAATCCAGTAGGTATAACGGTTCGCGGCCATGGAACTTTTTGCGTTGTTCGCTTCCTTGCTTTCGCTGAATGATCGAAAAGCTACTTTTGTTGTGCAGAGCAACGGGGTCACGAAACATCAGTCACAGCCACTAAAACGATGACTCTAAACACATGAACAAATGAGCACGGCTCCCCGTTTACCTCAGCAACGTTTGATAATCATATGTTTAAGTACATAATTTGACCTTATTACATCAACATTTTGTTTTGCTGCTTATATAAATCATTCGTTCGTTTCCGGTTGTTTTCTCGTATTGTGCCTATCACCCATCATCATTGTCATCGTCGTCATATTTCTCTCATATGTTGTAACAACGGATCAGGACGGTGGCAGATGCTATTTTGCACGATGCGACACCAGTTCACGTTCACTTCGTTATGTTCGTGCCCGCTCTTATGGGCCACGCCTCCGAAGAGCAGCAGGCTCGCTGGTTACCGGACGCACTCACTATGAGAATCATTGGCTCATACGCGCAAACTGTTAGTAATGAAACCCTATCGTATTCAATGATTAACGCCATTCAAGCTAAATATGTGTCGACCGTTCTACCCTTAATTAAAAAATGTTTGTGATCAGTTTTATTAAATAAGTCAGTGTAGTGTTTAATGAAGCGTTATACATTTTTATTACCAAAAGCTAGACAACTGATGTTTTACAAGTTAGCGTATCTAGTGAAGAACGTCGTTTATGACGTCGAGGCAGGCTCTAGAAGTAATTACAATTAATTAATTAATTAATTAATTAAGTAAGACAATGAATTAATTGTCCTAGCTTCTACCGTTATCTGCCTGGCAGTTATTGTAACCTATTACGATGCTTTTCTCTGCGCTTACCATTTATCTAGGAACTGGGTCATGGAACATTTATTCGTGGTTTGGAAACGACCGCTACTTACGATGAAGAGACACAAGAGTTCGTCCTGGAGACGCCTAAACTGTCTTCAATAAAGTGGTGGCCAGGAAGCCGTGAGCATCAGTTTATTGTAGATAAACAAAGAATGCGGATTACTAAATATGCCCCAAAAAATAGCGCTTGGCCTAGACTTTCTTAAATACTTATTAGCATCACTATGTCACTAGCATTTTATTAATCTTATTCGGTTTCGTATTGCCATGCATCTTACACATTTGATACTAATTGATTAATTAAAAAAAAACTTATTCGAAACGAACTTTTTTTTTCACGAGCACAGTCGGTAAAACGGCAAACCACGCGGTTGTCATGGCTAAGTTGTACACCAAAGGGGAAGGTCATGGAATTCATCCGTTTATGGTGCAGCTCCGAAATTTAGAAACTCACGAACCGTTGCCAGGTATCAACGTTGGAGAGATTGGACCCAAGATGGGTCTGCGTTCAGCCGACAACGGGTTCCTTAAGGTAGATGAATATTCAATGATGCTCTTCTGAAAAGATTTAAACCAGAAAGATAATTTATTTCTGCATACTAAACTCCAGTTTTCAACAAATTAAGGTGTCTAACTATTGGTGTGTCTTTACTCAAATAGCTCGATAAGGTACGTATTCCCCGTGAAAACATGTTGATGAAAAACGCGCAGATCTCCCCTGACGGCACTTATCACAAGCCGGCTTCGGATAAGCTTAATTACGGTACAATGGTATTCGTACGAGTCCTTCTGCTCGATATGCTTGCGTTCAACATTTCAAGGGCTGTCACGATTGCTACACGATACTCCGCTGTCCGTAGACAATCAGAAATTGTTGCTGGGTAAGTGCATAGTGAGACGGATATCAAACCAGAGAATAATCGTAATAATACAGATGCCTAACCTATACTTTACAAAAATGTCTACTGTGTGTTGGCTTCATTTTACGGAGTCTGTGAAACAACCAGACTCTAAGAGGGACATGCTAAAGATTAATCCAAAAAATAAACCAAATATCATTTCATCTACACTGGAAATATCGTTTTTTTGAATTTTGAAGCCTTCAATCTTGGAAACGGATGAGATGCGCTATTTAAGTGTATGAAGTAACAATGGGATGCATATCTCAACAATTTCAGAATACATTTTGGAATAAATTTTAAGGTAATTATATAAGAGGTTTAATTTTTTGGTGCTTTTTCTAATACCTAACCATAGGTTCAAATACGTTTTTGTTTATTCTTCTCGTAGAGCTGGTGAGACACAGATCCTCGACTACCAAGCACAACGTTATAAGTTGTTCCCTCTGATCGCATTGTCTCATGTACTTCGCGGCATGTTCGCCATTCTTATGGAGATGTATAAACAAGCCAATACCGATCTTGAGCGTGGAGTCCTCGACACGCTTCCTGAATTGCACGCTATCTCATCTGGACTCAAGGCACTTTGCTCAGACATGGCTTCGAGGGGCATTGAGGTACAGAACGGTGGATGTAGCCTGAGATAAAAAAAAATACTGAACATACACTACTGTGTAGCAGTTTAGTCCCTATAACTTAGTAGAAGTTAGTCTTATCTTCAAATAGTATCTCAGAAGAAGTGTAAGGGTAATGATTTCTTATATATACCATTGTGCGTATTAAAAGCCGCCTTTCATTAATGACATTACATGATGAATGGGTTGCAGACCTGCCGACTGGCGTGCGGCGGACATGGCTACCTTCTGGTCTCTGGCCTTCCTCGTCTATATGCAACGACCGTTGCAGCTTGTACCTATGAGGGTGAAAACACCGTCCTTTATTTGCAAACTTCGAGGTTCCTTCTGAAGTGCCTCACGGGACAGCATAAGCTTGGAGATTCTTCGCAGCTCAAGTAAAACTAAATATGTTCAATAATATTAGACCCAATACGATATATCATTGAGGATTCTTAAATACAGTGCTACTTTGTTCGTGTCTTTATTTGTACGAACCCTTATTTCCTTCCTCTGATACAAGCAGATTCCTGTTAGATCCAAATGCGCCTTCGGTTACTCGTTTCAACACCGAGCTTTATGGTCTTGACGGAGCCTCGCATCTCGTTCAGTTCTATGCTGCTGCTGCTTATCGAGAGCTACGCTCTGTCGATACCAAACTGAAGAGACTACAGGAAACAGACAGTCTATCTGCTGGTGAGAGCCGCTATTGCTTCGGAGTTAGTGATCTCGCTTACTGCGAAGAGCTTGCGCTGATCCGCGCGAAATAGATCTTTGCCAGCCGTGAACGACGATGTAATATTTCGTTATCATTAATTACTACGTAATTAGGGGCCACCCGGTCTCAGTACTGCCTATTTAATTTTTAAACTTAATTCGTTCAGTTGTACATTGACCAGCCACTACTTGCCTAGCCTCTTCATGTATTACAGTTTATGCCGTGTTACTCGTATTGTAAAAATGTATAAATGTGCATATATTTACTCCAGGTAAGGGTGTCGTACATATCCATTTACATATTATCAACCAAGCCTAATTTCCATAATAATATGATTCTTTACCTTTTTGTTGTCTCTAATCATCGTCTAATGTTGGCTTCTCGGCAGATAACGCATGGAATTCGTCGCAGGTCGATCTATGTCGCGCAGCACAAGCATGCATCCAGTATTACCTCGCTAAAAACTACGTACAGTGGGTCTCACGCAGCCAGGTAGCTTTCCCATTCGCTTAACTGACATCGTGTACGATTGCATAGGCATGGCGAGATATAAAATGAATGAATGCCTATTATAAAAAAAAAAAACAAAACATTACAGAATGCGTTTTGAATAATGCAGATCGGGATCGTTACGTTTTTCGTTTAGGTCACACCTGAACTCCGGCTTGTACTTGCTCAACTTGCCCAGCTGTATCTTCTTCACGGTATCTATGAGCACCATGGACGCTTTTTACAAGTAGGTGGCTGATGAAAGTGTTTTATGGTTTGTCTATTTGATTATACCAGTGTTTAATGTTCTAGGTTGTCAAAGCATATTTACTTTATGGAATATTCGTTTATTAGCAAATTCAATTTGTCCAGTATCTCCAGTCTTTTTAACTCTCGGTCCCAATTTTGCGTTCCTATTTTGTTTGAATAATCTTGCCTTTTCAGGTAGGCCTTTCTGCAGAAGATCTGACAGCAATCTCATCGTTGATAACGCGTCTTCTGGACGATCTTCGTCCAAATGCTGTGCCCTTGGTCGATTCATTCGATCTTCATGACATGGTCCTTGCCTCAGCTCTGGGATCATACGATGGACAAGTTTACGAAAGAATGTACGAATGCGCTCTTCAGGCGCCGCTAAACAGTAAACAAGTTGTAGACGCCTATGGAAAGTACCTTGAACCGCTATTTAAGAACAAGCTTTGAGCGCATAATGTAGCTAAATTTGTACCGCGTTGAGACTACATCAAGAGAAGGACTTCAAGAAATAAACTGTTCCAGAAAGAAGCCCTATATAGGAAGTGCGTCATTAGCATTTTGAATCGAAGATAGCCATTTTAAACCGTCAGGTTGAAACCATTACCACCCTAATTTGAAACATGACGTATTGAAATTTAAATATAGAATTTCCTAATGTCCAAAACTACAATGAAAGGTCTCAAATGGTCTCTCAGATGGGTCGCTAATGCACATGAAGTTAGGCTGATCAATTATTGTACTGCGTTTTCAACAGTCTAAATAGACAAACTTGTACTTGAAACCTTCGCTCCCGACAGCAGAATGTTACGCTTCAATATAATCCACCTATTTCTTAAGGACAATCTTAATACTGCTGTATTAGGAAACAATGTGGCAAGAGAAACATTAGTATACTGAAGAATCTGGAGTTTTGCCTATGAGCATACGTAGCTTGAGTCGAGGCTTCCGTATTGTGGTATCGGTACATCTTCTGATTTATGTAATGATCTACTCATACACATCGTATTTATAAAATATTACGCTAATTAAAGACAACTAAAACTTAAGTTCACATTTTTATTCTTTGAAATGCCATTGATCGTAGAAGCAAACAGGTACTAAGAGACCGGGTAGTAATATATTGGCCAAAGTCACTGATGATCGATATCCGGGATAAACAGTGTTCTAGAATAGACAAATTGAAACCGCAATTACTAAAAAAAACTTTCTATCAGTGTCAATTGAGAAGGAGTACTGGTTTGTACGGCATGTTGAAACGGAACATTTGTAATTGTACGTGCAAGTAAAAACAAATGCCAGAGCCATAATTCTGGACCGGTAGGTATGCCAATAAAACGTGAACAAAAATCAAAATGGCTGCACACAGTTATGTCTAAGAAAGTATAATACAACCAACAACTGTGCATTGTTATTAGATGTGGGGATGCGATGGTCCCTAATACTGCTGATTTAATTTCCTATGTGTACATGAACATCAATAAAGAAAAATATATTTTTGTTTTCCAAAAGTGGAACCAGTTGTCTTCTTTGTTTTTGTTGATATGTATGCAGATTACAAACTTTCTAAAAAAATGGTTAGGTCACTTACTTTGGTTGCTAATCTGTAAGGTTTCTCTGCTCATCCTACGGCGATTTTCTGAGAATTACTATTAATTATTCTCTTTTTACCCTAATATAGCTAAACAGTGATATGCCTTGAGTTCTACTCCATTGCAAGTCATTACGAAAAATTGCATCCTTGAAAAATATCACAAAAATATAGCCAAATTTGGAAAAGTGGTGCTGGAAAATGTTAATTGGATATATAATAGCTAGATAAAAACATTCCCCGGCATTATCGGTGCCATGGATTAGGCGGAGCTAAACGTTTGTTCTATACGTTTCTGCTAAAGGCGGGTTAGATTGTTCAAGCTCCACGCTGCAACATTTACATGTGTAGATGCTTCGTTGGGTTAAAAAAAAGACTTAATTATTCTGTAAATAAGCACTCCACATGCTATTTTTGTTAAGCGTTGTATTGCGATAATACAACCTTTTATGCAAACGATTGATCTCAAGTATTGATCCACGTACGAATATTAAAAATGTATTTATGTACTAGAAGCAGTAGATATAGCCACAAGCGAATAATCCGATGCGTTCATGTTTTCATTGAGATACCAGAATGGAAACCATGCTTAAGATACTACTAGGATTTCGATAGTCATGTTATCTATTGGATATCAAAATATAAATTTAATAAACGTTCTCTTTTGAACAATCGCTGTCTTAGACACTATGACTTCTGTCGAAGAATTCCATCAGCGTCAGCATCAATGTGAACTTCCACGTGATCCTTTTTATGGTGATCTCTACCTTTATGATCTTTTCGATGATCATCACCGTTTCTATATTGGGTTTCTTCCGGACTATTCTTTCCTTTAGAACCATTCTTTGTGTTCCTGCTGTCTTCATCACCATCGCCGCCAGTGGAATCGCTTCCCCTCTAAACGATTCCAATGTTCCGATGTTACAAACAATAAATTAGTTAGGACCATGATCAATCGCTTAATTGCAATACCAAATCAGCGAATGGATAAAGGACTTAAACCTATCCGTGGATGGGAAAGGTTATGATCGACTACCTTATTCTTGCGTAACTGGACGCTATGAAGACGTCGCCTAAGACTATATCCAACTATATTTCAAATTGATCATCTGAAATATAGCACTCACTATTACAGTTCGGTATTCTACTTATAGCTATGTACACATTATCAATAACAATCGCGATTACCTCAATGCAATACATATGTAATAGAGGAATTACCTATTATTATTATTTAGAGAACGTAGCTGAGGCGATCTCAGTATATGGTATTTTTTTGAATCAGCGGTACATGTCAGTGTTACCTTAGCTTGATCGTTAGTGCTTCCTCCTCCGTCTTTCTCGGTGGCACTTTTATTCTTGTCTTTTTCCTTTTTTTTAAATCGGAACATCCTGAGCAGCTTGCGTATTCGATATTTGAACGACAATTCTCTGCCCTCCTGTTCAAGAAGCGAATCCCACGATCCACGCTGTCGTTTTTCTTCCTCATGCTCAAATGTCTCTCGAACTTTATCCAAAGCTAAATTTATCAAATTATCATAATAAAATCTGATTATCGTTGCAAAACGAATTTGCATTTCTGTTTTCTTGCTGAGCACGGAGCCACCAAAACCTTTGTCACAGACACACTCTTCAAAATAAATAGGCAAGTTTCGTCTTGTCATAAGTAATACAAAATGTAAAGATTTTCCATTAATTAAGCGTATATTAAATATACCAGTAACTGTAGAGTTGAAAACTGCCGGCTTAGAATCTGATAGGAATATTATTTGTAAACCGGAAAGGTCTAAAATATTTTTTTTTCGTAAAAATACTTATATTAATATAGCGAAAAGCAGTTTAGCTAAAGTTAGTCAGATTTTGTAGTGTTTTCCTATTGGTCCGACATAAATAAGATCGTTTAATTAGAGCATTGTAAGGCATGCTTATCAATCACCTACCTATTGTAAAGCATAAGCTTATTTCAAAAGAATGCTAATCAGTCTAGCCACATTTTAAAATTAATTAACGTCGTTGCCATCTAAATAGCTTATTGTCTTCAACAAGCCTATGGCACTACCTTTCAGAAATGTTAGGTCATCCATTGCAATTTTGTTAAGCTGTTTACGAAACTGTAGGGTCAACTCCCTCCGGTGACAATCGGCTTCAATCTCTTGTTTTGTTCGAGGCACACGGCACTTCATGAAGCAGCACATCACCACAACTGCAAATATTAACAAAGAGCGTTGGCACACTTTCAAGCAAACAAAAGGTGAGGCGTGTCTAAAGAGTTTAAAGAAAAATCCTTTGCAGTCTGTCGTCATCAAGAAAGGCATATTCGTCCTTTGCCAGCGCTTTCATCAACGATACTGCACTTTCTATTGAAAAAAAAGACGCTGAAATAAGCCGTTATTGCGTGTCAGCTCACCTCCTGTATTTTATGTAAATAACTCGCACTCCTATTTATAAAACAAACGAAAGAAAATTTATATAATATCTTCCATACGAATGTCAGAAATACCCTTTGCGGACATCTGCATACAGTAAAGGCTAGAGATAACGTTTTTCGACCATGATTTCATATTAGCACATATTTCTGAATGGCTATATAGTAATGGTTATATAAAATGCAGCATATTTAATCACAATACTCTGTAAATGTCTATCATGACGCGTACGTAAACAGTAATCTATTCTCCACGTATCCGATTTCTACGTTAACTATTTGTGTTTACGAGAGTAATCAATTTTTCAATAACCTCATAATCCCGTGCATCTATAAGGGGAAATTATAGAAAAAGTTCAAGATTTAAAGGTTTCATTATGTAGTAGCGTATTTTTCGAGGTGGCCAAGATTTTAGGTAGTTTTTACGCTGAAGCATTCCGAATAAAAGGACCTACAACTCCATAATTTCCCTTCTGAGCTATATATATTCATTAAAGTCGGTAGTGACTATTAGGATTTTTAAAAATTGATCATCTTACTTAATGGCTTGAAAATTTCAGAATAGTCCGACCCACTAACAAATGTGTTAGTGATGGCATATTTTTTAAAAAAAATTGGCGATCTGAAGTCGCTTTCATCGCGCAGGTAGAATCCGTATATTGACATACGACTACTTCGGTCAAAAAAGAGTAATCGAACCGGTCATCTTCGTAGGAAACGTAGCCAGAATAACGGTGCTAAATTGTAACCAGAGAAAAATCTGCGTAATTCGTCTGCATCCGATATGTCCTTTGTTGACTCTTAACTCTTTCAATATTTATTTGTTAGGGCTGAAAATTAACAGCGCCATTGGGTTCCTTAAGTACTAGCGATTCGGTAATAACGAACTTAAATGTAGAGCTTTGCAGCGAATTTATATTAAAATTTTAGCCGGGGATCTAATCTAGAGCGCTTTACTTATGATATTGTGTTGCTCGCAGAAGGTCTAAAGGGTTGAGGTCACCACCATGGAAAATACCCATACTTCTTGTTGATAGCCTTTGTCATTGTTTATTTACTGCTACTGTTTAACCTGTGGCTTCACATCGTTCCATTGGTATCGCATTAATATTATTAACTCTTATTTCAGTATATATACATATATATTGTAAGAGGCGATAAATATTGCACTGTATAACAGCATCCAGTTTACTTAAAACGTTTATATCAAAATGATAATAGTGTATAGTAATAATGTGAAGAAAACAATTTAGCTATATAATATAATACAGTAAATAACTCACTAACAACAGTTGCTCCTGCGCAGCTCATAAACATTAATTGCCAGACCCGAAAGCCGGCAATGACACTCTTTTCTAGCCAATCGCTTCCCACTTCCGGAACCACGGGCACGCATTCCTAAATGCAGGCCGTATTTATTAGCAGCGGCAGCAATGTAAGTGAGCAATTGCTTTCGAATGCAGTGATGATGACACTGAGGATGCTTCGTAGAAAAAAAAAATTAGGTTTGCACCTAGCGAAGTCATACAAAGCATGGATCACGTTTCTAGATGCAGATAGCCCATAGTTAGCAAATTCGACTGGGTACCAGGAAAAATCTTGTTTAAACGTCTAGTTTATGCATTGATGAAAAATACGCGAAGGCTTCATTAAAAATACTTACGGCCATTTCGGTGCTTGGTCTTCAGCGTTTTTGTTTCTAAACAAAGATTCCTAAAAACCAAGTTATATGATTAAGTGGAGCTATTCAGCCCATCCGGTTGGCTCAAGCTGAAATCACCCCACACCAACGGTATCCAGTACGAATAGACACACGTACATCGGTCTTTTTGTCAATATACGAATATACGATAGATTATGAGTGAAATATTTGGAGTAGCTAAAGGCCGGTCTTCGAAAACTTCATGCATATGGACTAAACATTACTCATTGTGAAGATCGCGCGAAATTTCATGAAACGAACTTAAGCTTCTTGTTATGCATTGTCTTTAGGTGGGAATAGAATTCCGTCGCGCTTTTCTTTTCGATGACTGAAAATAGTCCGGGAACATTGCGGCTTGCGAATAAGAAGAGATCTGTCACCTATAGCCACCCTAAAATTGCGTTCCGATTAAGACATTTCAGTCACAGTAACAGTAGTGATGCAATCAGTCACAACATTTGGATAAATCATAAAATTAGGTCGACCATTATTTCGAATAAATCACTTCACATTAACAGTACGCTTAATATTGATAAACACTATTAGCGACAACGCTGCCCACTTGGAATAGTGCTCAACGCTGGGCAGAAAGAGCGTTTCACTGACTACCTCAAACAATCTGCTTCTTTAAGGGGCTGTCCTTGAACCCCTCGTGCCTTCCCTCACCCATGCTACACCCATCTGACTACCTACTGTTGTGGTCCGGAGTATTTAGGGAGCGTGAGGCCTCTTTGGTTTTCCTTGTCCACACAAGCGCCACCTTTGCGCTCGTCAATCAAATGTAGCTGTCACGTACTTCACCAATTTATTGATAAAAGCTTAATACATCTTCATAGTTGAACAAATACGACTTCCATTTTTCTGGTAGCCTATAAGCTATATCTGCTCTTGTGCAGGATTGGAAGCTTCATAATTCCAAGTAGGCATTATAAAGGCGGCATAATTCCTAGTACTCATACACAGAAACATACAATTATTTAGTGTGTTTCTGTAAGGACTCTTTTCCACAAATATCATTAAACTGATCCGTTAGACTTGATTTTACTATATAGGCGCGCTTCTGCACCCAGGCATAAGCTTTTTCACAATAAGCGTACTTTCCAGCAGTGTCTAATAATAGCATGTTTACTGTATCAGTTAATCAATGAATGATACCGACGATTATTTCTTATTATATTACATAAGATATTTCTGAACAAAATACTACATTTTTGATTGAGACCTCATATCGTTGAACAATGTTATATGAAAGTAAAGGCGAATAAAAATTTTATTATTGAATAACGAATATAACAACTAATGTGTTTTTCGTATATTTTATGAAAAGTATGTGGGTTGTGTCGCAATTTCTACGGCATTGGCGCAGCAAAATGTCTAGGTGGGGTAGGTTGTAACGGACACGCCCAGAGGGCAAAAGACGTAACACCTTCCTCGTCGGTTGCTTTACGGTTCATAGGAGACCATCAGCTGGTAGCCGTTAGGGACGGGTAGACAACATTAGATTGGCTAATTTGTTAATCGCTTTTCTCTGCCCACAGCCAACAACAAGCTTTAAGTTCTATAATTCGAATTATGTTGTAACCATATGCTTTACCTGCTTTAGCTTAAGCCAGAAAGTCGGCTCGTTGTTTTACATGCATGATGTTATGTTTGTTCTCGACCATTTTCAGCAAGTACACGGTAACCGTGGTGGAAAGTTTAAGTCAGTCTCAATATCATTCAACATAAATCAACATACCCATTTGAAATGCCCATACTTTGACCACGATGTATTAAATCATACATAGATCTACGAAGAAGATACAGTTAATTCTTTACGCACATTAGTACGGTATGTACAGCTATGATCATATTCTTATTAGACCTAGTTTGCCGTGCTACTTCCAACTATATACGACCATGTTATCAAAAAAAAATCCATAGGCGTTGCTTTTAGGCAGCATTAATAATAATAGTTCTTATAGAATTATTTCACTGAATATAATAAAAATAACTAAAGTTATTTTTGTTGCAATACGTGACCGGTTTATTCTGATGAAACCCGTTATGTCCTAAGCTACCACTTCTACTTAACCGTTCAGGTCTGAACATGTCATCTGCCTCACTCAATAGTGATAACAGCATATTTTGGTATTTTTCCAATACGTATGTGTTATTAAAATGGATTAAAGTTGTTATATAAAAAAAAAAGGTTTGTCTAAAAAAATGACGTAAAGTCTACCGCGAGATTAAATAAGACTGTACAAAAATTTAAAAAACATTAATCCAATTAGAAGGAGGATAACGTACTTCTTATGACAGCTTCATCTAGTTTCAAGATACAAATTATTGAAAAGTGATAACCTTATTTTGAATTTGGAGTGAATCAGACCGTGTATACCGGGGGCGACAACAATGATCAGGATAAACATTGCCGGATTAAATGTAACTGTGTTCACGCTGCCGTGAGTTCAAGCGAGAGAGCTCCGTGAGTTAAACGATGACGGCGAGCTCTGTCAAAAACGTAGCATCATCGTGCATATCTTCTCTGCGCAAAAGAAGTCTCAAAACTATGATCAGTCACCTAGCACCAAGAAATTAGCTTAAAAATTATATATACAATACATAGGTTTTATTACTATTACACAGAGATTATTTACACTCCGTCAGCATGCAATATATGTACGAGTATGAAAATAATTCGGTTTGTTGTGTTAGTTTGTGTAAGCGCTCTGGGAGAGCTCATAGTAGTAACCCATAGCAACCAAAACGAAGTCACAGTACTATAATCGTATAGAGAATGTTGCCAAGGATAATAGAAAATATATAATTTTTCGACCCTCGTTCCTACCTAATAAGTTCTAATAGCCATGTCTAACATTAACTGATTTTGTACACATCACACAATTGCTCTTATGCTATCTTATAACATTTGAATAGTCGATAAAGATTTCGGAGTATTTTGAATCTCATCGTGAACGCCCTTTGAGATTCAACCGAATCTAGTTACCCAAACGTCGGTGGTACTTTGACGAATATACCCCTACTATTCATCGGAGCTCCAACAATTAATTATCATTGAGCTCGAAAGGCTCAACAACATAATCATAGGCATGTAAGCTACAAAGTTTATTCGTCCTTTAGAGTACTGTATATACACACATTTTCTGTCTAAAAAGATATCGTACTTCTAATTGTTCTTTGTCCTACTGTAGCTTTGGAACCATGATTAAATGCTTTACATGTATGCCTGAACTTCGTGCTAATACACGTGCGTATCGTTACAAAATAATTAAATATAGAAATAGAAACTGAAGGGAAAACGCTTCCATTTATGATGCAGTTACTATAACACCTAATGCAGCTTAGTTGTCTCGATCTTGTGGTCAAGTCGATCCGGTCCAGATAACATTTATTTTGAGGCCTAGACTTATTAGAGAAGTTTGTAGTACAGGCCATCCCTTATACAAAACAAAGAAATGGGATGTCTTTCGAATTAATATGTAGACATGCATGGGTACATTCGTAAGCTATTAGTCATTACTTTTTTTATTTTTCCTTTGCCGTTTTCTATAGTCTGATCCGTCCGAAGATGATGAACTGCATTCTTCGTCGGATGATAGGGAATCACTTCTGGAGCTGCCACTACTACCTTCAGAATCGGGATCTGATTCCGAGTTATCCGAAGACGAAGACGAACTCGAGGTTCCTGAGGTCGACGAGGATGATGATGAACTCGAAGAGGATGAAGTCGACGGCGACCTTCGGCGACGTTTCATGCCCTTACGCTCAGCTTTCCTATAATTTCTGTGCTTTTTACGATGCTCACCACTTTTCTCCATAGACTTTTGTAGCTTCCTATAAAAAGAGTCGGACTCTTCGTTCTTATGGCGCCGAGAAACATAAACCTACATAATTAAATCAAATGCCGAAGTTATTGGCAACATCTGTAAGGTGACAACTGATTAAAGTTCTGATGCTCAAAGGATGAGAGATCACAGTTAACCCCCTCGGCCATTTGCCTAACATAGCAGGCGACAAAATGACAAAACCTATTAAAACAAGAGTCAATTGTTGTAGTTGTCGAATTCAATGGCTTGCTGCCCGAATTAAGCTTTCGTCCTCTTGATTTCGCGCTACTGCTTACAGATTTGCAAATCTAAATTCTAACTTACTGTTGTTCGATGACCTTGGCAAGCTTTGCTTCCTTTTCCGCTTTTCGTAGGCGCTGAGTGCGTGTGTCTCTTTTAAGATACTTACGCTTCCCGCGACATTCGTATGTCCAATGGCCCATGCCGAGACATCTTTGGCACCGTACCGATTCCTTGTTTACCCTACGCAGTGGCGCCATCACCAAATCGGGGCAGGTGCAGTTGGATAAAAGACGATTACCGAGAGCAAACCAACAAAACAAGCATACAGACAGATATTGGTGACCCGGCAGGAGACCATCTTGAGGATTTCTTGTTCTGCTTTTAGAGTAACTAATATGTATTGAGAGTAATTCATTTAATTCTGCTAATGCAACGCTATTCATTCAATGTCAACAGAAGAAACCGGCCTAACCGGAAAAAGGTTGAAATAGGAATAGGGCTCAACTAGAAGACCTTGTCCACAGCCTGTAGTCGGTATAGATGCCACATGACTAAGATAATATGCATCTTAAAACTACAGAGTTTTACCTTCGGTACACGGCCTCGATACGAGTTGTTTTCACGTATGTTTCTAGACTTGTTAAAAGAACTAATCGATTTAGCCAAGCATATGTTAGCATAAAACCAAGGCAAAAATGAGAACACCCAATGTATTGCAATGAATTTTCTTTATATTATTATCATAAATGATTAGAGCATAGTTCATCCGCAGAAAGATCTGTCGATTTTACTGTCTAGATACTTTAGTGGTGGTAATAGTATTATACACATTATTAACAACAGATTAATCAACGTTGCAGGGATAAGGTTACTGCAGGAGCTATTGTCGATCCCATCGAGGGGCACAAAATACAATCTGTTTTAACGGTTTCTCATAGTTAGCGACGATGTCTATCTCACCATCGACCGTTTATCCGCCATACTTTGCAGACGTTTACTTAACGTGTTTCCTTTAAAGTCACCCAATTCCTTTTACGTCACTTTTTCGACGCGAACTATCATTCACTATATTACTATATATAGTTGCCTTACTTTGCATGTTGCTTGCACTCATTTATATTGGCCGATTGCGTCATTCCCAAACATACGCACTCAAGTCAACACAACACTCAAACGATTGCCTATCGTATTGGACATACTAGCCGAAGGAAACAAACGGAATAAAACTGTTACTGTACGTCTAGAACCGGGCAGGATAAAGGGGCTTACAAAAAATGATCACTACTCATCGTAAGTCCACCCAACTGTTTGTTTACTAAAACAGCGGTTGCCCTAATAATCTCTAACATTTCTCCTACCTACCATTCATCTATCTTTCTCTCTTATTTTCCAATTACTAGCTTCAAAAAACAAAACTTTGGCAAACAGGCAACGAATCTACTTGAATATGATAATACATATTGAAAACAGTGGTCAGCCGCCAAGCAATCCCGGTGGGCTTGGAAAAATTTAATTGTACTAATATGATCATAACTTAATATAGCAAGCGCCGCCTTCTCACAAAGTAAACGTAAAGTTGTTTGTTTGTTTTTTTGCTATCTGGATTTGCTTTTAGGATAAACTGTCAGGGATTGTCAGGGTGGAATTTCGATCACCGAGAAACTCAATCCTCTTATCCTGGTATTAGATAATATAAGGAAGCAACATAGGTTAACAGAAGAGAAGCTATTCGAACGCACTTTATATTAACGTTTGTTGGTTCAGTTATGTGACTGGACCCCTCCGGCTTAACCTACCTCGTGCCTTCAACCAAATTCCTAAAAGGTTGAAGGTTGATTAGACGGAAAGTAAGTTTACTCTGCAGGCGGAGTTATTATTTAAAATAAATACATTACCCTCTACTAGAATATTTTCAAACTCAAATTTTAAAACTGTTGAGAAACACTTCTGCTGTCAAGATGGGTCGTGCAAAACGACGCCAGAAAAACCTAACCGGTGGTTCTGTATAACTCAAATTATCGATGTCACCCAAAAAATCGCTATAAAGCCCTTTGTCATGCAGAAGTTGCCCACTTGTCTTCAAGCAAATCTACGTATAGTAGTAGAGCAAAACACCGAGCGTCGGGTCGAACAACTTCCGAGTTTCGTGTCGCGCGCTGGTTGTGCTCATTCAAAGCACTAACGTATTTGAGCAGCTGTGCAAACGTGTCAGGTAGCTAATTCAGAGTACATTTCTTTTCGTAAACAATGCAAAATGGAAACTGTTATCACTCGATTTGCGCCATTTGGGTTACCCGAACCCCTTCTTAGATATCACAATATCTATCACTACCTAGTCAAAGTGCAAAACATTCCCGCTTTAGTCAGATCCTCTAACGTGTTTCGCGTTTCACAATCAATTTCCTGTAAAACTTCGGCAAATTGCTTCTCGCCAATTTTTGCTGCCAATGAACGCATCTGATGCAGGAGAAAGTCCGAGAGGACAATGGTGTGGGCTACGTCGCGTTTGATAATCTCAAACATGCGAGCACTATGTCGACTCGCTGTGTCAAATTCCAACTCTGTCCAGGCGTTTTCTGTAGCATCCTCTGGGATGAGAAGAAGGTCAACTAAAGCTGACCCCGACGTTCCTGGGCTTCCCGACGAGGTTTGGTCGTCACCTTCACCGCGAGTCGCCGGCTCGACGATATCGTTAAGGAGTTCAGATACCGCTAAAGCAATTGCGCATACTTTGTTGTACATCACAGGGCTCCAATGATCAACTAACAGTCGCAACAGAGTTATTGCCATTAGTTTTTGAATCTGGACGACTGTTACCGATGACATCTTCTTAAGCCACCAATCGAGAACGACCTTCATTTCGCCATCGATGTCGATCGGTGCTTGGGGTTGTTGCCGAGTGATCGCTTGATCGCCGTGAGCGTGGGCATTGTTGTTGGCACTAGCAGTTAGGGCCGCACGGTCAGCTAAGACACGCATAGCTATCGGTTCGGCGAACAGCAAGAGACGACACCAGATCGAAAATGACGTGTTAGTCAGCTCTCGGATGTATGCATCAGCCGTAATCTCGTCGAGGACAAAGCCAAGCAGTCGATAGAAGATTTGGCCAGCTTCAGCAGGTGCCACTCGGATAGCCATGTCGACAATCTTTAAAATGAAGGTGCAGCCTTGTACACTCAATTCCTGATATGCGTTTCCCAGCGTTTCCGTTAACTTGTCGGGAAAAAGAGTGAGGAATCTCATCTTAAACAGTACAATATACATCTTTGTTACGTTTGTTATTGGCTCGAGATGTTCGGAGCCCAATTCAAGAATCGGCGGGATGAATTTGGCTAATGCCAACAGGTCATCGTTTTCTTCTGGGGATTGTTCGAGAACTGCGCGCCACAAATCAAGCGCGTCCTCCATGAGGGTAACATGTTGTGGCTCCTCAACGTTGACGCTGTGCTCAATAATCTTCAGTGTGAATGGATACATATGTACACTATCAGGACCCATGGCGTCAACGGCGCGAACAAGCACACCGACGACAGCTGCTCGTAAAAGGTTGTGTTCCTCCGCTTGATCCCACAGTGGTGGTAAGAATGTGACGAGTTCCGGAATGAAGGGTTGACATGCGTCACCCATTCTCTCAAGAATGTAGGCCATCGTTTGTAGCACGACTAATTTGCCCTCGCATTCGGTTAAATCAACTAATAGATGAAAAGAGGCGAACATATAACGGCCCAAGAAAGGAACAAATGCTTCAGCAGAGAAGTCAAAGTGATCGACGACCGTCTTCGACGAAAGGCACGCAGACAAACGAATGACGATGTCATGCTCGCGTCCCATGAATACGGCCAACGTTTCGTATAGTGCTGGTCGCAATTCCTCGGATAACTTCACGTCGGACCATTGCGCTAGCATCCAAAGTATCGTTCGATGAACGATCAGATAGTTTTTGTGGTTCACCTTCAGCTCGGGGATGAGCTGTTGCAAAAACCACTTATCAAAGTCGACTTCGTCGTAGAGGTTATACGAAGCCAAACCTACAGCAGTGTATATGGCTTGTCGCCGTTGAGCTTCTTCATACGTTGGCTCGACCATTAACGGCTGGAGTTGAGTAACGAGATTTTTTACGATTGGCATGACGATTGGACGAAACACCGAAAACACGGTGAGGAACAGGCTTTCGATGCACGGCCGAATTGAATATTTCCATAGATCGCCCCCCTGTTGCGTGGCATAATTTTCCGGATCAGTTGCCCACCGTTCCAGTTCATCAGTCGAAATAGGGAAAAAATCAAATATCAGGCGCTGGATGAATTCGGCAACTACCTCGACCTTGAAAAATTGGACGACAAGATCGTTCGATGAAACCGAGCCCGGTGCATATTTTGCAACTATTGCCGGATCTTCTTCACTCTTCTTGCCACGATAAAATGGCTCGTCAATGCATGCCTTGAGAAGGTTGAAGGCGTTAACGAGACATCGTTCAAACATCACATTCCGCCAGTCCTTATTGAAGGCAAACTGAAGTGCAAGTTCAAACGAATTTTTTACGTAGGGAACATAAGCCATAGAGTGTGTCTTTTGAACCTCGAGGAGGATCTTTGAACACTGCAGGCACCACTTCGTCAATACCGTCGCGAGCGGTTCTGCTTGACAGTAGTGCGCTCGGTATTTCAGCATCGTCAGAAGCCAGTCGAACAAATCTGCAAAACAGTCGGCCAGCCGCTGCTCAAGGCCGTTTTTACTGCCGTGAACAAGAAGAAGCTTGATACTCTTCAAAGACAGCAGAGACCTCTGAATCATAAGGATATTGGAATTATCCATCACAAATGCCTGTGTTGTAGCTTTCCAACAACCGATAATCGGGTCGTAGATTTGAATTGAAAGATCGTAGAACATATGTCGATCGTGTAGCATTCGCTTGGTCGTTAACGTTTTGACGACGTGGTATAATGCTAACGACGCTTGGTAACCTGCCGGTGAATCCAAGTTCGACATTAAAAACGGAACCAGCGGTTGCCAGTCTGTTGGGACGTCGTAACGAGCTATTTTAGCGATAACTAGAGATACCTGTAACGCTAACTGTTGGTTGAGCTCCATGGTAATTGCCTGAAGGAGCATGTTTCTAATAGCACTCTTCTCTTCCTCACCAATGCCACCAGGGGCATTTCGACGCCAGTATTTGTTGGTGCCATTTTTCAGACAGACAACAGCCATCCACCGAATTTCGTTGCTAATTTCTTTCAAAGGACTGCAGAAGATTGTCATGAGGGCATGATGATAGCCGGCCTGTACCTCATAACTGCTTAATTTAGCTTCGGCAATTTTAACGTCGGCCTGCTGCTGGGACAATGCTTGGCCCAACACAACGGTCAGCTCCTCTAAAGACACCATTTTTGGACGCCAGCTCCTCAGAAAAATCTGATATAAATACGCTTAAAGGTTCTCACTTTTGCTGCTGCTTGTTCCTACCGTTGCTTTATGATTTTGCAGTACGAGTCCCCCACACAGTCTTCTTTGGTCCTCAAACGATCAAACAGCAGCAGTAGTTGTAGAAGTATTAGTAGCCAGCCCTCCCTCGTGCAACCCGGCTTCTCCCCGTTAACTCACAATGCGTCGTGGTGTTTAGATGGAAGTTGTGCTTACTCTTTCTTCCACGGTAGAAAGTTCATCTTGTCGAAGCAGAACGCCCTCTCCAAGGCTTTTTCTAGAACTCAAGATTTCAGCTTCCAAATAAATGAGTCTGTTCGGTTTTTCCGCGGACGGTAGTAGGCACGCACGCAGTACCTAGTAGCAAAGATCTAACTACTTCAAATCACGCATACTTAGACAAATGCGCAGAAATGGCCCAACAACTTGCCGTATAAATAAATTGCAAATGCGGAATGGCACGCGCAAAATATTATGACTACAATGTATACTCTCTAAACCCAAACGTAGTGCAGCTTTGTTTATTATGATTTGATCGAAAAGACCGTGTATTTTGTTGTTTTCATCAGACGGACCTTCGCAGACGAAAACGAATATCTTTACAGAAACTTTTTTCGAGAATCAAATTGCCAATCCGCTAAACTGAGACAATAGATTCTGTTCAGTATATACTCTATAAAAGATACCAAAATACCTTTATTTGAAGTTATTGATTTCTTCAATGTGACTTTTATTAGAGATGCAGGTGTGGCGCGCCGTTTGATGAACACAAATAGCGCGAAATTTAAAGTCAAGTTTGCGTGGCTAAAATCGGATCGCTTGTCCACTTGTGCGTTCGAAGGAGGACCGTACATAAACCGGTTAAAACGTGGAAGGTGGAAATGTGGAACTCTAAACGCGATGTGTTGACTATTGTTGGCCTGGCAACATGCATTAAAGTCCTTCTTGTCTGGACTTAGTGAGTACATAGTTGTGAATGCTAATCATTCTATTTGAAAGAAATGCACTTAGAGAACTTTGAGGTGCAGCTGGGGCGTCTATTGGCCTATTAGCTGCAACAAAGAAGTTTATTTGCAAATATGCTCGTAAGTGCATACGTTAAATTAAAGTAGATTATAGAAGTAATTGCGACTAAAAAGTGCGTTATATGTAACCAGATTGAAAACTCGGCGGGTGCTTGTCTGCGCGCTGATGGACTAATAAATTTATGCAACCAAGCGACTACTAACTTTGGACTTCATTTAAACGCTGGTTTGATGAATTATTTTTATATATAAAAGATATTCCGCCTGATAGAACAAGATTAATTTTAATTTACTTAATTTCGAGGCAGCGTCTTGATGAATCAGCATAAAAGAAAATGCCAACGAATAGCAGCATCGATGATAAAAGTGAAATCTTTCTTGTATTGTGCATTCAAATTGACAGAGAGGGAAAATAAAGGGCCTGTTTTTATATTACACCTACCTGGACCCGCCGACATTCCACAAACACTGACAAGTAAATGCCGGAGCACAAAAAATAGCTGAGCATAAGATTTTGTATTTGTCTCATAGTGTAGCTAAGGGCATGATACCCAGTTTAAGTATAATTGCCCCAACGCCCAAGACTTTACTATTAGCACTGAAAACATTTAATCACATTTAATCAGAAGTGTTTGTGGACAATGCAAAATGGACGGTTTATAAATTACTGACGATAATTAGAAATAGGTCCAATCTAGAATTTATTCGAAGCACTCAAGCATATTGATTTCATTTATTGTATTTTAGAATTATACAATGAAAATACTATTAAATGTGTGATGTGAGAAGATACCTTCTTTATTACCATTTCATACTTTTCTTAACGTAAAAATAAAGTTTAACAGTTATTTAGGTATAAGCATTTTGCGATTGGTGCTCAACACTAGAAACCTACCAACTCTTTTTGTACATATGTCGCTACAAGAATAAGTTTGAGCAAGGTGACTGATCCCTAAATAAAGCTAATATTTCTATTATTAAAGATATTGATTCGATGGCGTTTCAATGATGTGAAATTTAATAGCCATGTGATTTTGTTTAAATAGGCGAATTTCTAAAAAAAAATGAGTAAACAGCCAGATTGGCCGTCGGTCGTACGTTTAATGCAAAACACGTTTAAGAAGAGTAAGAATAACCGAAGCCGCAATAACATATCTGAAACATGTAAAATTAAAATTCACAGTAAATGTTTGATGTTCTTTCGCCTGATATGAAGCCCCCTAGTGACCATTATAATCTAGAAACCATCATCAAAATCCATACTTCGATTGTTGAAATAGCGGTGTCCGTACTGCAGATTTTCATTTTATATTATATGACATAAATTGTTAATCATTAAAATAATAGACCGCGCATATGTATTTTATACACAGAAATTTCATGAGTTTGTTTTTGGTATCTTAAAATGGCAGTGTGAAAGTTTAGTGGCCTTTTATTTTAATGTACTGTATCTAAATGGAAGTGGAATTCATTGTCTTCTCTGAGGTCTTATTTTGGATGTATTAACGATGTACGTTATATGTCTTGAATATATGAGTTGATGCAATTTAACATAGCTATCCAAAAGGGCTGCTATCGAATCGCTGTTATATATATATATATATATATATCTTATATTTATTGAGGACGTGAGAAAAATCTAAAATATATTCGTCCAAATAATAAGATAAGAATATAAATGTTTACGCTAATTATAAATATAATGAAGTGTCCGGTAATCTCTGTTCTACTCAGTAGGTGATCAAATTAATTTTTTCTTTAATTAATTAAAACTGTGCCTCCAAAGTTTCACTCAACTTCCATAAGAGGCATAAGTGGCATCTTATCATGCCTTTCCGAAAGCCTTCGGAAGTTACAATCCGTAACTTTAAATATGTTAAACGAACTTAGTTTCTATTGAAGTTGATTCAATCGAATTTTATGACATACTCAGTTTTCATTTTTATTGCCAGCAAAAGCTTTGGGGTAATAAAAATTGCTTGTTCACTTGAAAAATGCTACGTATATAATAAAAACCACTCTTGACCCACAAATAACCTGTGTGTACGCGAATTTCTGCAGTATTTTACTCATATTGCCTATTAATCTCAGTACATTGGTTAATGCAGTTTGCGGTGCAACTTATTAATTCGAAGTTATTTACTTACCTTTAATATCGGCTCTGCACGTTGGTCAGTTATGTTTGTACTGTGAGATATAATTCAATCTTTGCTGGACCCATTAAAAAAAATCCGTATATTTCTTCTATGTATTTCAGTCGTTCGACAGATTTCGAAGTACACAGAAATTGGTTGGCCATAACCTATAGTCGTCCGATCAATGAATGGTATATCGAGGTGAGTTTACCGGCACGGCTAAACTGAAGAAAAAGACCCACTCGAAATTCTGATCTTATAGATATTAACTGCGAAACAGATACCCGCCGATTGGCCTACAATACAAGAAATGTTGAAAAATGTATATATTCCATTGACCATAAATCAACTTGACATAACTATCGTTTTTTCTTGATATACTTTTGCAGTTAAAAAAAAAAACCTGTAATCACACTAAAAGGATTGTTCCAGGTAACATATTATATCATTCTAATTCGTTTCCAAATATTACTTGTGATACCACAGTATTAAGAAAACCTAACGAAGTGATATCTTGTTACTTTTTAATACAGGATAGTTCACAATGGACGCTCGATTATCCTCCATTGTTTGCTTGGCTCGAATGGCTACTGTCTCAAGTGGCGGTCCTGGTGGATCCGGAAATAGTGAAAATAGAAAATGAAAATTATGCTAGCGATCGTTGCGTTATTTTCCAGAGATTTAGTGTCATCTGTACAGATATTGTCCTCATCTATGCCGCGGTCGTGTAAGTGGAAATTTAATTGTGTGGAAAAACTTCGAACTGAAATAAAAAATAGAGAGGCACATATTTTGAATGATGGACAGCATTCCCACGCATCGCTAAAGAGGGAAAACGCGCAAATATTTTCTAAGCTCAGTTGCTTAATTAATTATTCCAGTTGGCACGGCATCCTGTATCCGCAAACTCGTGGTCTTCCTATTCTATTCCAGCCACTGGTTCTTGTAGGCCTGATCCTGAACCCGGGATTGCTCATTGTAGATCATATCCACTTCCAATATAATGGAATCCTCACCGGCATTATGCTATTGGCAATCGCCAGAACCTATCAGGTATGTTCTGTGTTTCTATATTCTAAGATTCATTGTCATTTATTATAATGTGCAGATACAGCTTAACGTATAGCGCTTTGACAATAAATGAAATTTTTGTAACAATTCATTTTGTTATTTTTAATACGATAAAGGCACAAATAAAAATCGACATGCAAGTGGTTTCTCGCATCTGCCCCCCTTCCCCGTAATTCTTACGAATAATATGTTTATTACCATAAATAATCATCATCATTCGTATGATATTCTTTAGGGCTCGGTGTGGTGGGGGGCGTTGTGGTTCAGCATATTGCTGAACATGAAGCACATTTATGCCTATATTGCTCCACCGTTCTTCGTTTACCTGCTCAGCTCGTATGTCCTGGCGAAGCCATTTTCGGTATCGCGCATTGCGTATCGTCTGGCACACCTTGGTACCGTTGTGTTAACCGTATTCACTGTCTCGTTTCTGCCCTTCATGCTTCACGTATGTGAAATCGTATTATTGTAGAATGGAAAGTAAGAATGCGATGTTATTAAAAACGTCTGAAGGTGTATTAAAGGCTCTTCCTGAAGTTAAGCTACTTTGTGAAAAACTAAGCGAAGTTTGATGCCTTTGATGATAACTTTCTACGAGTCCTGTTGAGTTTTTTTTTTTTAGGAATTAATGTAGGTAAAAGTGTGCTCCAAATGAAATGAAATAGAAAATACCGAGCCAGTGTTGTTAGGAGATCTAACAAAGCTTCTTTTAAAACACCAGTAATAGGTCAATATTTCAGTTTGCTTGACGTCACCTAAAATAACCTATCAATTCTTCCTCTCCATTTTTTCACTCCAAAAATCTAACCGCTATTTTGCTAATTACTATTAATAGGCAAAAGAGTAAACAAATTGAACGGAAGATTATTATACAAAGCATTCAGCACGGTTCATCTTCGTATAGTGCTATGTAGCCTTACAAACATATTCTTATTACACTGCAGCTACTTTTTAATGACTAAGTCGTTGTTTAATTCTAGAAAATATCCAATTTCTAAATCCTAACCTAAAAAACATTGACTCCTGATTTGTGTATAACACACAAAATATAGCATTAAAGTTCTATTACTATTCATAAAAGGTTTATTGACCTTGATTTTACCAGATTCGTAGTCCTTTAAAATCTTATATTTTAATTTTTATCACCAAGGATATGCTTATTATTTACACATTCGAATTTCATCTTACGACGACAGGGCCAGTTGAAATCAATTTTATCGCGGCTGTTCCCATTGAAACGAGGCTTGGTCCATGCTTACTGGGCCCCTAACACTTGGGCTTTGTATGCTGGGGCCGATAAGGTAAGTGAGTGATAAGATCTAAACAAGCAATAGCGTAGAAACGTCAAACACATATTCTTGCGCTCCTTTAATCAGATAATTCATCTGTGAACAGACCGCACTGTGCAAATTGAATGATGACAATAAGATCTAATTTGAATGCCTTGAATCTAAATAGGTAATGAATGTACGTTTAACTATTTTATATTCGATCATCCATTTGATACATGTCCAGTTTGTTCAACCTGTTTACTCAAAAGTATACTATAAGTGCATTTTAAACCTAATGCTTTTTGTATCTTTGAAAAACTAATAAAAATAATGACTTTTTAATTTGAGTAATGTCTTAAAGTCGCGCGGGAGAACTTATGCCGCATTAAAAAACATACTGAGAAAAGTTTTTTAACATGATCTTAAAACATTTTTTTAGGATATTACAAAAGTAAAGAGTACTGCATGTGTAGACTATAGTGAACATTCATTTGTTTCATGCCTTGCTTAATAATCCCCATTATTTTCATGTACAACAACATTGCGCTAATTGCTGGAATCACAAACTTAGCTGCTTGAGATCATAGCTACTCGTACCGGCCATCAAGTGGCACGCAGCTCCCTGACGTCGGGCCTTGTCGGCGATGCACAATTCGCAGTACTTCCGGACGTTCCTCCTGCACTCACCATAGTTGCAGCGATACTACTTATGCTGGTAAGAAGTACTACGCGTACATCCCTTTAAAGTAACGCCGTGTGGAGGAACATTTTGACTCGTAATAGAATATGTGTACGCATATCGCTTGGTTCTAGATTTTGTGATTATGGCCTCCAATAGCCTCTAAGATCGAAACTCTGAATGCAGAAATTTAACTATATTTCAGCCATCACTTATTCCATTGTTCCGCCGACCGAATCCAACGAAATTTATTCAGTCAGTCGTCCATTGTGGCCTTGTATCGTTCCTGGTGGGCTTCCACGTACACGAAAAAGGCATTCTTATCCCACTTCTCAGTCTACTTCCGCTGGCTATCATAAATCGCTCTCTGGCTGGCGTTTACGTCCTGCTGTCCGCTGTGGGACACTTCTGCTTATTTCCACTGATCATTACACGAGAAGAGACCTTTATTAAGGCAGTACTGGCCGCCTTTTACGGAATATACATTACATATGCATTAGGCTGCGTTCACAGGTATAGAATTCCGTGCCTCTGTGTACTTAATCGTACCGGTTCAAAAATATTTGTTTAACATAAAAGTTTATATTTTCTATATTTTTATAATTGATGGAAAGCTCCTTAACTTCTAAATTCAAGCGTATTAACCTCACTTCTTTCTCAAGCACCGTTTGTGTTCCTCGTATTATCCATTCAAGGATTACAAGTGGCCTATGGGGTAAGAAATTCTATATAACTATAGATTCTAATTTCCTCTTTCAGATATCAGCATCTGTCTCGATGGGGACAACTTTATCTCTTTGGCCTAGTTCCGCTGTTTATATACACCGAACTACTGGGTCATGTTTTAACACCACAATTGCCTTTCCTTCCGCTGATGGCAACATCAGTGTATTGTACTTTCGGCGTTCACGCGTGCTTCCTTCGAATACTAGTGGTTACATTTGATGAGATTAAAGAAGCCAGGCATAATTTTCGATCTAATTCCTTAAAGCTTGGTGACGGTCAAATTGACGAAACTTTAGATATACCATTAGACGCGGACAATAGAAAAACTCGTTAAATTTCTGGAAAAACGCACGTTTTGATGGAGATACATAACTCTTGTACAACTTTAACATATTCATTTCTGACCTAGAAAATATTAAAAAAGTACTGGAAAACAAAGATTCGGTGTGCTCGTTGTGTGATGCCTTAATGCAAAATTAGCGTGCAAGTTGGTTGTCTATTACATCTTGATTGTTTAAAATTTTAGCCGGGTGGACATTTTCATAAAAGATGCAGTATTTAGCAAATGTTTTTATGAAAATTTTGTCAACTTGAAAAACGTCAAGTTCACCGAATGTCAGTGTGCTTAGTGAACAGCAAAGGGTGTGAATGAAACAGTAGAAAAACTGAAACCTGTGAAGTTTTTGTATATACACACAATATTAAAACAATAATCAAATTAAATGCAATAACCATAGTCATTATTATATATATATATATATATATATATACTTACATATATAGCCCAAATATTTTAGGATCATAAAGTGAATCGAAAATGTTTAATCTTGGATGATTTTACACAAAAAATAGATTCGTATCTGAAGCCTAAAGACTTAAAAACTATACCCTAGGGATAGCACTCCCGACATGTTAGATTGGAGAAAGTAAATCGCAGAGGCTTTTGCTCAAAAAAATTTATTTTGATTGTGGATAAGGTGATGATTACACTCTTAGGTACGATAGTGCTTACTAGTACTTCTGCCTAAGCGACCGTGTGAGTAGAGACAAACCTATTTTTTAATGGTCTACTTAGGTTTATATCAAACATATCTTAAGTGTGCAGAAATTGTGAATATGTCCTATATTGCCGTATCGAAGCACAAAGCACAAAGATCAATAGCCTTTGAAATACTATCAGTCTATTATTTTTTTCAAATAAAAATTTATTGAATGAAAAATAAAACTGTGTGTTAAGGCCGTATTACAACATACATTCGGCGTCCTCCTATTACTGATACTAACTTAATCTAAACAATCAACTGATAAAAACCAACGTTTCACTTTGGTGGTGGTAGTAAACTAAAAATATTTGTTTGGTATTTACTACCACAACCATCAAAATATCGAACTAGTGGATTTAGTTTTTATATGTATATATATATATAACGCACTAGGTCGTTGTTTATTCTGGACAACTTTTTTTCAGTTGTTTCTTTATTGACATCATATTTGGTCACATTTGATATGCATGTACACTTTATCGCATAAGCTAGTCTAAACTCTAAATCATAATACGATTTGGTTGTTATTTTTGTCACCAGTACCTCTATTCGTGTCGAATAGGCAGAAAACAAAGTTGGGCAGAAACACTTTCACACACATACTATGCAACATGCCCACGAAAAAATATTTCGATACGACAAATCGTGAAAAGGCTCAACTTAACACAAGCTATTGCTTATTACATAAGCAAACTGTAGTACTGAACTGGGGCAACTTTTAACAACAAAAGAAATTAGATTCCTTTGACAACTTATACATATTGACCTCAGCTGCTGATGACGCAAAGGCACATTTTACTCTATCGGCTACTGTAGTTTCACAGATATTACTAGCAAAGTTTTACTATTTTTTAGTGAACTGAACTAAAGCTTATTTTAATTGATACATTGTGCTGACACCCGTAGTCAGGTTTTGCAGAAACATTGATTTTAACGTTAATTAATACAACCTAGTTTTGGAAATTTCATAAAACAGATCGACCAAATTTGGGCAGCGTACATAGGCTGCCCAATTTTCTACTATCTAGTTTGCGATGAATTTCATCCAGCTCGTCTAATTTATTAGATTTCACAAGGAAGACCTACTGACGCGACGTTGTGTCGTCGGTAGGATAATATAGTATGAACCGCCCGACTTTTTATTCCTCCCTAGTCCACTTGCGTTGAAGTTCCTCAATAGAACTAGAGGTTCCAATGCCACAGATATTATTTCTCTGTATTCGGACGCATACTACATAATTTTGCAACACATCAACAAGGATATCTCAAAGCTATCATTAAAGAAATTAGGAAATATGTAAAATAAATTATTGCCCCTGCCGACGAAAGTGAACTACTTAAATATTGTTGGCTTCAATGCCCTCAGCAGGCGACTTCTCGAATTAAGTAATGCCAGTGGCCGGCCTGTGTGTAAATAAGTAAGGTAACAATTCATGAACATATAACAAATAAACATAATTGTGTGGTAGAGCTCAGATATATATCTGAGCTCATGAATTAGTGCTTGTGAGGTTGTTGAGGTCGTTTTCTTCAGGTCTGTTTCTCTGGATTTAACACTAATCTGCATCTAACATATAAGCTCGAATAAGTAAACTTGATAGCCTAATAAAATCTAATCGAAACGTGTACTCTAGTTTGAAAAATGTAACTTCTTGTGTTATTATAATATAGCTAAAATAAAAACTGACACTTTGCTTCAAACATCAGGTAAGTCGGCATCCCACCAAAATAAAGCAATAGAGACACGGGTGGCCGCAGCATTTTAATTTGGTCTTCCTCTACAAGAGACGAAATTCTTTGACGTATTATTGCAATATTGGAGACAGTAAAACAGGTCCCACAATCCCTGTGGTCAGAGGTTTGGTGAAACTGCGAAAATGAATAACATACTTTGTCCAGTTTGTCCGACTAAAATAAAATTACGCATTAACAAACATTGTATACACACGTTTATGCTCGCTCACATGCGTAGCTCTCATTCATCTATACTCGAATCTGAATGGCAATTTAAGTATCGCGAGTCTGAATTTTTCACGTCAGGGCGCACATATCCGTAGCATGGGTATTAAATGGCTTAAATTATGTTAACGAGAAACGGAAATACGTGGAATTCTTAGATGTGAATTTAACGAATATATGTTAAATAGCGGTGCAATATCGTACGTGGATTGCTTTTAGATGCACCTATTCAAATCGCACGTTTTTCTTCTCAGCACAGAATGAATTGCTTTGGGCTGACATTTGAAGAGAACTTCCACTGCACCAGTTTTGTAATAACTGGTGCAGTGGAAGCTCTCTTCACTTTAAACGTTATCATATATTGCTATCACATTCGTGCAAGAGGCATTTTAAATACATTCCTACGCATTTCCATGTATCTCAAACCTATGATTCCGTATGTTACTGTGTCTGAGGACGAGACTTTATCTGCCTGCTTAAATTAGTAATTTATGGACAATACAGTAAGTCGCGATTCAGACTCGAATTATATATGTATAGATTTATAAAAATTAATCTTAAAGATTATGTTTAATGCAAGGCACCGTTCTGACATTTGCTGATTAGAGGGAACACAGCATTCAATAAACTAGTTTTTGCTATCTACTAACAGGGATATGCTGACCTCATACGTCCTGAGAGAACAAGAAAACTACCCGATTTACGAACATAATACGCATATTCCAAATTCCATTTTCAATTCAAGTCAAAGAAGGAGTTGAAATCAACGAAACAAGCCATCTGCGAATAACTTTGCCTGATCGATGATAGCTGTGAAATTTATTTGTACTTCAAATTAGCCGGCGTTAATTCAAATTATATTACACCCTCACTAATGGACGTCTCAGCGCGAATTGTACGGCTGAAAAAAGGCTTCGCATTATAACTTTAGTACCTTACCGGAACACGTCATCGTGATCAGCGCTGCTCATGCTGTATCTTATCATCCGCTCACTGCGACTTGTAAAATACTTTTAGAAAATGTTTGTATACCATTATGTTCACTAGGAGAGTGAATAGATGTATGATAAAATTAATGTGGATTGTAAGTGATTACCGTTTTAACATATTTATTATCCACAATATGTCTATATATAGTATATACATTGTAAAATAATAACAATGGAATAGAAGTGGTTGTTCTTGTCACCCGATTCGAATTCCGTGGACCAAAACATGCATGTATACAAGCAAAGCTGTTCAGTAATTTCAGAAATTAGAAACCATAATGCATTATCTCTAGATGATAATCAATCTAGGACACGTTACTTATTTGTGATATCGGTCCTACGGAACCAATATCTAGCCCGGTAATCGTCGGAGCATGTGAGGAACGCTGGTTTAGTCGGAGAGTGGCAGAAGTATCTACAAAATGAAGAAAAGGTAAAAAATCCATTCAAACAATAATTTTCTAATACCGATTTAAAGAGAGAATGGCAAATGATGGGTAGTTTCTCTAGGAGACCATATTCGTAATATGACTGATGAATCTCGATTGCACGATTTTGCAGCATAGAGTTCATAAGTCTTACCTTACAGTGGAGTTATGACCAAGACTAAGAAGCTGTTGTCTTTCAGCGTTACGAGAATCCCATGAACAAAGTGAAAGTGTCTTTTCATCAGGAAACAGAATATAGTCCTCAGTGTGATTGAAAACGGTTTGTGAACAATAATCCTGTTTGCCTATGAAAATATATTTCATATAGAACATTAATACCAAATCTTTTTTAATGGTGATTTGTTTCAAGCTGTACTTATCCAACCACGATTAACTTTTAGCAGCTAAGAATGTTATTTAATCAACCTATAGATCGCTAACCACATTTAATTAATCAAGTCTATAGAAATTATTTGTATTATACACAAATCCCTTGGTAATTTTGCACTAATCACTCTCACCAATATTAATAATTCATGCCATATATACCTGTGGCACCAGCGCCTGTGTACGCGATAAGACATCGACTCATCGACAGTTCCCAAAGCTTGACTAAGGAGTCCTTTCCTGATGACAGCACATATTTCCCATTACGACTAAACTGCACCGAACAAACCTCAGCGCCTTCATGGGCTGCAGAAAATGTGCATACACACTTATTTGACACGCCGTCCCACACCTAAAACCGAAATAAATAAAAAATCCTATAAAACAGTTTAAAAAACGATTACTACGTTCAGATAGCCATTACTGCCAATACGAAGTTAATAAAACGATTTTGGATTTAAACGTTACTAACGAAATATATCAAACACGAACATACTTTGATCGCGCCATCGGCGGAACATGACGCGAACATGTGGCCGTTCTTCGCCCAACTGACCATATTTACTATTGCCGTATGCTGGTCATCGGGAACGGATGATACGAAACATTGGCTTGTGTTCATATCGTATAAACGAACAACAGGATGATTGACGGCCGCAAGCATATAGTCACCTAGTAAACAGACAAATATTAGTATGATGCAAGCAATTACGTCAGCAAGGACAAAAGTAAAGGACTCATTTTAATGCTAATCTTTATGTTTCCCATGTAAGCTGTCTGTGCGCACAATTCGTTCATAATAGCCAAAATACTTCTGGATATTCTCCATCTTCGGATCTCCTATTCTATTATATAATATTTGGATTGGTGTATATGGCTGACCAGATGGATGAAACGCCACATGGTGTACGTGCTCCGCCTCCTGAATCGTTTTGTGGGCTCGCTTAGCCGATGGTTTTGAATAGTCAAAAATTTTTATGGTATAATCACGGGACCCGGATACCAAAATCTGCTCCCTGCAAAATTGCACAGGTTTAGTCAAATGTAACGCGTCTGCAATCCTATATATATATATATATATATATATATATATATATATATATATATATAACCTGCCTAAATTTGTGTTGGTTATGTTTACCAACCTGGGATGAAACGCGAGGCATGTCACCTCTTCAATGTGGTCGTATAACGTTCGAATAACAGGATGAGTCTCCATCTGTTGTTGAATAGTATCGTTTGCTCCCTCGCCAGGCGCAGCCGCACTCTTTACAAGCATCCGTTCTACATCCAATACTTTGATCGAAGCATCCACAGAGCCTTCAAAAACAAGAAATAAATTCATCAAGTTCATAATAGGAAATAAATAGAAATAAATTTAAGCAACACTTAGTTCAACGTTTTTTTGTTCTTAAGCTCTTTCCCTTATGCTTTTGCTCTAGGCACGTATTTGTGTACGCCAGTTCCGGTATATTTAGAAATATAGCACACTACATGGAGGCACCTGTGGCGATAAGGGTTCCGTCAGCATTGAATGCTCCAGCGCGGCATTGCGCTTTATGTGATGTGACGTAGATTGTTTCATACTGGGCAGGCTCAGGTACCATTAGAGATGACTCTGTCTCAAATTCCAAATCGAGACCGGGACCCAGAGAGTACAGTTCCTGTGGGCCACAACCTGTTATTCGAAAGTTAAATTAAGACCAAGCTGAAGTTAACTGACAAGTTAATTGACTAAAGTTAATTGACGTTATGCACAATCGCCTGTATCTACTTTTTCAAAAATACCTAAATCTAGCGGAAATTATAATATTTGATATATATGTCAATGTTGGTAGTTGTAGCAGGTAGAACGCCTGCTTAAATTAATATGCAAATGGTCAAATAAAGAACAGAACCTAGTCCATAATCTACAATAATGTTAGTTTCTTCTCACCAGTGAGAAGTTGATGGCCTTTCTGATCGGCTTCAGCCTGTAGTCCGAGTCGCACAACATGTTGTAACCTGTCACTCGGAGGGCATGCTGAACTAAGTTTAACGGCTGCTACCAGCTGTACCGCTAGGTCTTGATGGCCGTCATAAAATAGTTGCGAAATAACCAGCGAATAAAGCTGGTCTCTATCTCGGATCGTTGGAGCTGCTCCGCGCTGCGGCTGAATCATCTACAACAAGGTCGATTGGTTAAGCTACTATAAAACTATAGAGTAATAGCGAATATCCTGAACTGTTGGCTTATAAGAAGATGATCAGAATGAAGCACACAGTAGTAGTGCAATATAGAGGCGCGACAATCATGTTAAAGAAAATGTTGCATTTCGGTCTGTGGATTGGCCCATTAAAGACAAGACCCTTAATACAGCTACTCCACAACATACATACACTTGTGTATATTTTCTGCAACTTTCAAATCATAAAACTGTTTGACGATTTCTCGGTAAGGGTAGGTTTTGAAAACGTCTTGTTTCGCGCTACCGACATCTACTAATGTGTTTCGCTTTCCTTCCGTTCATTTAACCAGCATTGGATATATTCTAATAAAGGTCACTATATACAGAACTATTGAAATTGCAAATTGATATATTCTTTCAGGCTAGAAAACATGCGCTATGCTCATTCGAGTGTTTATTGTAAAGCATTAAAACCTTACCTTCCTAAATTGACGAGTAAACGATTGGTAGAAACGCTAGTAGCCGGTCATGCAGCCATTCGCTTCTCTCTCCCAGATAACATCAACAAAAACACGCCGACCCACCAATTCAACCGAGGGAAGCAGCCGACGCCCAAAACGGCAAACAGCGCGAAATTTAAAGGTTTCTATAACCAAATGCGGTAGCGGCGGCGTTTTAAAAGGTCATACGGGTCTAACTAAAGGGCTTCCGGATGCATTCGATCTAGACGTAGATAATATGGTAAAGTAGAATTTAATTTCATGCAACAGGAATTTTTATCTTTTAAAGACAGCCTCATAAAATGTTTTTTTCCTTGGCAAGAGTTAAAATGAAATGGGAGCTGGTTAGTATTGCACTAATTAAAGCCTACAGGTGTAATAGTATAGCACATCTGAAACGCTAAAAACTATTTAGTTTAGGACATAAGTCTGGCCAAATAGAACTATAGCAAAAGTGTTTTTGTCAGTTTACCGACTTTAACGAATGAGTTATAGTAGAGTAGTTACTTTAAAAGAGTAGCCGGGTAGAAAAATTATAATTAAAATAAGTGAAGTTCTACCGGACAAACGTTGACCTCTTTGTTTAGATTTTATTTTTACATTTACCACTTAGGCTACTAGGCATTACTTCAGACTGCCCTTTCTGGACTTACTTGGGTTTTGGTCGAACAGACGTGTGAAGCTTTTAGGCGGTATGGTTAACGTATGCCATAGTAGCCATTTGTAAATGCTTGAATTTGAACCGGCGACGGCCACATACTTTTGGTCACCATGAGAACGTACCTAAAGAGATGCACATTAATTACACAGGACACGTCATCCTCTTTATTTTCAGTTGTATCGAATCATATTTACTAACGGATAATCAGTAAGTATGGATCGAAGTTTAACACCTGATTTAGTCTGACGCATGTAGACTGCTTTCCAGATTCGATTTATTATAACAAATAATTAGAATTTAACACCTCAATAAAAACACATCGATTTGCACTTCGCCTAAAAGACTTTACGAACTTTATATATATACATAGATTACACAGATTTGCAGGCCTTGTCCCGCGCTTGTTTTACATTGAGAGTTTCAATCAATCTGATAGCGAAAACTATATGTTAAGCACGCATTAACTATTGTCTCGTTAGCTGATTGGCTCGGTTTCTGGAATCCCCACGAAGAGAGTTTGCCGCCGGCCGACATTTGTCGAAGGTAGACGAATGAAGATGTAATAAGCATTTCATAATGATTTGTTATGTTTCCGTTGATGCACTGACTATTTTCTTGGAACGTTACCAGAGCTTAATTTTTTTTTATATCCTTCTTAATTCATAATTATGGATATTCTGTTCAATATTTTAACTTTTCTGATTAAGATTAATTAGGCATTTCTTTCAACTTTATATTCATCTTTTCAACTTTCCAAAAGACATTTATTAGTGGTTTACTTAAAGGACCAGTCGAAACGCATGTTTGCTACATTTTTATATGAATAAACTACTGAGACCAATACGTTTTTTTTCAATTTTAACCTAAAAATATCAATTTTAGGTATAGGTATATATACCTTGCATTGATTATGGTTTATCAATAGGCGTCAAGAGAAACTCTTCTTACATAAAACGTCTGCCAAGTTTTTTCCCATAGGCTCTTGGGGAAGCATTTTTCAAGAAACTTTGGTATGCAGAATTAGCATAAAAGAGAATTCCCTTCTGGAAAAAGTCTTCATACAATCGACTCCACCTTACGAGGCGCTGTATTCTGGATGATTCATCAACAGTACTAAGAAAAATTACCTCGATCCAATTACTTTAAGGGATCCACTAGAGTTAGATAAACAAATAGGCTCAGAGCTTCAAGATTACATAGATATCGGCATGAAATGTCTCGCAGACTCTGACCGTGAAGCTTTTTAAGGTGCAACAGCGAAGCTATGCACTAATGGTGAACCCTTCCGGTTTTGGGGTCTTTTCCTCACAATGAAAAGCCTTTCTTTTGCTAAAGGTAACAACGCTTTGCCCGATTGTCTCAGTTAGAATATGCAGCTTCTGCAAAATTCGCTAAAAAGGATGCGAGTCCAGCTACCGTTCCAGCCATCAGTAGGACAGGAAATCATTTTGCCTGTTAGTGTAATAAATCAATTACATCGTTTCTGATCGAATAGGTTTTAGATAAACAAAAAGAAGAGAATTTTTTTTTGGAATTATTTTATTATTATCTGTCAATCTGTAATCCATTAAGTTTTTTGGAACGCAACTTAATGGATTACAGATTAAACAGACTGGACACCAAATGAAAGAGTATAGGAACGCATTGAATAAGCCAGACTTCCGAAATTATTGCAAAAATACAAATTCATAAGGGGTAGATGGAGGAGGCGAAGGAGCAGCAGCAGTAGCAGGAAGTAAGATCATCGTACCAGAAAGAACAGATCATCCTTCCGAGCCTTCTGGTTTCATCGGGTCATAGTTATACATTTTTTTCTTTTAACTATCAATATATTGATAGTTGTAATTGAACGTAAGAAATTACTACACGTAGGTATTTTTTCCTATATTTTTATATCTAAACGTAATATATAGACACCATTATATACATATAATATTGATATTTATAGAGCTAATCAGAAGTATTTGTTGGGGTAATAACATTAAAATTTTCACAAAACGACAAATGAAAGCCTTTTTTGTGCCAATGAAATCTGTTGCTTTTTCCTATCCTCACCTAATTAATGCTTGTATCTTGTGATGAATTCATGCTAGTGATCGTACCATTTAAGCGACATTTATGTTTAAGCAGTTCCTAAATAAACAAATATAATCAATAAAACAAAATCCTGCAATTTTACATTACAGCAATAAGTCAAGTAAGCAAAGAATGAATTATCCCACAGATTAACATTAAAAAATGATAGGCTTTATTGACAGAAACATAACGACAAAAAGTGTCCCCTTGGTAGCACGTATTGTTTTTAATCAGACCACGTTTTAAATTCAGTGGTTCAACTGCCTTGAGAAAACGATCGAACTCAACTGGCTTCTGTGAAAGTAGGTTCAAGGCGCTATTAGTCAAATGGAAGTCTGGCTTCGAAAAAGTAATCGTAAAAGTAAATAAAAAATGACCGTTACACAGTTCTATTCGCCGAAATAATATCGTAATGCAGACTAGCATATACAAAACACTAATGTATATATGTATATATTATATACAGCTAAGGTCCGTCAGCATGCGTTACGTATTTTTTGAAGCTCTACCTCAAAGGCATCGTCAGCTGGGCGTACCAATCTCAAGTAAGAATTAGGTGCGGGTACTAAAAGTAATGGGACATTTAAAATTGTAGAGTTCGCTAGCGTCGCCCTCTCTGCAATAGACATCGTTGAACGTTGATTGGCACTTCAAAGAGCGGAGAAAGCGCCAGCGCGCCTATTTTATCGGTCAGCAAAATCAGCACCGATTCCAGCAAAATCATCATCAGCATTCATTGAGGGCGGCCAGTAGTAGCAGCAGCGACTACGTTGGGTGGTTCGTTAATGGTGAACGTAGTGTCCTCGTCGCCATAACACAGAGGGTGGTGTGTTCTTAGTCGACATCGTCGTCGCTGTGCTAGCTAGCTGTCAGGATATATCAGAACGTGGCAGTGTAGTCAACAAAAGCTGCTATCTGAACCGTTTTGCTTGTAACTGCTGTTCATGTCAGTCTGCATCAGTGTACTTGCCGCGTAACTTACGTGGCAGTTGTTTAAAGCAGTGAACTATCGGCAGCGGTATTATTGAGCAGCAGCACTGCCGCCGTCGCAATACGATATCGGCGACGTAATCGACGGGCACTCAGGCAACGACAGGCGACAGACGAACGGAAAAACGCCAATAGGTAGCCAGCGGGTGAAAACCTCTTGTGTGGATTCTTTTGTTGTCTCATCTGGGTTTGATCGTGGTTTTGTGTAGACTTTCGGTGTTGCAGTGGTCGGACAGTAGTGATTGTTTTTTTTCCTGTAGGATAAGCAAGGCAAAGATTGTCATTACGTGCCAAGATGGGTTTGACTATGAGTAGTCTGTTTAATCGGCTCTTTGGCAAGAAGCAGGTCCGAATTCTTATGGGTAAGTAGTATACGCAACATTTTACGTGGAAGTTTATGTATGCATGACAATGAGCGAAAGGAAGTTGAGGGAGTAGAAGGAAGCACGATGTGTTGAATATTTCGACCAGCTAATCGCTTAAGTGAAACTTGTAAGAATACTTGTGTGTTCATCGAGAAAAAGTCCAAGTACTTCGAAGGGAACCGATGAAGTAATCTTTGTCTGTCGTGTTTAACTGCGTTTAAATACTGGGTTATGTTTTTGCAGTCAAAGTCCACATTCGTCAATCTTAGCTACATATTAGCGCGCACCGAACTAATTTATATATCGTTAGAGGTTTGCTTACAAATGTTATTATAACGTTTTTTTTCTTGCTGAGTGAAAGGATTCTATCATAAAGGCCTAAGTCACTCCGTTATCTAGAAATCGCTCGTCCATTCTACTTGACAGACAACTGCAGGCTAATGCAGCCGCTTTTACGGACGAGACACGATGCAACATATTGTAGTAGCTGCACACTGTGCTGTCAATAGATGATAAATACAGGTCGCTTGATACGAACGGGCTATCTATGATATAGTATATAACCGATTCATATTAGCATTCTAACTGATGCTGATCTAGTATGAACAATCTGCATTCGAAACGGAAATGTCCGCATATTGGAATAATTTAATCAGATGTGGTTATCACACAGAACGTCGAAGCGTTCACTTATAAACATTATTGTGATCAAAAGTATTATGCAAGTATTGGTGAGAAAAATTCAAAAGATATTAGGCAAAGAGGAGGGCAAGCGCTCGTGTTTTACTGTTGATTTACATGTTGACGACACAGAACAATGAGCTTCATATCATTCAAGTGGACAGATTATAAGATATTGCTTTTTCTTGCACGGAGAGTTGCAACGTTGTCGAAAATATTTCAGAAAAATACTGGATCGTAGTCCAAATTTATCAGACGCTTTCAGTTATTTACGCTTTTCTAAGTTTTCTTTTTACCATAACGTTTCGCTGATGAAAATAAAACGTACTTATCAAGATTTACAACAAAGTTGTGGTTAGAAAAAAATAATAATTTTGCACTTATTATACTAGCCGGTTGCATCTGAACCTCCTGATCATCAGTACCATTATTATAATAGCCATGTGTTGTAGTGTTCTACTCGGTATTATTACGATCATCTCATTGCTGCGTTTATATATATATATATATATATAGCGGATTTTTCAATAAACACTTTTTGCGAGCGTGCGAGTCGATGTTTAATAAAAAGGCTAAATACTCGACTTGATCTGTTGCAATATTCTTTAATATCGAAATATGAAATGACAAAAATAACTATCAAATTCTATATTGAAACGGTTGAATGATATGTATCTGTTCGACTGTTTGGGTCTCTGTCAGTAGGTTATCCCTGCTATATTTGTCTGTTGTATCCTAGTAGTTATCAGATGATGCTTGACCTATCTGCTTGTACTTATTACCATTTTTCAGTTGGTTTGGACGCTGCTGGGAAGACGACAATTCTCTACAAACTAAAATTAGGTGAAATAGTGACAACGATTCCTACAATCGGTTTCAATGTTGAGACAGTCGAGTACAAAAATATTTGCTTCACTGTATGGGACGTTGGAGGACAGGATAAGATTCGACCTCTTTGGAGGTGAGTGCCTGAATGCCAGAGCTGATAAGATTTGTTTCATTAGGTCTAATAGTTATTAATAAGATATATAAAATAATTTCAAGACTCACGAGTATACTTAATACAGGCAAAATAAACTCTACAACGAATAAGCTAAGGACTATACGCAGCGGATGTTGCACGAAATGGATTCATTAAAAAAACTCTGTTAAGTTTAAGTAAACTTAACAGAGTTTTTCGAAGGCTTAAGTAAGCCTTCGAACAGATTTTTATTTATTAAAAAGGTCTTTTTTTAGAAGTGTCACAGTGTGTCGATTTAATAGTATTTTATTCTATATTTAGGCACTATTTCCAAAACACGGAAGGCTTGATTTTTGTAGTGGATTCCAATGATCGTGAACGAATCTCAGAGGCACAGGATGAACTGATGAAAATGTTGAACGAAGACGAACTGAGAGATGCCGTGTTGTTGGTTTTCGCCAACAAGCAGGACCTTCCCAACGCGATGAATGCTGCCGAGCTGACTGAAAAGCTCGGTCTCAACTCTCTTCGAGGGAAGAAGGTTTGTTGCCTTTTTCTTGAAGTAATGTACTTCGTAGTTTCCTAAATTTCCCTAACTGGAAAAGGAATTTAGAATTGCCAGTTATTTAGGCTTCTTTCCTGGCTGTATGTAGCACAATGAGCTATTAGAATTACAATAATAATAATAATGCATTATTACTTCTGATTAAATAAATACAGGTATAATGGTCTCTAATACTTATAGTCCTAAGAGTTGTGCAACTCATTGTTCTTCGGTAAAAATTTCAGTGGTACATTCAAGCGACGTGCGCCACACAAGGTCAAGGTCTTTATGAAGGACTTGATTGGCTGTCCAATGAGCTTGCTAAAGGCAAGTAAGTGTGATTTGGCTAAAAAGGAGAGATGACGTTAGCAGACGTGTCAGCGAGACGATGTTCACGTGCACAGAACAAGCTGCTACCAACAGAGAAAGGACCGATTTATGAAAGCGATTCTACGGAAGTTATGTTAGAATTGATGACAAAGATATTGAAGACGATAGTAGTAGGGATTGACACTAGAAGATTTTTACCGTCAAAATCCCAAAACCTTTCAAACAGAGGTCAATTTTTCTGGAGAACAATTAGCTATCAGCATTGTCGTCAAAAAACAAATACCAATCACAGAACATGCGGTGTGCTTCTACACTTCAAATTCATTATATCGACTAGGTCGTTTGGCATGAACAGCCATGACGTGTTTACTGTGCTTTGATGTTGGGTAAGCGACGTGATTGCCAACGTCCACCAGCGGTGGAGTCGATTTTGTCATCCAGGCGGTCGTTTTTTATGAAATGGTATATCTTCTTGTAAATTAAAGGAAATTTTGATTCGGGTAAGTAGTGTTAGAGAACTGCATTTGCCGCAGTGGCATTACTTATGATGGTAATCAGGAATATCTATCACCAAACCGTGTTCTCCAAATATATATATAGTTACGCATGCTGTTCAAGAGATGATAACATCCATTACAAAATATAATTTATGCTTATAATAGGGGATATTAAAATAGAGTCAATAAGGGCGTAGCGTGTCTAGGCGAAAGTCTAATAGTCGACGTCGTGCCGGACCTAAATACGTGAAGTAAAACATGTGTGAAAAGAACGAAAGACCGTTGATGGCGCAGTTATGGCGCATACGTAGTCTAAAGGATATTTTTGCATAAGCTTGCGATGGAATTTATCGTTCAAGAGATATTTCGTTATTACTTTGATTTGGTTGAATGTTCTACGTGTGGTTGATACATTACGCATATGCAGAGGTAAGGCACAACAATCAAACAACACACATCTTAGTGATACCTAGTGATCCATAAACGCTTACCGGCTTCCGCGAAACGCCCTTCATATCTTAGCGAAAAACAACAATGTTTACATATGGTTGTACACACACAACAATGTATGGCTACTGGAGGCTAAAATTAACATCATCATGTTAATTTGAAGGTGTTGCTAAGGTTCTGCCAGAGACGTTTAGATTCAGGTTTCATTTCTATTATTAGTGAGCGGAACACACAAATGTACAAGTTAACACGCTGACTTGGAGGGCAACAGTTCTTGATCATGTCGATAGCGCAGATAAAGCAGAATATGCGGGTAAGCGGCAGAGGTGTATTTGAAACCAATCGAAAACTTACGTAGAATGAATATGACTAAGAAAACAAACAAACACAAGTAAGAAATAATAAGAAAACAGCGACGAGCAAACCGAGGAGGGCACTAAGGACAGAGTAATAAGCGTGTGACAACTGCTGTTAACAAGCGGAAAGAGTAAATCATAACGAAAGTAGAATATGAAACCTAAAGCGAGGATAAAAAAAATACGATGAAAAAAGCGTAAAAGTATGCGTGAGTGCGTGTATATACAAATAATAACACGTTATTTATCCCCTGGATGGAGGATCCTTTTTCTACTGCGGTTTGTAGCCACCTCAGTAGCTTGCTAGCCACCGTGGGTCCCCTTGATGAGAAGCACCTTTCTAATCATTTGACAATGTCAAAAGACTGGATAGATTTAGTTAGAAGGATGATAGCGTGAAAAACCAACGATGTGATTTTACAGTAATAAAAGCAATTTTTGACAAATGGGTTTAATTGTCGTATATATATATACATATATGTTAGAGTAGTACATACAGAGCTTAGATTAATGTTTGCGATATGATACCACGATTACTAATAATTTAGTTTGAATAGTTTTACTAATTGTTAGTAGTAATACGAAATAAGTACTGAGAGTTAGCATGCTGCAATTATTGCCCTTAAATATCTTGTCCATCAAAAATTAGCTAAACAATCGAATGTTCAACTTGTGGAAGTTCCATTCATATACGTGCATAGCATTTATTTTTGACGTTTTAAAACAACCGTAAAAACCGCATTAGTTCGTAATCTTCGGTCCTTCATATGGGTACCTTGCTATAGTTCGGCTCTGTATGTGCAGAAGCGCGACACGATATTACGCGATAGGCTATTATTAAATTTAATTATTAGCCACTTTCTGCTTTCAGTCAACCGCATCAAAAATTACGCAGCATCGGTAGATACCCGTTCTATTTATACAATACATACGTTTGTTTATTTTGATTAACAAACGAGATTTCCACATTTGAAACCGTATAGTGGGAAAATATTACCCACTTAACAATCTTTTGTGATAAACAACTTGCATCTGTATTATGCCTGTCGTAAGCCATTACACTGGTCGATACGTATTAGTAAGTTCTGTAACAGCAGAAAAGTATATCAATGCACTAAATTATCACATGTACACAATGATCATATTAACGTTCATTCGAATCGTTTGAAATCGAAATCTGAACAGTTTTCAACTACTTTAAGCGTATTTTTTTATATGTAATGTTTAAAATTATTTTATATTCTTTCCTCGTAAACGGTTAGCTTTTTATTAGCCTAGCCCAAAAATTCAAATATTCGCTTACGTAATTTTTAAATTATCCGATTATTTTGATGCCTCAGTTATCAATTGTCAACAGATTTTGCACAGTTAGTTTGCGTGTCGACTTTCGATTCGACGATAAAGTTCGTTCGACTATCGGCAAAATTAATACATCAGCTCATACGAACGCCAGCTATGGAGCCATTGAAGAGCTGCAAACATTAATTTTTAGTGAAAGGCTGCTTTTATCTCAGAAATGATACTGTAAGCGGAGCATCCTAGCCATGATGTGCATCTTTAGATTAATAACAACTAAATCCAGTAATTGTTACTGTTTGTAAAAAATAATTCAATTGATGCTCTCTCTCTATTATGTTTCAAAATAAAGATAAACGACACAACGTAAAATTTAAGGCTATGCCAGACCTTCTTGTGTTTTCCACGGTATTACTTTGTCTTTGCCGGTCTAAAGTAGACCGGCAGCTGTTTCCACCTTTCATGGTAAATTCGTCAGTCAGGAAGAGGCGAAAAATCTAGTTCGAGGGTAACTTAGGCAACCCGAATTCGTCCACCATTATGCCGCCTTCTACCGCTTGCGGCTTCTGTTTCTGTGACGGACCTTTGCTTGGAACCTTAAAACAGGCATTATAATAATACGCACAGCTTAGTGATGTTCTAGGTACTAAAAGCAAATAAAATTAGTTCTGAATAGTCACATTGGCAAAAGACTAGCCAAAGCTTTCGTAATCACTATTTCGGTAAATTGTTAAATTTTAACGCTAAAAAATAAATCTTATTTTCTATTATTGTAACATCGTAATCGTATAGGCTGATTACCTTTGGAGCTGTGACGTCTTCCAGATACGACGTGTCTTCCTCAAGTGCAATTTCATCGTTCAGCATTGTCAATTCTGCTTCCAGTTCCTCGTCGTCCATTTCAGGCATACCATAGGAACGACCCAATGCTTCCTAGAATGCAAATATAAGGCACATCGACAGGAAAGTGACAAACATATAGATTCCTAATACCGAACGGTCCAGTTCGTACATGCCCGGAATGACTATCTACTCGATTGAATTTGTAGTTATAATAAATAATAAAATTGCGTTGCGGTAATTATGGTTAACCAGTCATACCTGAACTTCGTTGGCCTGTTCAAGCATATCTTCAAGGTCGTCTTGAAGGTCCTCAATCTCGTTTAGGTTAACTTTCTTATATTCATGTTTCATTTCCTTAACACCCAACCTCATTGCTTCCATCGTTGTCTAAGAAACGATTTCAATCCATTTTATTGAAAGAACGATTTTAGTTGGCAAAAATGATAAGTTTGTATATATGTTCGTATAAAAAATTGCTCAGAACGTATAATCACTGTTCACTGTAAAATAAGTTTTGAACATTTTTTTGTTATTTATGGAAGATTATGCTGTTCAGACATACCTTTGTTTAATACCGATATGTCATTCAGCGTGCTAAGTTGTTTCGCAAACATCTTTCAGCCTTCACTAGCTATGGAGACACAAATATTAATCACTTCCGTAATGGCACTTGGGATAAGGCTTTCATTTAACATAATTCTTGTATCCAGTACTTTAGTACCACATCCCATGAGTCATTTTAGTCAAGAAGATATTAAGTAACGCATAATCAAAATTAAAAATTTAAATATAGTACATAGTTGCATAAAGCACCTTTGTGTCCTTCAGTTGCTGCGTTGCGAAATTTGCTTGTTCCATGTTGAAACTCTGCTGCATAAGGTTATCTCGTTGAGATTCGTACATCTTCTTCTGCTTTAAAATTCGCAATGCTTTCTGCTTCACCTATAATAACAAGTGCATAAAGCAGCAAGAGTGGACAATTAATTGTTATAAATCTTGTCACAAAGTAAAGACAACTGACTTAATCCCAAGTAGTGAATTTTGACAATTAACAAACGTAGCACAAGCGTAAGATCGTGAATATTCAATCAAAAGGCCCCTCGTTATATGTCTATCGAATGGTCATTTTTTGCGCTAGCTATTGCTATGATAAAAAGTAAATGTACCTTATAAGACTTTGTGGCACGCTGGTAATCGCATTTTAAGTTTAAATCTAGCGAAAATATTGAAATGTGTCTCTTCGATTTGGCAGCTTTTTAATGCTTTGAACTTACCAAGTCTTTGGGTGGTCCCTCTCGCATTTTCGACATCTGCTCCTTATATTTAAATAATTCAGCATCCAATTTTTTTATTTTCTCGTCCATATTGTTGGCTCGTTGGTCAAGGACCTCAATGCAGTTAGACAGATTAGGAGGAGGCTCCTTGGCCTTCCCTTTTCCAAACAGGCGGTTCATCTTTTCTGTGTAGTATTATCTAGAAAATGCAGGAACCGATTTTACTGTAAAAATGAACAGACCCATTTGTTTTTTTAGTCCAGAGTACGGCCGCCTGCGCATCATATTTATGTGTATTTCGTCTATATAAATATATATATATAACTTGTCCAGGTAGTTTTTAAGGCCCTGTGCACTGTCAACTGTACTGTTATTAATTTCATTTTTCAGTAGTCAAAAGAAACGGTAGTTCGTGGAACATACCAGAATCTGCATCGCTATTTACCTAAGGTGGATATACAAGCAATTCTGGACACTGAGTAGAAATGACATTGTAATAGTCAACTACCACCAGTCGAACTATAAATCACTTTTTCTCTTACAAAGAGTTGCATCAGCGCTATTATTTTTCTTTTACATTTTTCCACCGTCCTTTGAAGTTGTCTTCCTCACAAGTTCTAGACAGTGAAGCAGCAACTCTAGTTAGCTGCCATTTTCTCACAAACAACTATTAGGTTTCCATATAGACTTATACAGTACAGTATTGATTCTAAAAGTAACTGCTCTCGTTTAAATTCAGCTTTTTCGATTATTTCTGCATTTCTCCGTTCTTTCTATGACAGCTGAAACGCGTTCGAACTAAAAAAAATGTAACGTAAGCCCTTAATGTGTTGCTTTCTATGATAGTTTAGTAATCTCTAACCTCAAGTACCAGGTCCATTAAAGCACTGTCGATTATCAAGTATGAAAAGTATGAATACATATTTAAAACGAAAGATGTTTTTTATATTTTTTATGCTTAGTAATAGGTCCGGCTTAGGCCGTTAAATGATAGGTTCCCAACGCGAAACGAAGTGTATTCATGTTCGGATTCTAATTTAGATCATTACGTGTTTCTAAGATAAACAAGCAAACAAGTTATCACTGCATTACCATGGAGACAAATATGACTCTAGAATTAAACATAGAGCATACAATTAACTACGTTTTAATAGAAACAAATTGAACGCGTTTATTGCGTACCTAGAACTATGTACAACATTAATGGTGATAAAAAAATACTAAGGTGAACTTCTTTTATTAAATTCTACCATAATTAGTAAGGGACAGAAGCATACTGGGCTTAACTGAGCTACTGTGGATCAATGACATGACGGAGCATTAATTACCTCTAAACTAAGAGCAGCTGATACGGGCCTCGTCTGATTCACACTTCGATCTCAAACATAGCAGAGAGAAATAGCAGAAAATGTTGTCATTTACAGCAGACCCCTCTTTCTCTTCAAATCATTGCCGGTGATTCAGATTCTTGTCACGTAATTGCTCGTGAAGTGACGCATGCAGCTCGAACACCCGGAAGCTGTATGGCGTGAGTCGTCACCCTATTCAACACTGAAATTGAATGTTTTATATCCAAATAAACTTAAGCTGTTCATTCGAACATTATCATTAAACAAACGCGAAAATCTGTGACGCCTTATTAACTTTGAGATCCAGTAAGTTTGCTTTTCTTGACAGCCTGACGTTTCCGGCCGCTTAAGCTATAATCATATGACGATTTGTTTTGATGCACATTTATCGGGCGGAGCAACACTAGAACTTTGTTCATATGAAATTAAATCGTAATTATTTTATTCCGTTAAACCTCGTATCCTTATACTGTTTGGGCATCGATATGGGTCGTTTGTATATGAAGTATTCAAAAACTGCGATCTCTAAAAGGTTCAAGTAACAGCAGTTTTGGAAATCCGGACCCGCCACTCTGTCGGGCTCAGGTGGTGTCGCCATTTTGTTCTAAACCGCTACCAGCCTCCTGAAATCTGTACGCACGTTTTGGCGTGAGTGTAGTTTTGTATATGAAATATCAAGCAAATACATAAGGAAGACCAAGATGCCTGTTAAGTTTGAACTACCAGATATCCTCGATAACCCAGATGGGTGGGGACCGAGTTCAATACCGGAAAAATTCGCCGACATGCCTTACCAGCCGTTCTCCAAAGTTGATCGACTTGGAAAGGTAATTGTGTTGACCGGTTCGTGCTACAGATGCCACAAACGATTAGTTTAGTTTGACAACAACTGAATTAGTTTAGTTTAATTATGAGATATTATTTGAGGCTACGATATAGAACTTGAATGTTGGCGACTTCCTCTGCCGTGGTATGATCGTTTTGAGTTTTCTCTTAATACTTTCGAGAAAAAGGTCTGGTTTGGTACCCTGTAAGATCAGAAGTTTTATAATAAAACATGAATGAGGAAAAACTATTCTACTAAGCTATATCCAGATAACTTTCCAGGATTGTGAAGATCTTCCTTGAAAACTTACTTTCGCAAGCCTATAACTACCTTAATACTTTCGGGTGAATTTTTTTCTTTAGAGTTTCCTTTACTCCGTTTCTCCGGTTTTCTTTTATCCGATTTCCGTTACTCATGAGCACCAAAGCTCATGTTATGTGCTGCTGCTGTTTTACATGACATGATCCGCAATATTATTAAGCCACACAAAATCCTGCCTAAGGCGTTACGTATACGACACTGCCCAACGATATGTGAAATGTAAACTCGGACTCACTACAGAAATTGTTCTATCATATTGTCAAAACACGATCATTGTCTCTCTGTCCCCTTGCAATCGTCTATTGCGTGTTTTAATAAATACGTTATATTATTCGATTTATTGAGTTACGTAACTGTGTAATCCTATTACTTTGTTTCAGCAAATAATTTTACATGGTTTCAGAAATTCATTTATCTTTTGAATGTGCGCTTAATCTATTCTGCTGTCATCTTCTAGCCATATTGTAACTTGTACCGGTTATCCCATTACCCTGGTTCAGTTCTCCCGTGCTACCATTGCAATTAAGCCATCACTATGCTACCGTGAGCTTGTTAATTCTCTACGACCGCTAAATTTAAATTTCACTGTTTTAAGAAAAAACTGACCTTAATTTTCAAAATGCCACGTTATTACTGGGTCGAGGATAAAACTAAGCCAGTGAGCTATGTGAAAACATTGCTCTTTATTTATGAATATAGATAATATTTAAATTAAGAAATATGTTAATTCACGTTTACTTGTTTATTTTGGGCGAAGAAGTTTATAGAGGTAATTGTCCAACATCTTACTATTTTGTCTTCATTGTTTAATGTCCTAATTAAATTTCACGAGAATTATTGGTCTAAATCAACATATACCTTAAGTCCTAAAATTTAGCTGTTAGACTGCACACGCCAACACACAATTTGAGAATAAAGTTGTGTATAAATAACATTTTTACAAATTCTCATAAGTGCTTTGCCAAATATTGATGCATTTATATATTTGAATACTTCGTAGTGCCAATACACACTAGCGTTGCTCACCAACGTGTCCACATATTCGTTTCTAACAAACATCTAGGTGGCTGATTGGACCGGGAATACGTATCAGGATAGACGATCAGTGAGCAAATACAGCTCTCAATTCGCCGGCCAGGGCTCTCAGTACGCGTACTATCACGACGAAGATGACTCGTCATTCCAATTAGTCGACACTTCAAAGGCTCATAAGCCATTGCACCAGCGTGGAAGGTTTAGCAAAATCAACCAGAGGCTGAATCAGAGACAACGCCAACAGCATAAGCAACAACTTCAACAGATGCAGGTAGGCAGGCCATTTTCCGTAGGCTTTAGCTAACTAAGCTTCAAGGGGACACTTGTCTGCCTCTCTATAGGAATGGCTAGCACGTTATCGCCTCATATAAATTAGAGGGAGCTTTCAAAAAATGATTGAAATCGTTTTACATAATACGTCACGCAAAGTCTACGTAAATATACCGAATTCGTTTTACAGCCATTATAAAGCGGAAGAGTGCGTAATGTGAATGTTAGAATTACAAATAGCAGAGACTTTAATAGAAAATAAGTTACTAATGAAACAAATTTTAGAATAAGTTTACTAATCATGGTCCTTCTGAAAACCTAATTTTTTTATCTTAGAAATTATTGCATGACATCTTTTAGCACTGTCGATGTTTTGTTGTGTTAGGTGCTTTCTCGTGCGGGTAAAGGTCGGGAGCGTGAACGCATTCAGCAGGTTCGCAAGTGGCAAAAACAGATGCGACAGAAGTACGACAATCGTCAGGGTAACCAGAATAACCAGATCAAAAACCGTGAGGCCTCCGTTAGCGTGCGGCCCACGTGGAAGGTCAGTATTTGCGACAACAATATCAGTTATTCGCTACGCTATAATTTAGCAAATAATGCTATTTAGATATCTGAAATAAAAGTATTTATTTTAGCGTATTTTTATCTTCACAGTTATGCATAATTAATGCACTAATTCTTACTTGCCGGTCCGTTTTCTTTTATGGTCTATTCTGTGTAGGTTCTGGAAGAGATGGACTTTCCCCGGCTGGGCAAACTTTCCCTGCCTGGCATTGAGGAACCTCGTGACGTGTACCGCTGTGGCACAATGGAATATTTCGACAAAAGTTTCCAGAACGTGAATTGCAGAAATGAGCGTCCTCTGCAGCGTGTGAATAGGGTGTTCCACACAGTTTCGACCACTGATGATCCCGTGATTCGATCACTAGCAATGAAGAAGTCCATTGATGGAATGGTTGAAGGCACCGACGTCAGTAAGGTACGAAAACCTTATTTTTCGTAATCGTACAATAGATTGTAAATAATTTTTTCAATACTGTAAGTTTAAGTTGACAATTTCTAGCTCTCGGAATGATTGCAAGTGGGTGTTTAGCAATAATATCAGTATAATCAGTCGAAGTTTGCACTTTACAACTAATATCATTGCAATTTTGCTTCTGGCTTACAGGTTCGGGTTTATACTACAGATACGATTATTTCGACGCTGATGTGCGCTACTCGTTCAGTAAATTCATGGGATGTTGTCGTCCATAAGATCGATGATATTGTTTTTCTCGACAAGCGCAATACTGAGTTCGACCACATTCCGGTGAATGAGACAGCAGCTGAGCCCCCTCATGATGAAGGAAACTCGATCAATTCACCACGTAACTTAGCATTGGAAGCTACCTATATTAATCACAATTTCTCGCAACAGGTACGCTGATGTACATCCTGGCACGTGCATGAATAATATTTATATAAAAATTGACCAACTTATTTTCTTATAAGTTTCCCATAGGTGTGGCAGTCCAAGGCAATTGGCAAAAAAATCCTTGAATTAAGTGAAATGTTTACATATTAGCAAAAATAAATTTTTTTATTGCGACTTTATCTGGTGGACGAATGTAGCACATCTTACACTGCGTCTATTTCTTTTCATATCATTGGTATTCTGTAACATAATAAAAATTGTTTTATGACCTATCGTATCGATGGATGAACGTTTTCACAGGTACTGAAAAGTGATGATGAGAAGGTATCTTTTGAGAACTCGAATCCATTCACTTCAGAAAGTGTTAGCTCAGGTGCGAAAGGCGAGTTAGCGTCAGTGGGCTACCGTTATCGTCAGTTTGGCCTCGGCGATGGAATTGGCCTCATCGTTCGGTGCGAACACGATGGTGTCATGACCGGCCCTAATGGAGAAGTTCAGGTATCCCACATTTAATTCAATTATGCTATATCTTACGTAACTAACCGGATCCATTTACTTGTGTAAACGCAGATTGGGTTTCACATTAATTCGCATTTTTACATACAAAAGTGTAGTGTTTTATTTTTCTTTTTTTTGTTGAATTATAGAATAGTCGTGTTCTTGAAGATGAGATTATATTGCACACGGTCTAAGCAAATTGTTTTGTTGCTCGTAGTACATCAACATCAAGGCGCTTAACGAGTGGGATGCGCGTTATTCAGGTGGTATTGACTGGCGTCAGAAATTGGATTCACAACGTGGCGCCGTCCTTGCTAATGAGCTGAAAAATAACTCGTGCAAACTGGCTAAATGGACCGTACAGGTTTGTCTGCGTGCCTCCATCGCTTATAGCTAGATGATGACAATGTATTACTAAAAACGAAAGTGGATAATTAGTCTGTTGGCTGTATGTAAATGCATGTACTTAGGTTGCGATTAATTCAAGCGATTTTAATATTGACTTTATGTGCAGGCTATCCTCGCTGGTTCCCAACAAATCAAGTTCGGCTATGTAAGCCGAGTCCACGTTAAAGATACGTCGAAACACGTCATACTGGGAACGCAACAGTTCCGCCCAAAGGAATTCGCAGATCAGATCAATCTAAGCATGGATAACGCGTGGGGTGTTCTGCGTTATGTCGTCGATACATGTTTGAAGCTTGACAATGGCAAATATTTATTCCTCAAGGACCCGAATAAGCCTGTCGTGCGATTGTATGACATTCCTAACGATTCCTTCGAAAGCGACGAAGACGAATCGAGCGAGGAAGAGGACAACGGCACGACAAACAATCAGACCAATGAACAACCTGAACCCGAAGTGTCCAACAAATAGGTTGCTACCGTTTGATATCGTAGCTCGGTGGAATGAATCAACGAGTCGATTGACCATGATCTTTAAAGAAATTCATTCATTTATCGATAAGTCTATACAAAACGCATTTACCATACGTGAAATCATTACTTAGAATACTTGAAATCCTTAAATGAAAAGCTAGACCTTCATTACTGGATGTGATAAATAAAAGCGTAGATTTGCCAATTGATTTCGATACCAGATTTAGGTATTACCAACAAGAGAACTTTAGTAGACTAGCACCACCTGTGAAATGATGGACAGCTAGATAATCAAATCAGTGTATCTATGTTTTACTTTGGCATCGATATGTAGCACCCTATACGGATAGGTTACCGATCAATGCGAAAGCGAACTCAAGTGGTATATTGAAAGCTGTTATAAATTCCTCATAGTAAGCTGGGGAAGTGACATCTGCGCGGCATACGCTCAAATGCAGCGTGATCCAGGCATAGTTTAAAAAAATACGAGTCTTAATAACGATCGAATTTTAAACAATTTTTTTCATTATTCCTATCGACAACAATGATTCCACGTATGTGGTAGTGATGCTATTGAGGTTCAGGAGCGTATATTAATGCCCCTTTCGCCAATAAAAAATGCTGTGTTTTCTATCATAACCTAAATACGTCTGCTTATAATATTATTGTTACAATAATGGGCTGTTGACAGCAGCAGTTTATGACTCTCATATGTTTTTCGCCCATTCTGCGTACTCCCTCCTTTAAGCCGCACATCGATAATGATTTTGTAAGGGAATACAAAGTAGAATTGCTCCATTTAGTTCTCTAGTAATAATATTTTCATTTGCGAGGTATGACTTTTCCGTTGTGATAGACAGAAAGAACTGACAAGTATATGTTATGATACAACATATGATGTTGTTTTAAGAACGTTTAGTGCTATTATTTGCGAAGACAAACTTTTTGGTTACCAATGGAGGTTTAAGGGATAGTAAACCTTGTAAGCAAATCTTCCAGTTTTGGGTTCTATAGTTTATTGATACAAGACGGAGATTATGTTCGCCTAAAACTCTAGATTTGTCTTATATGTGGTATGTTGGCGTTTAGTACATTTCTACGGAGCGCTTCCACTGTGGACTGATCGACTCGTTTCCCTGACGCATGCAAACGGGGTCCACTATAAGCCCACCTGCTACGAACGTATCTGGGTCAAGTGGTGTTCGACCAACCTTTCCAATAGACCAATAGACGTTACAACGAAATCGGCCAACCACTTAATTCTGTTTCTGGAACATCATCAAGGCTTTTTTTTTATACAAAGTATCTTTTTAGACGTAATTATATATATTGATGTTTCGTTTAGTGTATTGATTCTGTCTCAGGTAAATCACCAACATTTAGAGTTTATTTCAATTTTTTTTGTCAAGATGTAATTATACAAATTAAATTAAAATTCCAATATTTAATATTATTTGGTTGGAATATTGATTCTGTTTGTGAGAGATTACCAAAATTCGAAAATTTTTCAAATATTGATTTTTGTTGATATGTATTGTTGATTTTTTAAATTATGTTAGGGATTAAAACAAGTTCTTCAATTGTTGTTTCAGCTTGCCAATTGATATCTGTAAAAGATTCACTCAAAACACTACTGGAAAGTATTTTCATCTTATTGATACATAGGCAAACCAATGCGAATTTTTCAATCAAATATATCAAGTTTAAGTATGGGTGTATATATTGCATTTTGATTTACCTCACCGGAAGGTTTCGATGCATGTCAAGGGATGTATACTTCACATAAGCTTCCGTATAAAAAAGTTTAATTATAGGAAGATATGTTACATTTGTACTCAGCTCGTTGAACCCTATCGACGGATGTAAAGAATTGCTTTTAACAAGGTGGTATCTAGTTAAAAAAAATGTTTCAAGTGGTATATCTGTCAGGAGATTTCTTTTTGAGTGTTTGCAAATGTTTGCCACATCAGCCGCGACGAATTTTTAGCTCACAGTGGTCCAAAGTCGTACCAAAAACACTGCCGACGTATTTTCTTTTTTCTGTTTGCTTTTTCACGATGAAATGTCAGTTTTTACTTAGAATCATCAAAATCTATTGATCGGCATCAGACAAAGCCACGAAGAAAATGGAGCTCGCATAGAAGAACAGGTTTCTATATTTTGGTCATCCTTTCAAAAAATCTTCCAGAGAATACCTTGGGAAAAATTGCGACCAACATATGTTTTATATTAGCCGTTTCAACTTCTCAGCTGACATGTATTGAGCAAACTTGCTGAATAAACCATTAAACTTTTTCCTCGGAACCCTATTGCCATAAAGGGAAAAGGATGCTACATTTGGATATTTGCTATTTTAACGTGGAAATATTCACTTTAGGTATAGGAACATACATAGCATTTTTACTTAGCTCGTCGAGATTTATCAATTGACAACAAAAATATCCTTTCTGCACAGGCCTTTATTGAAATATATGATTTCCATCTCTTTAGGAGAATTTTTTTATTTTCACCAAAATTTTGTTTATATCAAACTGAACGACGTTCTTATAGGCACTTATGAAAAATTCCTAACAGAATAAACAAACCTCATTGTCAGACAGGCACCATTAATGAGGAAAGGATTTGATTTGTTACCAGTTACCTTGCGCTATGCGTGCTCTTAATAGTACTGCTACCACGCTGCAATTTTTAGAAGCCTGTTCTAACATCTGGTTCATCTTGGACCAAGTCTCCAGCATAACCTATTGCTCTATTCTAGATTTATATTGTGACAAACGTGTGGTTGCAGTTCTCCTGAGATCCTGTTATATTAATTTGTTGTCCGGTTGCAACTTTCCAATTGAGACTATTTAGCCGATTTCTTATTTAGAACCAACGATCCGTTAGTTTCGTGCACCTATTCTACTCCAACAGTAATTGGCTACTCTGCTAATTCCGCTTCTTTGTTAAAATGTCCTAGTAATCTATCCACTTTGCAGCGAATAAGTTAATGTATCGCATATATCCGGCTGCGCGAAAAAACAAGTGGGCTCGATTTTAAAATTACGAATGTAAAACCGTATGATTCATACGTGTTAAAGTAAATTCCAGCCGTGCACGCGGCGCCAGTATGAGACCTTACCTAAACCAGCTCTGTGCCCTATGTTATGATCGCAATACGCTAATACACTTAATCTGCTTTTCAATTTCAGTTAATCCTTGTCCCCGACGAGAAGTATTCGTTTAATCAAACGATATGAATCATGTATGTCGAGGTAGTGCAGTTTTCATCGGCCGTCTTGTAAATCAATTAAATGAGCATCACTTTTCTTTACAAAGAGCAAAAGCCGTCCCCCGACAAAAAGCATTTATATACTTGAAAACAGTGAAACAAGATGGCTCATGTGTCATCAGCTATACACGATTGCAGCAAAAATCTTCACATCATGACTAAATTCCTCAATGTAGAAGATGAAAAGATTCAATCTCGAGTTTATCTGGTGGAACTTGAAAAAAAACTTTGCAATAGAAATCTTTAAAATGTTTTAATGGTTAATGAGCTAATTGCCAAAAAATGGTCAGCTTGTTCAAATTTACGTTTTATCGAATGAGAAAAACAAATAACCTTCCAGAATCTTCTACGCACCCCTGTCCCGAATAAACTCTTTGCAATTCATAAAAATCAATCTAATCATGGGGTCGCTTTGGAAGGAACGAATTCGCTCTTCAAAATCTTTAATAGGATAAATTAGACGGATCTGTAGGCTTCGCTCTGAACCAATTTTGCCGTTTGACCCATTTTACTTAATTTATTTAGAGGTAGAAAACTAATTATATTTACAGTACAAGTAATGTCAGAGAACCAACGTTTTATTTTAAGATTTTCCGTTGTTATTCTTTAATGTAAATTCATTTAATCTTTCGGTTTTGCGGGCCCCTAGGCATTATGTTTGCTATATATATTTTGTGATACTTCTTTTTTTATAAATTAGATGGTGTTTTTGTTGTGGAGACAAGGTATCGATTATTGGGGTTCCTGTTCCAGCCTTTAGAGTTAAGCACGTGACTAGGAGTAACGCACAGTTGACCGCGATTAAATACAGGTTCTCTGAGGAAAATGAAAACCTCTTTCATTGTTTGTTAATTGTGTTTCGAAGGCTATCATAGCAAAGTCTGTCCAACAAGGATGATAGGTAAACTTTCTTTAATTGTAGGTTATGAAGCGGTAGTGCAGATATCTCAAAACTATCGAGAAATTTTCTGGGAAGATAAGACAACGTTGACATTTTCGGTTACTTTATTGAACGAAAATTATTCATTGAGATTTTCAAAGAATCATTCGGTGTAAGTATTGCTCATATTCCAGATCATTCTAAACAGCATTTTTTTTGGCGAAAATGTCTGTTGGATTTTCAAATGATTTTGGTTAATAGACCAGGTCGATAAATTGTGCAACTGCATCTTGTTCTAGCGCAATGTTTTCAGGCTGTGTAACTTCAAGGTTGGCATTTTTTAGAAATTTATTTTCTCCTGTGTCTAACAAAAGCTGGGAGTACCCGGCGTCAACTTCGTTGAATCGTATATTGGTGGTCGAATTGTATATTTTGATGTGCCTTTCTGATGCAATTTTTAATATCGCTACCTCTTTTGATTACTGGTAGCAGTTGACGAAAACTGTCTGAGCCTACAATTGAGACTTTTCCAAGAACTGCATATACTGCCGAACGTTCGCTGAAGGGTTTCGAAGACCCTTCACTTAATGATGGGATATTTGTCCCAGACAATAAATGCCTTTGTATGATGTGCCGTTTTTGTATTCATCTCTGTGTTGCGTACTAAGCTGTTCTTAGTGCTAATGAAGGCCTTGAACCGGGAGTATGCAGTTTGGCCTATGGGCATCAGAACCTTTTTCATTCTTTCTTAATAAATGGTTACACATATATTGAGTAATTAATTGAATATTTGATATGCCCAGATTGGTATGTAATTCCGTGTCTAAAACGTGACGGCGGTTTAAAAGTTGTTTTTAGTTTTTTCTTACAATAAACATTCACATATACTTTATATATTTGGGCATTTTGTGGAATTTTTTTTTTTTTTTAAAACCAGCTCAACGCTTCAGCCTTCTAATTAACATGTATTAGAAATTCGCTTAATTTAGAAACAGTTCAAAATTAATTTTCGCCTAATTCTAACACAGATAAGCGAAAGACGATACGATATGAGACTTATGGTAATAGCCGTACGACCACAATATGAACTGACTAGAGCGCCACTAGCAATCTTTGCCCCGTTTTACTGTTAAAATTTCGCTATATTCTTAAGAAGGCTGGTCGTAACATGCACATACATACAGTCGTTTAGTACCACTTTCAGAGAGAACTTATAGTATCTTCAATTGATTGATTAATGCTGCTGGGTCTCAAGTTGATGATTAACACGAACGTAATTTAGCTCAACATTTTATTACACATGACACAAGTCATATGTAGACCTGCTAAAGAATTAGATTGCACTGTTTCCATTAACGCTACTAACGGGAACTATTTAAGACCTGATCGTCCAAATAATATAAAAACGATTCGTTTGTTGATATTAGAACCGTATAGTGATCGTGATTCTAGTTTACGCCTTATGCGTACGCATAGCAATTTTAATAATAGCCTCGTATTGAACTGAACTCAGTCTAATTTTAAAGCGTGCGTTTTGGTGCTTGTGGACAATGGCAGTAATGGTTACCTTAGCTGAAGTGTTGATGCGTGCGTTACAAGAGAACTTCTGTTCAATGGTAGTTATCAAATGAGGAAAAAATAATAGTGTGCAAATGATCACTGTGTTAGTGAAACTAACCGAACCCGAGAAAGAAATGAACAGTTCAAATACAACCGTCACCAAGCGCGGTTATTTAGTCTTGTTGTCTATCTAGCAACCTGCCCGATTACGAATGGCGAACGTACATCGTATACGGTTTCATCCGGTCTACCACAATACTTCTTAGATTTGCTGTCAATAGCAGGGTCTTGAAGAAAGCATCCTGGTCTAAGGGATCGAGCCTATTGAAGGCTGTAACGAAGTTGTTTTACCTAATTTCAGGACCAGCGATATATTTTTTCATTTTTATTTTCTTTTTTAGCTTGAACTTGTTTGCATAGTACACATACCGCTCTTCAACGGAAGCTTTTGATCAACTTGAAAATCGCCAAAAGTGGCCGTCATTGTCACGTAAATACTTTGACGCTGTCGTATCCATCCTCTAGAGACCTCTCCACAGATGCATCTTCTATCTTTGTATGTAGTTAGTTTAAACTTCTCGTACAAAGTCAACGGTATGACGTAAGCATACAACAACTACGCTTTGATCACCGTTAGCGTACAGATACATATCACGAACGCGCAACGTGCATAAGCTACTACTACTACTTAAAGAAGTTTTAAATTGTGCTATGATCTGGCTGCGCACAATTTACGTTATGTTAATGTGTGATGTCGCCATCTTGCTGCTAATTCTTTTTTGTTTTTGCCTATCAATATTCTACACGTTTCTGTTTCACTTCGTGCGAAAGATATCCTCTGGCAAGATGCGGCAGAAATTCGAGCTTCCAGAAATCGAAGACAATTTAGAAGGCTGGGGACCGCTGTCACTGCCCCCGATATTCTCTAATATGCCGTACCAGGATTTTTGCAAAACAGATGAACTTGGAAAGGTCAGCAAAAGGATTTTCTTCAATACAAACGAGAGTTTGTGTATTACTATGAGAGAGGTGTTCCTTGATAATATGACATGTTACATGGATTTAGTAAAAGAACAGCACCGAAAGCTTTCGGTTAGAGTCAATATGTACAGGATATAACTTGCGTAAGTTTTAGCAAAAGCTTTTTTTCTACGTTATAAATAGGTTACATAACTTACAACGCATTGCACAAGTGTATTCTGTAAAAATAGGGGCATCACTTTTCCTTATTGACGAAACTTACGTTCTATCTGCTAGCCTATTTTAAGCTTTTGCAGAGATGCATCATACGCTGGCTTCAATACAGAACATCTTTTCGCATATAATAATTATAATCAATAATTATATTCATGGAGAGAATACTCTAGTGGTGAATTAGCTATAGAAAAATACGTAAGTGTATACTACAGCGTTGTAAAGTGTCCATTGTATATTATTCATTTATTGTCATATTAGAGCTGGTTTATTAAAAAGTACATAATAAAGTACATAATAATAGAACCAAAACGTCCATTTACAGCTATCCGATTTGACACGTTAAATGGGGCTTTTGTAAGGTAGATCAGACAGCGGGTTTCAATGTTGTGTCTTTCATGTCAGTTCAGTAGAATGGGATTATTGATTTTTGTCTTTAACCTTGACGCATGTTCAAATATCAACATTCGGATAACCTGTTGACATCTAGTCTTACACAAATAGATAAAACATATCCATTACGGAATAAAATCGTTTAAAAATAAAGCCGAACATACACTTCACAAAGAACATCGAATAGATTTTATGTTAGCTATGATAGTGACTTAATAAATTTTGCGTTGTCTGATTTCATCGATATCACTGACGACGTATCATCCATTATAGGTAGCTGACTGGACTGGATTGATGTACAGGGATCGACGTTCGGCGAAAAGGTTCAACTCAGCATACAGTGGGCCGCAGAACATGCAATATGCGTACTATCACGAAGAAGATGACGCGTCGTTCCAGCTAGTTCACACAACCAAGACTCCGAAGCCCCTTCATCAGCGAGGCAAACTCAATAGGATGAACCAGAAGTTGAACCAGGCTCGGCGTCAGCAACAAGCTCAACAGGCGCAGCAGGTTTTTAAAATCGGCCGTTCGTTATTTTAAGCGTAGAGAATCTATTCGTTGGTTGGGCTGATAAACGTTTCAGCTTTTTGTATTATTAAGGCTGCTGGTCACGTTCATTGGGCGTGGCACGATTTATAGTTTTTGTGTAGCAATAAACGTAAACAATTCCGCCTACTTTCTTCACTTTTTTAAAATTTTATATGCAGTTAACTCGTTTGGGCAAAGGTCGGGAACGCGATCGCCATCAACAAATTCGTAAATGGCAAAAGCACTTGAAGCAAAGGTATGATCACCGTCAACACAACCAGAATCCCCATTTCAAATATCGGGAAGCCTCTGTCTCTGTTCGACCTTCCTGGAAGGTAAGTACATACATTGCGCCAAAAAATCATACGCACAAAGAATATAAGGGACCATTTAGGAATTAATTAGGGCTATGATAACATTTTGAATCCTAACTATAATAAACAGTTTGCTCTTTAAATTCCTGGACCTCCTGGAGCTGTTCTTCTATTTGTATCCTGTACCAATAAATAAAAAAGATAATTAGACGGTTTCGAGCCTTAGAGCATCATTGGACACTGGCACGGAAGTCATAAGCTGCACGCGCTCAGCCTCGTAGCCACGCAACCTCCACATCTGTCCCTACGACTTCATTTTGTCTTTTTCTTGCTGTATATATAAAAAAAAAGTATGTAAAAAAACTCCCTAGAGTTTCCTATACGACTGTCCAGATTTCAACAGCCGACCTATGTAAACCTAGCTTATGGCGCCAGCCTCGCAATCACCTCGGCCATTACCACATGTTTTGTACGATTTCAAACATCAGGCAACGTTGTGTCTCACGTATTATTAAATCATTAATGTGACTGACGTATAGGTTCTGGAAGAGATGGAATTTTCTTGGCTCACGAAACTAATGTTATCTGGCATCGGCGAAGGCCGTGACGTATATCGCTGCGGCACAATGGAATACTTTGATAAAACCTTCCAAAGCGTTACCTGTAAGTTTGTCGCACACATCCTGCAAATAAGTTTACCCAAATCAACGTCAAAATGTAATTATTGGGAAAACGTATTTCAAAAATGTTGTTATATTTGACTTCGCGATATATTGTGTTCCGCCAGAAACGGGTTCAATTTCTACATGATTGTGTTATCCATGCAAGTTCAGGTAAAAATGAACGCCCGCTGAGGCGGGTGAATCGGATATTTCACACGGTCTGGACAACCGATGACCCAGTTATTCGGTCGCTGGCGATGAAGAAATTCATCACCGGAATGGTTGAAGGCGCCGACGTTAGTAAGGTATTATATGAATGAGAATATTTTAACTGACAGACCACCTTGTGTGGTTAAGAAAACAACGAGACGTCAGGCATGCTACATTACATTATAATAGTTTATATATAAAAGTAACTGGATGAAAACCATACAGTAATCAAATATTGATCATACAATATAACACTTATTATTGCAATGATGTTAAGAAACGTAGTGTTCACAGTTGGCTTTTATGTATAACTAAGAGGATGGTATTCAGGTCTATAGTATACCAATAAAAGTAACATAGCAAAATCATAAGAATAATAATAATAATATCTCATACATTGTCAGGACAAAATAACTTTGCCGGAATGATTCGTTGAGCTCGTTTAATTGAATTCATCGCTTAGGTGCGTGTCTATACAACAGACGCCATTATGTCGACGCTGATGTGCGCTACTCGTTCGATCAATTCATGGGATATCGTTGTCCATAAAATAGACGATATTGTTTTCCTTGATAAGCGTGGCACCGAGTTCTTCCACATACCAGTCAATGAAACTGCCGCAGATCCACCTCATGACGAAGCTAGCTCCATTAACTCGCCCAGAAACCTCGCTTTAGAGGCGACATACATTAACCACAACTTCTCGCAGCAGGTAAGTGTGGAAAGAGGGTTTCTAGTCCATGTAGACAATGACTTCATAAAGGTTGTCGATCGATTGTTTTAAACTTCAACAAGCAAGGAAAAATGTACGATAAACTATGTTATAAAGTGTAAGTATGGACATTTAAGCCTAATAAGGAAGCTCAATTAATGCTTTAGTAGACAAAGGTGATAAAAACCGACTAAAAATGATTTTGCTATATTTGTGATTATGCTGAAAGTGTGCTCATCTATCTTGTATCGACTAGCAACAATACCTGACTTCGATGCTCGCTGCAGCTCTTCTAATCGTTGTTCTGCACACAGATAGCTGATGACGCAAAATTGTTTCAGTAAGGCCAGAAAGCGCTAATAACCGCCGGTCTTTATATATGCACGCACGTAAGTTGATATGAAACCTCCATAACTTCCTACAGCTTTTTCTAATTCTAGTATTAAACTAATACACATTCGACACAATCGATATATAGATTATATATTTGACAACAGCAACTAAATTTGTTTGCTAAGGTATTGAAGGCTGATGGCAAAAAGGTATCATTTGAGAATCCGAACCCGTTTGCTGCCGAAGATGGCAGCGACACACACGAGTTAGCTTCTGTCGGGTACCGCTACCGCCAGTTCCAGATTGGCGAAGACGTTGGACTCATCGTTCGATGCGAGCATGATGGAGTTCTAACAGGATCCAACGGGGAAACTCAGGTACTGTGAATGGATGCAAAATATGATTATGATAGCTTGATGGTTTGCAATGGGCTTAAACGTTAATCCGTCATAATTAATCATCAGAAGAAGCGCAACTACAAAATGTAACTGTAAGCGATTGCATATGCACGATGTACAGATGATCAAATACATAAACCATTAACAGTTTGGGTTTTGTACTTTACAGTATATTAACGTTAAAGCTCTTAACGAGTGGGATTCACAATATCCAGGAAATATTGACTGGCGCCAAAAATTGGATTCTCAACGTGGAGCCGTTCTTGCGCATGAGCTTAAGAACAATTCGTGTAAGCTAGCAAAATGGACTCTCCAGGTTTGTCTATCTAAGTTCAGGCCATTTTGAGCAACATTTGAACATATATAAAGTATCGGCACAAAATTCTATTTCGAGGGGGCGTATCTGCATCAATATTTATTTTTGGTGTATACTATAAATATGCGTTGTTTATAATATACATACGTACCAACATTTCGAAGCTATAGTGCTTTAAGTGTCATGCATATAATAGAAAAAGACTCCTTCAAGCTGGTTATGAGTTGTAAAGAGGTAATGTCCGTGACTTTAGCCAATTACTTTGGTATCATTGCTAACGATACAACATGCACCCAGATTTCGTTCTTGATTGTCGGTCATTATGCCGCTGTGTATTACTACTACTACTACTACAGCACGACGACCTCTGTCCAACAAATTTCTCCGACTCCATCTAGAGGAAGCTAACTTGTCTAACTGCTTTTGCTCTGTCCATTCATGTAGAGCGAAGATGACTCTTGACTAGTTTGTAACGAAAATATCCTAATGCGTTAGAACGTGCTAGACGATTTCTATATTGAGTGTCGGTCGATGTGCCAATTTATTTGAATCTGAGCGTATAAACATCCAGTACATTCTTTTCCTGTTTGTGTGTATACAGTCAATTCTTGCAGGTTCTCATCAAATCAGGTTTGGTTACGTTAGTCGAGTCAATTCAAAGGACACGACAAAACACGTTATTCTGGGAACGCAACAGTTCCGACCAAAAGAATTTGCTGACCAGATCAACCTAAACATGGACAATGCATGGGGCATTCTACGGTACATTGTAGACACGTGTCTTAAACTTGAAAATGGAAAATACCTCTTTCTCAAGGATCCGCAAAAATCAGTGTTACGTTTGTACGACATACCCGATGACTCTTTTGATAGCGACGATAGCGAGTACAGTGATCAGGATGCTGTGCCGTCAGGCTACAAATCCAGTGAAAACCTTAAGGAAGAATCATAAAAAAATTGATAAGCTAGTGAAAAAGCCACTCGCAGTTTGGAAAAACATAGTCGTTCTTTCACAACAATATGCCTTATGTTATCGCCAGATTCAATGATCACGAAATAAACTTTCAAAACGTGTGTTCCGAAAAATCAGGATTGAGCAGAAACATTTTTATAGTATATATAATAAATACACAAGCTCGTATCTAAAGTCATTTTTAGGGTTCTCTCCTTCATACATGGATGCTGCCAACGACAGATACAACGAGATGTATCCATAGTGATAACCGTTGATACGAAAACACTTACGTATATATTCCTCCATCTATAGTCTATCGGTTGGGAAGTTCTAAGGCTAACTAACGTGATGTCTTTAGATGATGGTTTCAGTAATTGTTTCGATCTCTAGACAGCTATGGTATTTTTCTCTACTGATATTTCTGAAAGTTTACACACCTTCTATTCCTCGTAGTCATAATGAGGTATGCGAACGTATTTTTGCTTCAAAGATTTACGTCCTCGTGCAGCTGCGTGATTTCTAAGCTGTGATCTATCTTAGTAACGATACTATCCTCTTTTATTTGTTAGCTGCGAATGTATGTCAGGGCAATAAAATTATTTTGTTCTAATTGCTACTCGTGTTTCGTAAGTGAATTTTACCACTAACAAGATTGTTAGACTTTTTAAATTATGATATATATATATATATATATATATATATTACCTCAATCCGATTCTATTGTTTATCAAAATATTATTAAAACGAATCTATTTTATCAGAGTATGTCTATACAAAACCAACTTAACCAATAAAGTAGGACAAAAAATTCAACTAATTGCCGCTTCGCACGCCCCGACTATCACGGCAGCTGTGTCTGAACTCTCTTTGGCCTACTTATTCCTAGCCGTGCATATTTACAGCGTGTAACGGTGAGCTTGAATCATCAGCGAGCTTTTCATAGAAGCTTCATTTGAGATGCAAACAAAGACATCGGATAAGCAGACGATGGGATTAATGCATCCATACACAGATCGGCTCTGGCAGCAACTTAAGCAGCGCAGTATGAAAAGAGGGATGAAGGAGAGAAAAACAGAGAGCGGTCATGTTGTTCTTCTATCCGAGTGTTGTCTTATCTGAGACCCTAGACAAACGAAAATCACAACAACACTAGCAAGGACTTCTATACGCTCTGTTTGATCAACAAATTATGACTGCGTTGTCATGGTCTGGCAACTATCCGCAGCAGTAGAATAGTTGCAGTGGTATGGGTGAGCGGTGGCCGGAGTGACGTGAGTGCAGCTTTACAACGGCGTATTTTGTTTCTAGCTGTCCGCTAGAGTGTTATAGTAAATTGTGTTCCTATTCCTGGATTGAATGACGGGCAGTCAGGGGACAACCGACCTAAACAAAGTACCTCATCTGATTGCTGTGACTGTTAGCGGACTGATTGGCGACAGCGCGACTTAGTTATTTATCATCATTATTATTAATACTGGTGTCTTTAGCCACCCATTTGCAAGGCGCAGTGAGAGACAATAGCGTTTGTTGCTGAAAAATGGCTGCATCGCGCGCCACTGTAACTTCCGCCAAGCGAGTAGTTATCACACGAAGTGGAGTGTTATTAAAAGTGATTGTAGTGTTGCTCGTCTTTAGTTGTTTGCTATGTCACGCTAAGGCGTCGAATACGTTGGACGACAACAATAACAGTCATCGCATCAATAATCTCCTAAGTAGTCACCGTGGAGCTGCGAGAAGCATCAAATTGACGGGGTCTGGTATCATACCTAGCGGAACCGATGGTGTCGTCGTGTTAGGCGAGAGCCCGGAGTGCGCTGAAGATCTGAAGAGAATATGCTCACCGGGCCTGCTGCAAAATAATTTCGCTGTACTCGACTGCGTGCAGAATCATAAGGTATGTCTTCGATACCATTTCTGCTGTCAAAAACGTTAGCATGCGGATACACTATTATAACATTTTTGTATTTATGTTCGTATGATGGTATATCTTTTGTAAATATATCATTACGACTGTACTGTTATATTAAAATAAAATCGTTATCCATTGTCAGAGGGTTACGCGGACAACTTACGCTAAGTGAACATACGTTTTGGCAGTCTGATAACTTATAAATGATATACCCAGTAGTTATGTCTTTAGGAGAACCAACATAATGTCTGTTTATGGGCTTAACAAAAATCAAAAAATGAAGAGAAAATTAACTTCAGCCACGATTTTCTTTATGTGAATGAACTGGTTGTGGACAACAATGAATATTGAGGCACGAGAGTAACGGAGCCGTATCAAATTAAACAACCGCGTACTTAAATCTAATGCATCCTTTTTTGTGTACATCAGTTAGCGCAGTTAACATTTAACAACGAGTTGAGAGCAACGTAGATTAAGCTGGTATTTGTCTCTATATCTCTCTTTATAAACAGTCCTAGCAAGGAGTCTTATTTGTCTGACTCAATATAGATCAAGACAGACTATCACAAACTAGCGATGATTCTTCGAGAGCAAAACCTTAACAAAAGTTCGGTTATGTAAATGAGAAGAACGTAGATTTAACAAGCGTTCGATGTATTCGGGGAATAATTTATCAGGGGTTCCAATGTGTATCTCTCCATAGTCTTTTAATTAACGGAAAATGTTGTTGGTCCCATGAGAGGCACATGTTGAAAGAAAACGGGAAGAGGTACAAAAAAGAAACCAGTGTCAACAAAAACTGGGTAATCGGCCTCCTATGTATTTTTTCGCAAACCAACCGTTAAAACAAAAAACCTTCCGACCTGTCAAGTTATGTCTGTATTATTATTATCAGGTGATTGTATGATTACTCCAGTAGCTAAGTAAAGCAAGCATAATAGAAAGAAAGGCTTCGCAGACCGGCAGACGTAGCGACAAGGGCAAGCGCGCAGGTCTGCCTACGTCCTTTCCCACTTGAACAAGTAGTGTATGTTGACGAAGTCAACAGTTGTTTTTTTTGAGATATTTTTGAGGACTATTGGGTTACACAGCCGTGCGTGAAAATACGACGTTTTTAATGCCTGTTGAGCGTAGCAGCTGACTAATATTATATGTATATACTTCAACAGTGATAAAAGATTTGCTTGAAATATCGTAAAAAGTATGTTTCAACCAAAACAATTATTTAGCTTTAATTTAAACGATGCTCACCAATTACACTTTGTTCTTCTGGTTGTGTTGCTGACAGCAGTTGATTAAAATTGCAACCCCATTATTATTTTCAATTGTAACGAAAATCACTCGAACTGGAACAATGAAAACTGTACGTCATATCTGTATATGACACTATTAATACTGCAGGGTAAAAAAATACCTTTTTGTCTAAAATATTCGAAAAAAAGAGCAATTGCCAAAGCCAAATCGAAGAAAACCAGTATAGTTTTGTTGAACCCAAGGAATTGCTCTTCATAAGAATGAATACTGCTACCCACAAGGTAATATTTTTACAGCTTACAAGCGTTGCTACAAGGATTTAAGTAAGTCTTATTCGTCCTCGTAATCATTTTTACAATATCCACAATTTCCAAAACTTTCCTTTTCCAAAACGAAAGATTTTTACTTAAAGCAATTTTTAGTATATAGTTTCTAGTTTTATATACCTGATCATAATTGCCCTATTGTACAAGGATATCTATACTGTACTATACATGTTTATTATTTAGTGAGAGCTTATTTAAGATGGAAATACTACTTTGAAAAAGTTCAAATATACATATACATAAAAACAGGGTGATGGTTATCGTTTTTAACCACAAATTGAAACTTATCTTTTATATTTTAAAATAATATTATTAAACAAAATATGCATGATTTTCATCGAGGACTTTTTGCCGCTTTTTTGGTAACATCGTCATCTCATAGAGAAATTCTATGATTTCTAGGTGAAAAATGGTGATGATTTTTTAATTTTTCTATTGCCACAAAGTTAACACCATTAAGAGTGACGTAGAAATCGAAAAAGTTGATAGACAGATGGTGCGGGACCCAGGAATATGTTAGAATTTTTTTTATCGATGTCCTTTTAATTTTTGCTGGGCAGCTAAAAATATATGTGGTTTGACATTGTTATGGTAGAACACGACGCCTTCTTTGTTCATTAGTTCCAGTCGATTTTTTTTCAATGTCTTCTTGCAATTTCATTAGTTGTTGACAGTAGAAATCCAAGTCGATCGTTTTGCCAGGCTATAGTAACTCATAATATTGCACGATTCCTTTTCAATCCAATTGAGCACTTTGCATTACCATCTTCGGTGTAAGGATGGGCCTTACCACAGATTGTAGAGCACATTTTCTCGTTATTTATTCATTTGCGCATTATTGTCATATATGATCCACTTTTCAATACTCGTGATCAACCGCTTAGAAATAATTCGAGTTCGTTTCGGTTCTATAGAAATTTTCGCACAAAGATACGATCAGGTAAAGTCTTTTGCGTCAATTTGTGTGGCATTCAAATATAATATCTTTTGTAGCCAACTTTTTTCGAGTAGTTTAAAACTGGTAATGGATGTTTGGTTCCTTGGTGATATCATTGCTACTCACGCGTCGCTCTTGCTCGTTTTTCGCAATAATTCCATCAACTTCTTTCGTAATTGATCGACCACTATGAAAAGCATCTTTCACATCGAAACTCACAGAACGAAAGCGACTTATTTTTGGTCCGTTTTTTTCGATAGTGCACCGTGACCATAAACATTACAATTGTTTATGATCTGGAGCAGAGTTTATGCTTTTTTATTGTAATAAAATACGAAATATAGCGAATTTTTATCTAAACTGTACTTTTCTTCAAACGCTCTATCTTATATCGGAATAAAGGCATTCTAACTACTTTAGAATATCTACGACAGCCAAGATTCACATCGACCCAATGTGACTTATATTATTTAAGACATGGAACTTTAAAGCCATCAGATTAGAAAAACGGTCAATGCTTTTTCAACAGTCCAATATATAATAAACCCATAGTTTCGTTCTGTTTTTTTGCTTTTGATTTGGCTTGCTTCTGAAAAACGTTCTAGATGGCGACAGACGGTTTATTTACACGTACGCCTACAGTGAAGTCGTGGTTATCCGTTAGTGTTGACAGCGTCGTTCGAATCTGAGCCGTTGTTGCGGAGCCGTGTCGGAAAAAAGTGGAGACCGACAGGACGATTCTTTTATGCGTGCTTTTCGGAATAAAATTGGCACAGACCGCTGGTGAAATATGCCCCGAATGTACGTCCTTGGAAATTACCAAACACACGAAAGTGGTGTCCTAAGAAAGGAGGCTTCGGGTTTCGAGACAGGCCATTACCCAGGCGACTTGTAACGCTTTCTACGACATTGATAATGCCGCTTGTAAATGGAGGCCTACATTCTCTGTTAGACGAAGCCTTTTTTGGTAGTAAATGGGAACATTTTTTGTCTGTATATGGAGAAATACGTCACGTTCACGGGGTTTGAATGCCTCATGAGCACAACCATCGTATATGGGTCGACTTCACAATGAAACAATGAAGAATATCGCTCCTTTTTTCGTACCATGGTGATAAGATATGCAAGATTGAAAAACATACAAAAACAGCGTAAATATTGCTTTGACCTTGTTCAATTTAGAGATGATCACCTGTTTTTTCCGTCGAATATACTTAACGACAATTTGATTCTCAAGGTAGTATGAAAACATATATAGACCAGTATATCACGCCGTTTTCTAGTGGGATTTTAAGTTTGCCAAGGCGTGACTGCTAAAAAAATGATTGAAAATAATTAAGTACGATACGAATATTTATGGAGAAAAGTTAGGTTTGGAAAGTCGGCATGATTTTATGTATGAGGTAAATCTCTAACATAGATGACACTTCCGTATTTTACATTCGCTTACATTTCCTAGATAAAAGTCGTAGATGAGTTTGCTAAACTTCCGCAATTATGTAAACGGTAAAGAGCTTTATGGATTTTGGGTATGCACTATCTGATGCGCATTATCTGTATACAGCCGTACTTTAGTTCTGTTCCGCAGAAATATTTTAATTAACTAACTATTTCAATGCGGGGAATCGAGCGTCTTTATACTTTAGGCGATTGACTAACAATTTGATTTCAAACCCATTCCGGCGCCGCGGTATAAGCATTTAAACGTGCTACCTAGAATCTTACTGCGCTTTCCGGTAGATTTCAACACTAAAAGGATATATAAAGTGCCATTTGTAAGACATTGATAATATGATTGATAATGGAAGCGTGACCGAGTTTTTTTTTCTAAATTCAGCTTTGTAGCTAAAAAATAATGAGGATCAACGAAGTGAACGATGGTTAAGATAAACGAACAACACCCTATACAGACTGCCATAAAAATAATGTGTATTTTCATATTAAAAACATGATCATGTAGTACATTATGCGCATAAATTTCTTAGGTTATACTGCCACATGAACTAATAATTCCGTGGTTCTGCAGACGTTTCGATTTGTACTTGGGAAGACAGAAAGATAAAAGTTGTTGGAAGTTACAAAGAAATTTGGACTAAACTAATGTGTTGATGAAACTGCGAATTGTTGCTACTATAAATAAACTACAATTAAGAATACACAAATTAATTAGCTTTAACGAAAACAAGGCTTTTTAAAAACTCGTGGAACACACAACAGATATGAGAGTTTTAAGACACTTCAGCACGAAAAATGTGTAGTGTTCATAGATTTACAAATTTGGCTTACAAATAGCATTCTGGTGTTAAACCACGGACAACTGCTTAACATCAAAAAGTAGTGTAATGAGTAACGATAACTGTCGTAGCTATATTGTATAACTTGTTTTGTCTAGCAAATAGAGCAAGCAGAACTATGGGATTAGCTGATTTTGCGGGAATTGGTTCGAATTCATTAGACAATTTCATTTCATTTACATAGCTTACTCACGTATTTTATTTATACAAATACAAGCTGCAATGGCATTCATGTCGCTTAAACGTACTTGCCTTAACAGTTAGTCTATTTGCCTTTTCCTAATACCTTATGAGGTAACCTTTGTGCTGATCAAGCTGCTACTGAGAGCTAAATAGAAGCTGTAAAAATTATTGAGTGGCAATATCAAATCACAATCTTGTTCGTTTAAATCTTGCTATGTACCCTTTCTGTTAATACAATAATGAATCTGCTTCAACATACTTCTTACTTTATGCTCTTCCTTTCTAACCATAGTTTTGCTTGAAAAGACATTTCAGCTCTGCTAAGAAAGTGAAGAGTTTTCAGACAGTTGAAGAAACTCAAATTTCAAAGAAATTTAAAGAAACGCATTTTTTAAAACGCAGCCACAAAGTCTCTCAAACTACGCAGCTAACGTCACGCTTGTATTTCAAATCAGCCTATTTTTCGTTCAGGATCTATAACGTTACTCTTCAAACGGAACGATCAGCTTTGCGAAGGTAACAAAAGCGGTTGTAAAGCGTAGTTTGCACATGCAGACGAGCATAAAATTATTAGATTTGCCAGCGGAAATCACTTCGTTTTGAAAAGTGAAAAGAGATTTGTCAACTACCTGCTTTACGCGCGTATAGTGCATCTCCTAGATGGATGATGCCGACCGTGCTTAAATCATCTATTATGATCTTCACTCTGAAATGCGTTTCCTTATGAAACAGGCTTGAATGGCTTGAATTTAGGCCGGTCAAAGGCTTTATTTGAAGCATAACAGTCGTCAGCATACTCTGCATTTGTAGCGAACACGGTATCGTAAATGTTGTGGTTCGCGTCATGTCCATATTCAAATGATAACTGTCTTATCGACACAAAAATCAGCGGGACAAAGCTTTTTGATCAGGAATTGTCGTTCCACACCCAGTCATGCGATATTCGGTCAACTTGTGTAAATAGCATTTAAATGCAAAAAAAATAAACATTTTTTTTTGTATTTCTGGCACATCTTAATATTGATGTCATTTTTGTCACGCATTGTAATCAAATTTCCTTAGGTTATCTGTTTGAGATATAAAACTAAAAGTAAGGTGCATATTCAGTATCTACATTTAGGCTAACGGCGTAGTGCTCGAAGGACTTACAATCAATCTAAAAATGGAAAGGAACATTTGTAGGTCGTTTAACTTTTTTATTTTGATCAATTAGCGTTCTTTTTAATTTCGTACGACTATGATTGAAGAATTTTACGTGTTGTCAACCAGATTATGTGCACTGATGTTTGCTATCTTGTCAGGTGGAAGAAGATGCGGGCCTTTCAGCGAGGTGTCATCATCTCCTTTGGAAGTATAAACGGGAAATCACTCAAAGCGACCGATTCAATAACATCGCTCAATCGAAATGCCATACCCTTCTACAAAGGTTAGTTTTAAAACGCTGTGAGAGTGTATTTGTACGTGTCTCATTCAAGGCTTCATCGAGTAGTAGAAAATAGTCATTTAATACGTTTAACATCATCCAAGTCCTGGGAATGAACTCAATGCTGGCATATACTAATACTGTCTCCGTTATAGCGGAGTAGGTAACGCGTTTTGCCTGCTATACTTAGAAATACGTGGTGATCCAGGTTGGAATTCATGACGAAAATTTCATGCTGGGAGCCAACTGTTAGAACTATGCCAAATAATTCAATATTGTTCATAAATACGAAAAACACAGTCCTGTTACAATATAAGGAGTGACTGTGGCAATTGGAGTTGAGTAATCGTGATTATGAAGCTCAATTTCGTCAGAGCATATGGAAATGGTTTAGTAATATGGTTAAAAAAATGAAATTTTAGGCATTTCAGACATGCGTATTTGCTACAGTGTTATACTGAATAAGAAATTCCACCAAAAACAGCCTCTCCTAGTGACATAGACACCATAAATTGTAACAAGCATTTCGTTCGGAGCGGCGATTGCAGGCATTATATCGATGTACTTACTCAATGAAGTCCTCAGGATAGTCAGTTTCCACTAGACACGAGTTTCCTCCGTTGATTCGTAGTTTGTCCGTCATATTAACACACCGGTAGAATCAGAATTATTAGAACAGTTTTCTACATTCTTCACAGGAAGAAAAATACTTTTCTTTCCTTATATATATATATATATATATATATATATATATATAATCATTTCCCGTTTACGATATTATTTTTGGAACGAGTGCTTGATATCTACTATTAGAATTAGTCTAATGGGAACTACTTAGCCTCAACACATAAGACTGCTTAATGGGATATGAGGTTTTATTCGTCTTAAATTTGAAGTTGCGAAAGTGAAATCAAATAATATGCAACGGGATAATTGCAGCTATCCTGAATGTGGTCGTCAAACTATTGGAAGTGGAAACAGCTTAAACGGAGGTGGAGGTAATATGCTTCTGTGTCTTCTTGAACATACGCAAAATGCCACCGATCCTGATTGCCACACATTTCTGTACCGTATGGAAACCGTCGTTTTCAGCGACTACCGACTTATACAGAGGTTCGTATTCTTAATTACAAATCGATAATAAGTTATGCAATAAATTGATTAATTTTATATTATTAGTGAATTACTATAATAAACTGAACTCGGCCGTTTTTGGTTCAGTTCGGTGGGCTTTGCACTTATTGTAGACTGGCATACTTATGCATTATGTCATTTTTCCATCAAATAAACAACAAACGAAATCAAGACGATTGTATCAATAATTACATGTCAGGCAGCTTGGTTGACTAAATGAAACGTCGATAAACGTGATTCGGCATGTGAAGAGCAACATATAAAAGTATCTTATGCCGTTTAAGTATCCCTTTCTGCAAGGCTTAACCAAGCTATTTAATTGCTCCCGCTAAAAAATAGATTTGCTGAAGAGTGCAACGACGACGTTGAGAAGTTCCGTTGTGGACGCTTGGCAATGGATTCAAAATTACCTCATAGTCAGGGTGCTACTATTGAGTGCTTGCAAAAGCAGGCCGGTCATTTGGAGGACGAATGTCGCACGGAAATCCTGCGAATCTCGAAAATACAGGGAGAAGATTTTCATTTGGATAGGCCTCTGTTTTTCGCATGTCGAGACGACCGCGAGAGATTTTGTTCACATGTTACATCTGGAGAAGGTCGAGTCTACAAGTGCCTCATGAAGCACCGGCTAGAAAGAGATATGACTCCTGAGGTTCGTATCGATTGGTTAAAAAAAAATTAACTAGGTTTAGTATATATTTTTGAAATTGTTTATATCATATATTTTCTAGATTAGGATTAGGCATATGTTGTGCATTCGCTATTGATATTTCAGTGTGCGAAAAAGCTCCTTGAACGGGAACGACTGACTATAGAGGACTATCGAGTCAGTCGGGGTCTGACCAGAGCGTGTCGTGACGATATCCGTCAGTACAAATGTCGCGAGGACACTTCTCACCGCAGAGAGTTTCGACTCGCTCAGATCCTTCTTTGTCTCGAGAACTCCATACATAATGGTGTGTGTCCGCCAGCATTGCCAACCATAATTTTCTTAGTCAAAACAACAGAATCGTAATAATTGATAGTAAATTTGCAACCTGCGTGCATTATGTTATTATTGGACGGTAACTCAACCTAATTTGTCCTTGTAATGAACTACCGTTCTTCTCTACAATATAAGTGATCAATTTTTCATATTATTGACTGAATTCATTACAATACCCTAATTTGGTCTAAGGTGATACACATATATAGAACACATACTGTACCCTTTGCGTATAATATATACGGGGCATTATGAAAATTAGAACCTGAAAATATTTGTCACATACTTAAGTTCACAATAACTAAAAGAAATATACTTTTTACAAATTACAGACTATCCTGTAGCGGCCGAGTGCAAAGCTGAATTACTGGTTCATCGGCATTTTCTGATGGAGTCCTACCAGCTTACGCCGGATATGGCTGCGGCTTGTGAAAACGACATTACATATTTCTGTCAGAAGAAACTCGAAACGGATGGAAAAACAGTCCATTGTCTAATGAAACATTTCAAAAATGCACACGATGGCCTAATCGGTGGCCTCGGTGGAATAAATAGTAACCGACAAGTTAGCGATCAATGCAGGCGAGAACTGGAAAAAATGTTAAAAATAGCAGGTGAGTGAGCAAACGGTATTATTAAAAAGCCTCGCGGCAGTACAATAACGATTCTTTTAGACGGTGAGTGTCTTCATCAAGCTTCTATGACTATATTTGTCTAGCACATCAAGACCAGGTGAAAATAATCTTTTGTCATCGTCACTCCTGACGATGTTTATTTTATCACCACCATCGACTATGATTATATTTTCAATTCGGGGTTTAACGCACTCACTAGTTATTTTTTAAATATTTCTTCTTCAATGTGCAAATCACTTTCTATTATAATTATATCTCCAGCGATACTGACAGACATAGATTCTTTAATGGATCGCTTAAATATGTTGCATACAAGAAATTCTAGCGAAATTTTGGCTTGATAGCAAACCAAAAGCCCAAATAGAAAACGGCAAACAATCGACAAATGCAAAACGAATTTGACATCGAAAGTCTCGAATAGAGTAATCATTGGAACTTATCTGGATTACTCAATTTGCAGTTGACTTCTGCAACTTTGACACGGCCGTCCATTTCTGTATAAAAAAAAATCCTGGGATATCAAAAATGGCTTGAAAAGCCATTTCGTTAAAGTTTTAACCCCTTTAAATATGAATTCTATTGTCTTCGGGTTCGCTTCATGGAAATTTGCCTCGGATTTTTCAGAAGTCTCAAAAAACATCCATTAACGTAAATCCTCGATTTCAGTCAAAAATAGAAAGATTTTAATCTTTGTTTTACCTGAAAATATTGGAAAATAGATTGCCTTTGCCGAAACTACGAAAAGGTCCCACTGTTTTTCGCCTTGATGAGCTTATTAGGTAGTTCCAGAAAGAACTGGCTTTTTCTGGTGCCAAAGGTAACGAATCAGCGGGTGCCCGCTACGATAAATAGCCTCACAGAGTTTGTCCAAGTTCAACTGAAAGCTCGATCTTGTATTTTTCGCCTGCGCGTCTAGTACGAATAACCTTAATTTGTTGTACATGCATGCGTAGACGTTGGTGACGATTGGCGTGTAGACCCTGTGCTTCAAGAGTCCTGTCAGCCAGTGGTAGATGTACTATGCAAAGATGTTCGGCCGGGAAAAGGTCAGGTTCTATCATGCCTCATGGATCACCTCGACTCAAAGAATCATATGACCGAAGATTGCCGCGAAGCTCTTCTACAGATCCAATATTTCATTGCTAGAGACTTCAAGTAAGTCACCCCCGTAAAAAGTTATAAGACGAAAATTTGTGCAGAAGGAAAATTACTTGAGTTTTTAAAGAATAAAGCTGGTCGCCCATCCTTGTATTCCTACTATGGTAATTTTGATAACAACAGCGCTTACTATGACTTTTAATATTCCATACCATGAAAATATATCTAGCACGATGTTTATATATATATATATATATATAAGGATATTTAGCACGATGTCTAGATGTAGTTTGCCTTGATTACTGTTAAAAGCAAGGCTGTTTGAACAGAAAGAAGCAGGAATCGCCTCAGCTTGGTTCTAACCTGTTAATGAAAGTGTTCTGTTGTAATACTTATACAATTATATTTAAAATTATTACAATTACTACTTATACAGTTATTACTTACAATTATAGTGTAAAAAGTCGATTTTGCATAGATCTTGTTGAATGCGTCAAGGCAACCTTGATGTTGATTTCAAATAAAAAGAGAGTTTTTCTTGCGTTTCGACCCTATATAATGAGGGTATGATTTCACTTCTATGCAAATCCCATCACAAAAAAGATGGTTACGTTTGAGCTCACCTAACCACTGGTATAGTGCAGTTGGTAATGCAATTAGAAATTCCTTAAATATAGAATCTACTGTTTTTTTAGGTTAGTGCGCTCTATTTAAGGCAAGGCCATGTGTGCATGTGAGTTTAGAATAATGTAACTATTCTCTTGTGTGTTTCTGTATTCCAGGTTAGATCCGCGTCTCTATGAAGCATGCCATGCTGACGCCGTTAAGAACTGTCACGCGAAAGCAGAATGGCATCAAAATCCAAACAAAATGGATCCTGAAAGGGGGCCGATTGTTTTACCATGCCTCTACCGTTACGCCTACCATTCGGATAAGAACGTTGCTGTGTGTGTCGATAGCGCAATTTACATCTACAGTTTATATTTCACAAAGCTGACGGTGTCTATATACCAGTGCTCGTCTGTATTTAAATGACGCTTAATTACTATTTTGTCCATCAAAAAAGTGTTTCCATGACGACTTCAAAGATTGAAATTTTTAAGAATAGCTACTTTTTCTAATTGGATTTCGAGCTCACCGGATGATAATAGATTGTGGCATAAAAGCGACGGCATCTTATAAATATTACTAACCCATTCGATGTTTCATCCCCTTTAAGCTATCGAAGCCATGCCTTTTTGAGGTGCGTCGGGTCATGCGACAGCGTGCAGCCAGCGTCGACCTTCAGCCAGAGGTAGAAGAACCATGCTTAAACGACCTCGCTAGTCTGTGCTCCAGTAACCTCGAAAAGGGGCAGGAGGTATATAAACCGTTTTTCTTATCATTGTGATTATACTAATGGCTTTACCTTGTTTCCTGATTGTACATTAAACCTTGACAACGTCGCTTGTTCTCATAATGAACTCTTAGGAAATACGATATCATGTCATTTTTCAGATCAGCGTAGAACGTGTGTCGCATTTAATAATGAGTAGGAGGTGGCCAGAGTTTCTCCAATTCCACGGGATGTAATTAAATATTTTGAGTTATGCATCTAGTACTGTCCTTAAGCATTGTCTTAGAAAGGTGAGACTAGGTGACATACATGTGCACAAGTTCTGTAGCCAAACACGTAACTATTCCACCATCACGAACACTAGGAAATATAAACTGTCGAAAATATCGTCTTAAGTATCGACACGCATTGTTTCAGGTGAGTTGTCTTCAAACGAATCTTGAGAGGTTGGAGCCGGATTGTCGAGCCGCAGTTGCGAACCTTACGGAGGAACAAGCCGAACACCTGGAACTTAACTACCCATTGTTTAAAATTTGCCATGGGGTACGTAGGCACTGTTGCAACGATTGGTCTTGCGCTGGAGTTTTTTTTTTATAGTTACGTGTTACTATGCGCTTACTGTTCGGCCGTGTTACCGTGCGGCCGCCATCTACACCTCCATTAACTTTTTGTTGACTACAGTGTCTTATTAAGTTCGATTTTCTTATCTCCTACGTATACATAGGTCGTGAAACAGCTTTGCATGGACTCGCTAATTAACGACGTTGACCAAGGTGATCTGATCCAGTGTTTAATAATGAACAAGAACGAGCCGCAGGTCAAAAATGATCCTCATTGTAGAGTCGCCATTGAGCATTTCCAGCTCGTTTCTCTTAAGGATTATCGTTTTTCCGCGAAATTCAAGGAAGCGTGTAAGCCTGATGTGATCAGGAACTGTAAAACGGTGAGATGACACGTACAGGATTATTTCACTTTACTACGGCAAAAATAATTATATATATCTTCTAACAATCGTTCAGTGTTGATTACGAAAAATGCCCGATCTGTTGAACGTTGCCAACAACTTCCGTGAAGTTGGAATCATGCCGAATGGTTGTTAAAAACAATTATTGTTTCCTGGTCAGTCCAATATGGCCGCGTTTACGAAAAGAGTTTGGGATTAAGAAGCAAACCCGTTTGAGCTCAGGCCGCTATGACTAAGAAAACTAGTGCACTTTATATTAGACGAAAATCCCGATTGGGCGTATTCTGTAGTATAGTATTTACATACTATAAAACTAAACTGTACGTTTTTAGCCGCATTTACACATTAGAAATGACACTTTTTTTTTCTAGTCACGTTTCTATCTTTCAGATAACACTAAAAGTTTTTTTTCAAAAAAAAGGGCTGTGTTTTACTATATTTCTTTGTCATGCGGTCTTTTTTTAGGTGAAAACAAAATCTGAGGTCGTAACCTGTTTAAGCTCTCTCCTTACATCAGACGTAATTGAGGGCCGAGAGAAGCCTCGGATATCGCTCCTCTGTCGGCAGCAACTTCGTGTGGAGCTCTTTCTACGTGATGAGAACATCAAGCTTGATCCAGAGTTAGATAGAGAATGTGCAAGTGACCAGAAGCGGCTATGTGAATTTGTTGAGGTATGGCGATCTTTGTTTCGAAATTATAACCATTCCACTATAAATTAAAATGATAAATTTTTATCGATAACCATACTTCTGTTAACGTGTTGCTTTAAATTACGTTTATTATATTCTTGGGAGGCTTTTGTTTCTTATATACCCTTAGAAGGTTCTTTGTTGCTTTAGCAGATCAAGATTTCAGACCCCAAGAACGGTTATGTGGACAAAAACAAGTGGATTTTCTGCCGATGTCAAATGTTGTGGAAGCAATCCAGGAAATTTGTTTCGCGTACGGAAAAAACTTTATAGTTAGAACGAACTGACTTATTTGACAACTTTGTTCTTTTAAAAATAACATAATGTAAACCCGATAAGTTAAAAAAAAAACTTAGTATATTTTATTTGGGCCAAAAATGCTATGTTTGAATATAGCAAGTCACATTTGAATAGTATTTTTAGCCACAGAATACACATCACACACGTCACATCTATCCAGATCTAACGACTTTGGAAGTTTTTTTATTTCAGCGCAAAATGAATAGCAAATTCCGAAAGTGCTGTTTTGCCATACCCACTTTTGTAGTCCAAGCGTAGGGTGGTGAATTATTATGATTTGGACAAAACAATAACGACGGTAAACTCGTAGAGCCAGAACTTACCAACGATACGTAACACATGATCAGCAACAAACGAAAAATAAAGAAATGAAGCAATAAATAAAAGCCGCCATTGCTTTTTAAACGAACTCATTTTTTATAACGGCATTTGGTCGGAGTATTTACAATTTGTATCATATTTTGTTTGTTTCAGCCTGGTGAAGGCCGTATGTTGGAGTGCCTGCGTTCTCACCGGGAAGAGTTATCTATATCATGTCATCGCATTGTGTTTCGACGAGAATATCAAATGCAAGCAGATAACTCCATCGATTTTAAATTATTTCACACGTGTAGAAGAGCTATCAAGAGATTCTGTTTCGATACCGACACTTCACAGGTTTGATTCGATCCACAATTTAGTATGAAGCGACGATATTATACAATGTAAAAAAATGTCTATTTTTCTACTGTCCTTATCCGCTATTTTCAATAGAGTGTAATTAAAAACCATTGCAGTGCTGTTACTTAACAGCTTCACACGGAACTGTTTTTATTTAAATAAAAATTGATTTTCAAGCAATAATATATATTTCCGTACACTATTTTTTTTCCGCATTACATTATGTTTTTCGCTAGATTATCTGGTCATTTTACATGAGGAATCTCGCGCGTATATTGATTTATTTTATAGGCATTAGACTGTCTCGCCGAGTACCGCCGAGAGCCCGCGCTTTCAGACAACTGTCGGGCCCTCATTCACGCAAGGTTACTTGAACGCAATGGCGACTATCGTCTCAACCCGAAATTGAAGAAGCATTGCAAGCGAGATGTTGAAAAGTTCTGTTTTGGGATCATTCAGAAACACAAAGACAAAGTTAGTTGCGATCTTATAGATACGTCTCTTGTTGGATACGATATTCTAGCCTGTAATTAGTAAATATGTCGTAGCAGGTCCTGACAGAAATGATAGAAAATCAAGCTAGCTGTATAATCAAGCATCTTCGCCGCTATCGGTTGATACGTCAGCCATATATCTTCTTCAATAGAATGATAGTTTTTGCTGCCTCTGATAATTAAGTAGACGTCATCCTCAGCATAGTGTAACTGGATTACAGGATACGGAATTAGAAGGCCAGGTGGTGCGGTGTCTTCGAGAAAATTACCTTAGAAAACGATTGAGCGATGAGTGTGAACCTGTGGTTGTGTCGATTATGCGACAAGGAGCTCAGCTCGATCCCATTGTCGCAAAGGCCTGCAAGACGACGGTATGTCCATCTAATCTTCATCAATCGAAATTCAATTTTTGAAGCTATTAATTTTAGATCTTGGGAGTAATAATTTGCATAAATCACTCAGTAGCGTTTTCTGGCAGCTACGTGCTGAACGTCTGTGACGTTGGGCTTTCAAGCTTGTTTGTTGTTTTTCATTCACTAATTGACCTTTATCTCGTTCTGCAGCTGGAACGACCATGCGATTTTGATGATGCAGAGGAATGTCTAAAACGCCAGTTCGAGGTAATTTTTACGAACCCCCTTATACATAGTGGTAGACATATTTATTTTATAATATTTGATAAACTATTTATTATACATACCGTTAACTTCGCGAAAACTGCTGAACGTACTTATATTGATAATAACGAATTTGAGCTGTGGTCGTCAAAAATATAAACGGTATAATGTGTTGTGAAAAATTATGTTGTAACCATTTACAAAATGATATGTTTGTGCTGTAATGACGAGATTGACGACCATATCATGCTGGCCAGTAGGCTCAAAACACACAGATTCGAGTTACTCACAGGTACAGTCCTTACCTGTTGTTGATACACTCAGGAACGGGCCATACACAGTGAAGAATGTAGAAACGCTGTTGCTCGGCTCATACATGAAGGCAAGGCAGATGTTCAGAGTGACCCTGTACTACATAAAGCATGCAGTGCCGACATTGCAAAGCATTGCTATCTAGCCGTCCCAGGCCATGGACATGGTACGTATAAAGAGCCGATTACGTGAATTGTGAATTCGCCGAAATATCAGATATTGGCTGCATTTTAGCATAAATGGCGCGTAACCATAAATATAACGCAGAGGATTTAACTGATCAAAGCACTCGCAATGGAGAAAGTGGCTCAAAAAATATTTTTTAAATGGCAGCTTTGGGTACCAGTCGTATCAGGCGCGATATCAGAATATGAAATCGCTATAACATGCATTTATTATCAGATTTTCTGACCGTCGCAGAACATTGCCAGTAGCGAATTACTAAACTAATCGAAAATAATATCCTAGTGACCAACCGAGCAAGGAATTGCGTAAGGGCACAAGTTAGCAATTATATATAGAGTAATTATTCATTGTATTTCAGTGTTGTCCTGTCTCATGGCGAAGTTAGAAGAGAAGAAATTAGAACCAGAGTGCAGAACGTTACTCTCGAAACGCATTGAAATGTTTGAATATGCGGCTCAGGTAAAGAGATATATTCTACTAAAAAAAGTTAATTTAATTTAGTTTAGTTAAATTTAATTTAGTCTCTCTTGTATCACATGTGGTTATGATGATGAAAAACAACATTCGGAGAACTTTTGTTGCATAGTGCTAAGAAGCCTATTAATGCTTTTCTGGAGGCCTGGGAATGAAAATGATTTGATAGGGTCTATATGTATGTCCCTGCGAATTTAACACATTGCCTTTTGTTTGCAATATAATACATATTTTTATCCGTTTGATGTGCTATTGTACGGCGGACTGGGATGTGGGAAATGGTTGCTTCGTAGATCGTTTTGAAGTTTTTCAAAAATTTTGTACTTCTATTAGACAAAATATCAGAAGGAGGTTTACAGTTAACACAACTCGACGTTTATCTCTATAAAAGCTTAAAGTTGTCGTGACTATGTATCTCCAAGCACTGCCCTCTGGCTCTACTCACAATACCAGATCGTCTTTCTTCTCATTCGTTGAAGCTGTTTCTACACATTAGTCTTATACGAGGAAACCTAGTAAATGCACTTGCCATGTAGTATAACATTATGTATGTAACCAACACGTGTTTCCAAGTTATATCATACGTACATAGGCGCAGCAATTTTTCTGTTACGTTCGTTATTGTGATAACTGCAATATGTAAAATCAACTGTATCCTGCTTCAATTCTGTGCGTTTTATTTCGTTTAAAGGTGGCGCCGGTTGAGAATCTTCGGGATGTAATGGCTCAAATGCAGCAAAGTCCTGCCAGAAATTATTTTCTCGTCTTGTTCAGTTCTGTTTTTATAGTGCTTTTCGGCATTGGTCTTGTCTGCGGGAGAATTACGAAACGTGTGCCTACTCAAGTAAAAAACAAATAAAATAAAAACTCAACGAGGCATTATCGTAAGTCCTAGACACGCGCACAATAACTGTGCGATGTTGGATTCAAGATGTAAACTACAAAGATCGATCACTGCATCAGCAATTGAGTCTGTTCAATTTCGAATTTGCGCGCCTAATTGTTCATAACCTGTCAGTTAATTCAACGTCTATTCAACACAAAGCTTAAATGCCTCTGTAGAACCAGTGTTTACCGATAATTGCATACGTCAGCGTGCAACGACTTATGACTTTTATGATATTATTGTTATCCCATTCATTAAAGAAGCGTAGCTAAATATGTATGACGATTATATCAGGGAAAACAGGTCAAATCAGTATAATAGACAGTCAACAGGAGCTAAAAATAATTAATTCGACAACCGTTTGGATCAAACCTCTGCGACGACCATCCATTTTACAAAGGTATGCTAATTATTATCAATAATGTGAGTAAGGCAAACAAATGTTGCCAACAAGTATTTTTAAAAGACAAGTGAATGTATTTGTTAGATGCTTCAAAGCTGCTCTTCGATATCTTTAAGCGCATTTGTCTTACCGTTAGGGTTTGACAGATGTTAGAAAGATGTCGGAAGTATGACAGGCAGGCTGCGCGCAGATTTAGGATTGCTCAGATTTTAGTTAGTACGGCTGTGGTTAGCTGTATATCGTTGAGGTAGAGTGCTTTATGTAAAAGCACAGGGCTTAAAAACGCTGAAGATGATAGTAATCAACTTCGAGTCGAACATAAATTATTATATATACCTCCGGGAATAATCATGACAATTCCTATGATATTGATAAGGTCAGGGTGACTTAAGCGGAAGTAAGTGGGTCAGATATGGTTTAAGGTTGGAAGCGTAACTTGGAAGGAATGGAACGAGAAGCTACGCGTAGAAAGAACTAAGATGTAAAGTCTCGTCAGGTTCGTGTGAACTATAATAGGTGCGGGTACCACTATATGGGGAAACAATCAGATTTATATTAAAATGAAATATAGGATAATGTTACCAGGCAAAGCATATGGAAAACTGGAACTGTTGTAACATTTTCATACGCTCTAATAATTTTCCAATAGAAGAATTGCAGGTTCATCTTGAATTGGTGTGCCTATTATATATATATATATATATATATAGAGAGAGAGAGAGAGAGAGAGAGAGAGTGACTGAGCGAGATAGAGCAATGTTTGCTTCTTTACTTTAGTCGTAAAGAACTACACACTCAACGCAAATTGCGTTTTACGTGGAAGTTAGGGATAGCACGTCGAACTTTAACTGGCCGTCAAAATTTAATAGAGTTAACCGCGATTTAAAGCATTTTTTATCTAAAGCGTTGGTATAATAATTTACATGCCTTAGGAGAGTAGCTGAGTCAATAACAATATAATTAGTTTGTGTTAATGCGAGACGTTTCTATATTGCCGTCTCTAGAGAGCTAGGTAAGAATTCCTGTATAGAACAGGGTGGCGCGTTGCTGGCTCTAGCATGATATACAAATAGTCTTGTTGCACAGGCGGCGAGTATATTGTTCGATCAGATAACCATTGGCAATTACAATTTATATCTGAACTAAATGTACGTATATATATACACATATACCATAATCGTGATGATGACATGTAAAAGTGCAAAACAGCACTCTAAAAAAGAAGTACCGCTATCGGCTGTGGTCAGTGGTTATAAACATTTCTTCCCTTCCGTATAATTACTATACTTTTGGTTAACGTGAAAATCGGTTAGCCCGCTGTAGAAGCAGTACGACGTGATCATCTAAAACTTAAGCGTTGGTAGTAAACGGCTAGAAGTTTTGTTTATCAGTCGTTGTTCACGTGTAGATGTTGTTCAGTGATCTCACGGGATGAATACGCTCTATTGTATGACAACCGTGAACCGTGATTGAATATATTAGGGGGTGGTGAAGATGACTTAATTTTCGTGCTAGTCGGTTTATATTAAATAGTTTAAGCCATGTTCAGTGTAACACCTTGTCATATGTCATTATTAGGCTTACCGGTAATACGCAAAATAACGGACTAAACGCTTGGTTAGTGATCAGGGACGCAATAGTTACTTTTGTAACGTAATCAAGATGACCAACATGGCTGTTCCACTTGACTGGCTTGCTTTAGCAACCTTTATCTATCATTGAACTGTAAAGAAAAAGTAACGCAAAAAGATGTCTAGCAAATGCGGCCGGGTACGTTAATTGCATCGGCTTTTAAAGCTTGACGTAACAGCAAACTACTAAACAAAAATTATTTATCTTTTAGAAACTTAAGCCCTCATCATTTAGAGACGAAACAAATCGAAGGTTTATTACGTTGAAAGATTCTTCGCACGTTCAAATCACAGTGGTTTTGGCGGTCGGGAGTTACTTTTCCTTGTATAGAATAATAAAATAGTCTATTGATGTTAGAAGAAAGGATGCGACGGACGACAAAACACAGCACGCTACTGTAAAGAACATCTAACATACAGTCTTCATCGACGTTGGTCAATCATTGACACAGACAAAGAGAAAGCAAGAACTTACTTGGATATTTTGGTAAATAACTCCAATACGCATACGTGTACGATTATAATTTCACCTTTAAGGACTAATCTTGAAAAATAAATTATTGGAGCTTAGATGCGCCCTTACATTTGAAATGTATAAAATATTGTAGCTATCGTAAAAACACTAGTTATTCTATTGGCTCGTAGTTATAATTTTACGAAAGCGTTTCATTTTATCGGCCAAGTAAAATTGCTCACGGCGACGGAACCCAAACCCATTATTCAGTTGGATATATACGAACGTAGTGAAAATTCGTATTTAGACCAGTCTTCACCGGTGAGTATGACCGAATAAGTTGTACAATACGGCAAAACTACTTGTATAATACAAAATTCTTTATGGCGTTATGTTTATAGTGGACCTACTGAAATATGTACATAAGATTATAATTGTATAGAAGAAATGGTGATAGGTAAACAAATAATGTTAAAAAATGGTAAATGTCAGGATGAAATGCTATTAGAAAACAACAACATGGAGCGATGAAAGAGCATTTAATAATAAACTTATATTGTCTATGCTAAGGAACTGTCAAATAGTATTTAGCCTACTTATTTTAGATAGGAAAGCGTTATCTGCGCCTTAGTCGTGAGCAAAACGTATGGTCTCAGAATATGTTGATACAAATTTCGTCGTCTGCTTCTTTCTGAGAATGTTTATTAAACCAGTGAAGGGAGATGGTTTGCTAATACCTATCGCGTTATTCTACTTAGTGAGACAGTGATTCACTTTTGTTTTACATGCGTTTTGGATTGAGATTGATCACGCGCTGACATTGTGTTTCTGGCTTTATTGCGAAACGTCTTGCCTGCTTGAATTATTCAAATAAGTTACTTCATGCATTTAATGGAAATTAGGTCCTGTCGTATGCAAAAATTATCTCAATAAGCATCCGTCTCGACTTGCACCGAAACTGAATTTACGAAAAGTCCTATGAAAATTTTTTTGATAGAAAAGAGACGCTACCCGCTCAAATTGCGGACAGAGGCGCATACGTTATCTGTACGCACATTAGTTTTTTGTTAGCAAGAACCACACGTTCCCAAATCATTTACGAAGTTTAGCTGATTCAGAGCTCTATTGTTCAGAGCATAATTGCACCGTAAGTTTCCTGATCTAATGCGCACCTGAGCTTCGTTAGCTGGAGATATCTCTGATCACACGCAAAAATCATTAAGAATTCTATAGAGTAACTTTCTTTCTATCCCACCATTAATAGAGCTGCACAGTCTCGTGGCCGTATATCATAGGTTTGCATCTCATTAACAAAGAACAACAGATCTCTCAAAACCGTAAACTGCAGAAATAAGTACATTCAGACTTTGAAAAAAGTACCCAGCTTAGCGGAGCAAGTTTCATTTCCTACAAGGTTGGATACTAGTTAAATAATTTCCGTGGCAACATCTTGAAAATGCAAATGTCTTTAAAATCTTTTATTACAAAATCGCGAGAGAGACGGACAAATTTTGGCCGTTATTTCTGGCTTGGTGTCTTGTCTGTTTTGAAAAAGCTGTATGTGAACCAGAACTCCCGTCGGCGTTACAGTTTTGTTCTACTCACATGTTACTTTTGCTATCAGATGTTAGTGATCGACGGATGTTTTGGTTGGGAACAAATAAAATACTAAATAAACTATCAAGTCAGTATTTTTAAAACGGTTTGATTTATTGTACTGTTGATACTAGATATGATACTATGTGATCGATGCAATCACTCATGCTTGACTATATAAGGCATGGCCTTTCGACCCTGAGAGTGTATAATTATTATCGTCACATATATTTAGAAGAATTTACATAATTACTTATGTTGTTAAAATCATCGACTGGAGTACCATTAACTAAAGCTGACAAGTGACATTCTGTCCCGTAACTCCCCAGCCATGCTCTAAAAGAACACCTAATTCAATTAATCTGTGTAACTTTAGGGATTGCCTTTTTCGTATGTAAATTATCTAAGTGTATAAACAACTATTCGCAGTGTCTAAATGTTGCAATTAAAAGTAAATTTCGTGTTTCGTGGTTGAATTGCACTCTTTTACGTCTATCTGGCTAAAGAAGATTTTTCAAGCCCGACTGGTTTGCAAGAAAAGATATAGGAAATAGATGAATTTAAGTGCAAACGATTCCGATTACGTGTACCTACCCTCAACTTGGAGCGACGCCACGACTGTTAGACCACTCAATAATTGCGAGCAGAATTTTTTCGGCTGTTTCAAACGGAGGAAAAATGATAATCAAGTTATTACGAAATAAATGTGAGCGCCTCATTTTTGCTAAATCACCGTGGAATTCTATCATAGATAGTCGGTCATATACTTAGGATTCTTAGCATTGTTAACATTTACGAAAAATCGAATCGTAGAGTTGACTCACAACATTGTTTGGAATAGTCAACTTAAGTCTCAAGTTCATAAATATAAATGTGATAATTAAAAACCAATATTTTGTGAAAACCCGCTGTTTTAGCTTAATACTTCGTTGCGATCTAGTGATACCGAAAAGCCTGGAAGGTTGGTGAAAGGACATATATATACCCAATGCTAGCTGGCGCAATATACCAAGGTTTTTAACGACTTAGCCAATCTATTGTTTCGCTACGAAAAATAACAAAATACGTATTGAAAAACGTAAATATTCTTCCCTTCATTCGGATTAAATTCCGCTAGTAATAGACTCCATTGAATTTCCCGCAAAAGAAACGTTTCTATTCGTGACGGAATGAACAACTGAATTATTAGAAATTATTATTACGAATAGTGAATGTTGTGCAGATGAATGCTGCCTTTTTTAGATTTGTTACGTACTTCCTCATATCGTATCAACTGCAACGACCTCAGAAAACCGCTTCCTGCGGCCCTATTTACGATTTAGTCATACTTATTAGGTTGACAAACCTATAAGACAAAAAAGGTAAAATCGCCTGAAGTTTTTTTAACCCGATTGACATATTCTTAATCACTTAATAAATTAACATAGCAACTCGTAGCTGCAAAACCAGAAACAGAAAGAGTATGTTACTCAGACGTTGCCGAACTGACTGACCTCGTTTCGTACAATCACGTTTTCATTGTTTATTTCAGTCACTTGTGTACGATATTGATAATCTTGTTAAAGAAAAGCTGTCGACAGGCGCCTGATAGCAAGCGCAAATAATATCGCTCACACGCAAATGTCTGGGTACAATTCATCCAGTTTTATTTAACTATCCATATGCTTACAATGCTAGCAAGTGTATTTGTACCAACATAAAGTTAACGATTTTACTTTTCATAATATAATGTTAATTAGTTTATTCTTCATAAAATGTACTGCATAAACATATGCTCGTTCTTAGACGCCTTGATATCGAGCGCGACTCTAGGCTTAAATTTATCAAAAAATAAATTCTAAAACATGCCGTGTGACAATCTTTTTATCTTCTGAACGAAAACGCCAAAAAAAACTCTAACCGGCTTCGTCAGCAAAAGTAGCGCTGTCTTTTTTAATCACAACTCATGACCCTCCAGAACTGCATTTGCCTACCGGTGCACAACAGACTGCGGGGCGCCAGCTGATCGTCTTTAAAATTTTCACTTCGTCTATCTTGATTGTTCGTGTCTTGAATATTGATCACAATTCAATGATAGTCGGCTGTGAATATAAGCAACGCTGAGGTTATCGAACCGGTTTATCAATGCTTTTGGATATGAGACTCTGGAGCAATCGCCATGTATTAAAACAAAATTCAAAATTTGTGCGGGCTGCATATGCTACGTTCACGAGGCAGAAGATAACGTTTTAAAATCTAGTGCGTATTCGTTTTAGAGCGATTAATTTCAAAATACACAAGTACGTGATTTTACCGTAGCTTTTCGCTTCTGCTTGTATATTCATAGCGCGCCGAGTCGGACTTCGATCCTACGGATTAAAGCATCAAACTGAAAAGTGACGACTAGAAGAGGTCTATTTTTTTATATCCAAAGAGGAATAAAATATCTATTATTTCGGCCAATTTGTCGATTTTATTTTCAGAAGTTCACATCTGTGCGAATTCTGTGCCACTTTCCGATTTAGCGTACGCGAGCCGATCTGGATGGCTATGTCTGTTCCTAAAAACATCGCGGATTGTTCCTTATTGCCTTTCAATGCAAAACGTGCGTAAATTTTACTCAGACTGCGTAATTGACAAACAAACGTCTGCGACATGCATGCTAGCAAAATGAATTAAGCACTGCACGCTCTTAATGGCTTTTCGTCCGGCGCATGACTGAGTTGAACGCAGCGAAATTCGATTGCAGGCGCCTCTAAAACTCTTCTCCCGTCTTCCCGAAAAAGAAGATTGAGGCGTAAATGATGTAGAAACGAGTTGTAGCTAATAGTGTTGTGTGAGAAACCGCTTTTCTAGAAAAGGCTTCTTAGAAGGTCCGAAAGCCAAGCAATCGATGCTGATGGGTAAAATTGGAAAGCGTGGTTATAAAGCGTAATGATTAAATCGAAGTTGAAGATGCTCAAACAATCACTTGTCAGTTCTATAAAGTAGAGAAGCTATTAGGTACACTAATAAAGTACTGAGTCCGATAGATAAAGAATCAATGCGCGAGACTTGTTTACTGCTGAGGTTAAGGACGCAAAAATACATGGTAAACTCGAAGTTGGCAACGCGCATTATTTATTGTTTCACATGTTTATTGAGAGGGATAGCAAATAAGGCAAAAGGTTATCCTACGATATGGAGACTGCCAGATAGTAAGAGCAAATTAAATAAAAGCCGGATGTCGTCACAGAGGAAACTACAGCAGCGCTGCCGTCAATGAAAAGGTTTTGAAAAGAGCAGGTCTACAATGACCTATTGCCTGTTAGAGGGAAAGGAGAATTTCTATTCTTTCTTTCCTTAGATGGATGGTCTCTGTAAATATATCGTTACATGTGGCCTGACATTTCTACGGGAACTTTCCTTTTTTGCTTGTCACGTACGGGGCCACCATTTGCGCATTGAAAGTCAAACAGCGAAAATTATGTGTGCGAAACACAGCGAAAAACAGAAGGGACAAGTGTCGCCTGGCCTACGTGCGCTTTTCCGCAGAAACGATGCACAAATATGTGTATATATACACATTCTATGACATTATGTGTTCGTTATTACGACCAAGTTCGGTAGTTGTCTTCATGTAGACTATATAAGTTTTTACGTCTATTACTTATCTAAATTAACAGTGTGACATAAGAGTCATATGTGTTCCAATATACCTAGCATAAGCAGCCAAGAACAAACATATTTGCACAATATCCTGAACGAGTACAAAAATAAGACGCATACATGTAGCACACCATTATCATCAACACGTTTTGCCTTATTATTACTACACTAGAGTAGAGTGGAATAGCAAATATTTAAATGTCGCTAACCCGGATGGACACCTAGAAGTGTCGATAAGGTGCCACGAAATTTTTACCAGTTATAAGCCTTCTATCCGACGCCCTTGAAAACAGCACAGGGTTGTTTATCATGACCCTATTTTATTGCTAAAGAATAAATGAAGGAATTAATTTCTGTCAAGTTGAAATTACTAAAAGGCCCATTCATCCTAATCCCTTCCCCACGTCTTAAAGTACCGAAATTCTATTGAGTTCAAAACGCAAACTCCTTCTCGTTCTTTGGCATTGATTAAGTCATTATAGAATTAGGGAATTACTAGCCTATCAAAAGCTATTGACGAACTACCTTTAACTTACCAATAGAAAAGGTAGCGTGCAACATTCGTCATCGGGAACATTCAATCGCCATGATTTGATGTAACACGTGCGTCAAGCACTAATGTGTGTTTGTGTTATCTGTCTCTGGACACGCATACGTTTATAGTGGGCGGGCTAGTTGGTTACGACTGTGTTGGCTAGGACCAAAATCTATTGTATGGTGACAGCTACAGAACGTGTGATTGCGTTCAAATTCATAACTTTACGACTATCCGAAATGTTTCTGTTGTTATTCGGTTGTTTGTGCAGTGTCTTTTGTGATACTATTTTGTGCTACGACGTTATTTTCCACTTGTAGTCTTCTGTTTCTCATAGCTGGGACCGTACCGCTTGACGTACCGCGCCTTTTTCAACCAAATGCTCAACTTTTTCCTACGCAGCGACTCTGTGGCCGCATTAGTGGCGGCATATTAAGCACTTGAAATAAAAACATTTATGACAGAAAAACACCCGGATGCGTATCTCTTCCTCTACTCCTTTACTTGCTGTCTCAGTAGTGTATGCGATGATTTGCCACCATCTGATTCTTCTGTTTGGTCAGAGCGTTTTGCCACATCTTTTTCCCTTCGCCTTTTAGCGTACGATATATGTATGTATTCTCGTTAATTGGGCAAAGGAATTGTTTTTCATCTAATTTTGCCATAACACTATTCGACGGGTCAGTTCGAGGCGTCGTGCAGTCCACTTTCATTATGACATCTTCAAATGATTTTTTTGCAATACTCTTCCTTGTATGTATATGTATATGTACATATATATATATATATATATATATAACGCAATAGGTTGGCGCTTGAATGAGTCGAGTAGATTACACATAAGTTCTGGAGATGTATTCGTTGAAAAAGAGGGGTTTGTCAATTCATATTGGAGTTGAGTGATGGAATTATCAAGTCAATGTTATATTGATGCTCACATGTGTAACAACATAGCCCGTCACTCTGATATGCAAGGACACAACTTATTTTTTGCAAAACAATTAACTCCAGGTAAGATCACAGAAACACCAGATCATTTACCTGCTTCAATTAAGAACAGTGGTTAACATGGCCAACGGAGATATTTAAGGAAAATATGTTTGTTTCTAAGACCTTTAACTCTGCTTAAAAGCTGGAAGGCCTATTCTAGACTATTCTAAATGGCGCATTGCCTTATTGACAAATGGAATATTAGACCAAATCAACGGCTAATGAAATCCATAAATATTCAAAAACGACAGCATTATATTATATGTTAATTTTGTTATTTTTTGATGAGGTAGAAAAAATAATACTAATAGGAAATAAAACTGTAATTTAACTTGTAAGCCTTTTTCTGACGGAGGATCGTGACAGAGTAACAAAGTGTTCTTTGTTGCGCCCACAACTTTTTGCATAGGTGGCGTACGCGTGCGTAGCCGCAAACACGGGCCCGTACCCATGGTGATTATGATAACCATGTGTGATGCTCGTGGAAATTTAATGAT